GTTATTTATTATCATGGTAGAAATTCTTTCTACCATGATAAGAGTTCAATGATGTAAAAATAATTTATTAACTAATAATTTATGAAAAATCAGTTTGAAAATGTTAGGGTGTTACAAAAAGGGTCAAAATGCTTTGTTTTAATAACTTTAAGGGCAAAATTTCTCTAACAAAAATGTTAAAGTGTTGGGTGCTTCTCGAAAAATATTTTAAGATAAAAATGCACCTTAACTCTCTTTTTAAAAGCATATTTACGTAGATAACAAATTTTACGTAGGATACTATATTAATAAGTAATTAATAATACTATTTTAAAAAATAAAATAAGTAACTAGTAATGTTGGCAGCGCACAAGGTAACAAGCATTAACATTAAGAGTAGGGTAATCAACATTAACATGTCAATGCATAAAATTTAGGAAAAATGACAATAAAATGCCCCTAAATTATATAAATAACAAGTTAATCTCTTAAAATATTATAATTTCACTAAAATTCTTAGAGACCTTTGTGTCAATAAGTGTTATATTGAAAAGACTATTTTGCACTTATTGACAAGTTGTGATTTTTTATTTAATTTTTGTGATTCTTTAAATAAAATTGTTATTCCTTAAACAAAAATTATGATTGGAGCTTGTTATTTTGAGAACTTATTTTTTAAATATAGAAATTACACTTTACAAATTATAATTTTTTATTCAAATCTTGCGATGTATAGAACAAAAGTTGTCATTTCTTAAGCAAAAATTATGATTTAGACTTTTTTTTAATAACAAAAATTACATTTGACAAGTTGTAATTTTTTGTTTAACTCTTATGATTTATAAAATAAAAGTTATGATTGCAACTTATTTTCAATAATAAAAATTACACTTGATAAGTTGTAATTTTTTATTCAACTCTTGAGATTCATTGAATAAAAATTATTATTCGTTAAGCAAAAGTTAGAATTGGAGCTTATTATTTTCAATAATAGTAAAATGGCCTTTTTATTTTAAAATTTATTGACATAGAAGTCCCTAAAAATTTTAATAGAATTATAGTATTTTGAGAAATTAGATTATCATTTACATAATTCGGGAGATTTTATTGTCATTTTTTTAAAATTTACATCAAAATGTCAATCTTTTTATCACTATACTATAAACTTAATATATACATCAAAACTTAAATAAAAAACTTAACTATTTTTTTTAATAATTATGCGTTTATTTTTCTGGGTAAAAAGTGTGGACATTAATTTTAGCCCCCAATTTTCAGATGAATTTTCACTTTTAGCCCCCACATCACATGATGGCTTCTAGATCTATCCCAAATAATAATATATTATATTGTAAGTTAATGCACAAATGAGTCAGAAATATGGTAATAGAAATGAGCTGTACTAGCTAATTAAAATTAGCGGGAGCGATAAAAGCTCTAATTACTTGAATAAATAGATGAGAGCCTACTTTTTGCACTATAAAAGAGAAATAAGATGATCTGTTAGTTTTACTGTAAGCACAACAAAAAGAAAAACAGATGTAATTTCAGAAGAAGTATATATTTTACATATGGAGTTGATATCCGTAGAAGAGAAAGCGTTGATGGCCATGATTAACTGAAATGTAAAAGAAAAGAAGATGAAAAATCGTCCACAAAGTCGTCTTAAACTCATTAAAGAAGCTTAAACTCATTAAATGCTTTGTCTTGACGAGCTTCAAATCCATTCTTTCTATGCTCTGACATCACTGCCTGAAGGAACTCTCAACCTTAGATCTTTACAGACACTACGGATATTTGACTGTACAATGTTTAAGGAAGATGGCAAAAGGAAGGATGTTAAGACTGGTCCAAAGTTGTTCACATCCCAAATGTTCATGTCGATTAAGGAATTGGTGTCTCTACCCTCAAAATTCAAGATACTGCATCGACTGTTAATATAAAGGAATGTAATAAAGAATGGGGAAAATTCATAAGACAATGATTTCTCTTCTCTTTCTAAAGTCACTCCCTATTGTTGTTAGAAATAACCTTTTTTTTTATATATATATGTGTGATGTGACCCAATTGAAATTGGAGCTGTCTCAAACTTTTTCATCATCCTTCTCACACATGTAATTAACTTGATTGTTTGCTTCCTGTACTATATTTGTGGAATATCATGAGCTGATAGTTTGGGGGAGTCAGGTCATGATCTCCTACGAGAAGCAATGACACAAAATGTGCTTTTCAAACATTGGGTTATTGGTTTAGGATCCTTGTTTGATTCTTGAAGACATTGCATATGGTTTGGAGATTGTTAAACAAATATGAACTGTAGTTGGTGGTGATGCTGTTTAAAATTCCTGAGCATGATAGTTTTAGAGACTTTTCTTGATCATAGATGGCAACTGTAGTTGGTGCTTGTTTAAAAACAAACGACCTCTAAACATATAATTTTGTAATTTTCAGGTTAATATAAAACACCCCAAAATTGATGATAGTGATGCAAGAAGCTATAGGAATCTCACTAGGAATGGCGACTATGAAGTAGACTTTAGATAATGAAATTTAGGACCTGTTTGCTCATCCAACTTTTCACATATAAGAAGTTACTTTGCACTTTCGAAATGTCCAAAGTTATTTGAGTAACAATTGACAACCCAAAGTGATTTTATTGAAAGCACATCCAAATGAGACCAAAAGTGAATTTGGCCAATGTTGATGATATAAGGAGCTTTTGAGATCTTCATCCAACTAATGCCTTTTAATCGTGGTCTAACTAGTTATGAAAATACAGTATAGCCAAACAACAAAAAAGATTATTGAGTAATAATTCTAGGGAGATAATAAATTATATATAGTTCGCTGCCTTCCAATATTTCAGTGCATGTTGTTGATGAATTCCGATTATCATTTCTCCTGCCAAATTATTCATGTGAATTAAATTGAACCCTAGACGTTTCATATAGACTTGGTGGGTCATAGCTAACAATTCTGTTGAACTTGCTCGGATTTGACTTGAATTTTTTTTTTATTGTAAATAAAATGTCATTTTTTGGTGTTCAATCTTAAAATTTTTTAAATTTATTCAGATTGGCTTAATAATATAATATATGCTAGATATGTGCAGTTATTCTTTAATAATAATTATATACTTTTTTATTTTTAGCATAAAACACATATATTAAGTAAAGAATGATTTTTTATTCTCTTTTCCATCTTATTCTATTCATTGCTCAATTAGTCTTGAAGAGATTTTTCTTCCTATGCACTCAAAAGGAGAAATACAAGAAAAACCCTAATTGAAATATGCTCACGGGCAAGGCCAAGCCTTTCATCAACATTTCTTTTTCTTTTTTTATTTTTGATAGAATAGAGAGATAAACCCAATATATTAAAAGCAAATTACACAAGTTGGGGTTGAAATGCTAAACTATCAGAAAGCACTAAACTCCTTAAATACAAAGGAGCAACCTCAAACAAAGAAGAAGAAGAAGAAATCCTTTCCTTACCTAGTTTGTTTGCCATTTGGTTTTGTTCACGCTTCACATGCTGAATTTTCAATTCCACTACAGCATATTAAGAATTTAGACTTGGAATTTGCACATGGTGCCGAATATCAAAGGCCCAAACACCCAGCGTGAAACACCTGGAGATTCGCGTACATCTCAAAAAGCTCTCACTTGTTTTCTTAATGAATGATTTGTTTTTAATGAGAAGAGAATCTTATATTCAAAAGTTAAAGACCTTCCTCGTAAGCGAAGTTTCAAACTTTCAACAAATAGAAGAGTAGGGGATCAAGAAAGGGATAATGATTATTACCTAGGGTTTTCGTAAGGAACATTGTAGTATGAAGAGCTAAAAACTCATTAAAGATCCAAGGTTGTCAATTTTAATTCAGTTTTGATGGTCAATTCTTGTTAATTTCATTTAAAAAAACCTACCATCATCCCTGGTGCCACACGCTGTCACCACATGTTGATAGAGTTCTGGTGCTAACAAAGTAAGCAACAATCGTTAACACTTTTAAGAGATGATAATGAGAATTTGAACCTATGACTTCTTGATTCACCAAAATTTTGAAGACTATTAAATCAATAAAATCCTTTAGGTTTCGTTTGGATGAAGGAAAAAATAGAAAGAAAATACAGAGGAAGGAAAACTGGAAGGAAAAATTTTCAAAAATAGTAATTTTTTAATTATTTTTAAGAGTCTTCTCCTCTATTTTTTCTTCCTTTGTATTTTTCTCGTCATTCAAATGATAGGCTAGTAATATTATGCAAAATAATATATATATATATATATTATAAATTTAATTTTCAATATTTTTATGAAAGCTATTAAATTCAGAAACATTGTTGTCAATTTTAAACAATTACTTGCCAATATTATACCATTGATTCAAAAACTTGTCAATATCATTAGAATGTTTGAAACATGCACGGGCAAGGCAGGTATCAAAATCTATGCCCTCGAAGTAGATAAGCATGTATCTGTCCCCACCTTTCACTTTGAGAAAAATAAAGCATCTCTATTGTTCTTTTCTTTCTATCTATTCCCATCACAAGTTTTATAGAGCTAATTAACTTCCACATTCCTTGTAAATAAAGTTGTTTTTACAAGTAATCAACAAACTGTACTCTTCTTTCCAATAACATCCCTCTTAATTAGAAATGTTCCTGTAATTATGGCATTTTCTGTTGGACTAATTAATTAAAATCGTCAGAAATTCATAAATGCATTAGTAGCTTGAGATAGAATACATAGCCGTTACTTGTATAAAGCTATTTCACAAAGCAAATATGAGAATCATTTTATTATTTTCTTTCTAAGTAACAAGAGCCTTGCATCAATTATTCATTACAAGTGGAGAAAAGAATTTGGTCTTTAACTTCGTTGAATGACAGAAGCATCAAACATTCTTTTGCTCTCATGTATGAAGCATAAAAAAACGAGATTATATAAATATGTTTCATTTTGGGAGGTATGTTATCACATATCACCAAACAATTATTCATATTACTCTCCTCATACAATAACAAACCCCATCAATTGCATTTGCTATCGAATTAATGGAAGCCATTGCTGATAGAGTCATTGGGCTATTGGGCTCTTTGGCTTTTAAAGAGCTTGATATTCTTTGCAACTTCCAAGATGATTTAGAGAGCATGAACAGCATGGTCTCTGCAATCAAAGCAGTACTTCGTGATGCTGAGGCAAAGGACATGAAGGATAATCTGATCAATGACTGGCTAGTGAAGCTCAAAGATGTGCTACTTGATGCAGAAGACTTGTTGGATGCTTACTCCGCAGATGAGCTTGCTAGGGAAGTGATGACTAAAGGCAAAAGAGCCAAAGGGGTACGTATATTCTTCTCTAAATCCAATCGAATTGTTTGTGCTGCTAAAATAGGTCATGAGATTCGGGCAATCAGGAAGAAACTTGATGGCATTTTCAATGAGAAAAACAATCTGCATTTGAGTAAAATCTCATCCACTGCTTCCATTGAGTCTCATGACTGTAGGGAAACCTACTCGTTTGTGAGGGAGGAAGATGTTGTAGGAAGAGACGAGGAAAGGAAGCATCTTGTTAGTACCCTTTTAGACCTTGATGTGAAAACTAATGTTTCTGTGGTACCCATAGTTGGGATTGGAGGATTGGGGAAGACTACACTTGCTCAACAAGTGTATAATGATGAGGCTATCAAAAAGCATTTTGAGCTAATGAAGTGGGTTTGCGTGTCTGATGAATCCTCTGAATTTAACAATAAGAAGGTAGCTCAAAACATAATTGGACATGAAATAGGTGGTGACGTGGAGAAAGTCACAGAGGCTTTAAGAGACAAGATTGAGGGGAAACTTTTTCTGCTTGTGTTAGATGACTTCTGGAATGAGGATCGTGAGAAATGGCTTAAATTAGAAAGCCTGTTAAGGGGAGGAAAAAAGGGAAGCATGATTATTGTGACCACGCGTAGTAAAATAGTAGCACAAATAATGGGCACATTTGTACCTCTTTACTTAGATGATTTGGATTTTAAAAACTCTTGGGAGCTATTTCATAGAATGGCTTTTAAGGATGGGAAAGAACCAGATAATCAAGAGTTGGTAGGTATTGGAAGGGACATTGTGAGAAAATGTGCAGGAGTTCCCCTTGCCATAAGAACTATTGGTAGCCTCTTGTTCACTAAAAAGATGGGAGTGAGTGAATGGTCATATTTTAGGGATAATGATCTTGCAAGTATAGATTCTGATGACAAGAATAAAATCTATTCTATCCTTAAACTTAGTTATGATCATCTTCCCTCCCATTTGAAAAATTGCTTTGCATTTTGCTCTCTGTTTCCTAAAGATTATGTGATTGAGAGAACAACACTTGTTCAACTATGGATGGCTGAGGGGTTCATTCAACCCTTGGATAAACATAGATGCATGGAAGATGTTGGTGACGAGTACTTCAAGAGTTATTGTCAAGGTGCTTGTTTCAAGATGTGACGCTAGATGCTTACGGTGATATAGAGTCATGTAAGATGCATGACCTTATACATGATCTAGCACGATCACTCGTTAAAAATGAGTGTTACATTATCACAAGTAGTGAAATGGAAGAAAACTTCAATGATAGGATTCGTCATATGTCATGTCATTTAAAGACTGGTAGTTATTGGGAGTTCCTGGTTGATGATGACAAGACAAAGAGAGTGAGAACAATTATGCCTCAAGTGAGTTGTAAAGGTATCTCAAGTAATTCCCCTCTTTTAAATTTCTTTCATTTAATATGTGGTTCTACAGCATCATTTCCAAAGTACTTGCGTGTTTTGTGTTTAAAAGCATTTAACATTCCAGAGAGTATAGGAGAACTAAAGCGTTTGAGATATCTTGATTTATCATATAATAATTGTCTTGAGAAACTTCCTTAGGCAATTGCTAAGTTACATAACTTACAAACCCTGAAAGTTAATCATTGTAAAATGTTAAAAGAGTTGCCAAGAGATATCAAGAAGATGGTAAGTCTCAGACATTTTGAATTTCATGATTGTGAGAGGTTGGAATATATGCCATGTGGTTTAGGATGCTTGACTAATCTTCAAACATTGAGAAGATTTATAGTGAATGAAAGGAAAGGTAGTGCAAGGATAGGGAGCTGCAAAATCTCAAAGGCCTGAGGGGTTTACTATGTATTAAAAACTTAGAAAGGCAGCGGTGTAACACTAAGGAGGTTGAGTATGTGAAGTTGTTGAATGACATGTTAGGTCTTCGAGAATTGCAACTAATGTGGCTATCGGATGAAGAAATTGAAGGTAAATATTGGGAAGAAGAGATACATGATAAGGATGCGATAATTTTGCAAGCTTTACAGCCTCCTTGCACAATTATAGATCTGAGTATAAATAGATATTGTGGCAAACAATTATCAAATTGGATAGAGCTTTTGTCATCCTTGCAACGGCTTACACTCAACAATTGCTTTGCTTTAGCATCACTTCCTGATTCAATGGGGAGCCTGACATCATTGCAAAGACTTTCAATCATTACTTGCTCGACTTTGGCATCACTTCCTGATTCAATAGGGAGCCTGAAATCATTGCAAGAACTTTCAATCATTAATTGCTCTACTTTGGCATCACTTCCTGATTCAATGGGGAGCCTGACATCATTGCAAGAACTTTCAATTCACTGATTGCTCTGCTTTGGCATCACTTCCTGATTCAATGGGGAGCCTGACATCATTGCAAGACTTTCAATCAGTAATTGCTCTGCTTTGGCATCACTTCCTGATTCAATGGGGAGCCTGACATCATTGCAAAGACTTTCAATCAGTAATTGCTCTGCTTTGGCATCACTTCCTGATTCAATGGGGAGCCTGACATCATTGCAAAGACTTTCAATCATTACTTGCTCTGCTTTGGCATCACTTCCTGATTCAATGGGGAGCCTGAAATCATTACAAGACTTTCAATCATTGATTGCTCTGCTTTGGCATCACTTCCTGATTCAATGGGGAGCCTGACATCATTGCAAGAACTTTTCATCTATAGTTGCTCTGCTTTGGCATCACTTCCTGATTCAATGGGGAGCCTGACATCATTGCAAAGACTTTCAATCAGTAATTGCTCTGCTTTGGCATCACTTCCTGATTCAATGGGGAGCCTGACATCATTGCAAAGACTTTCAATCATAATTGCTCTGCTTTGGCATCACTTCCTGATTCAATGGGGAGCCTGACATCATTGCAAGAACTTTCAATCAGTGATTGCTCTGCTTTGGCATCACTTCCTGATTCAATGGGGAGCCCGACATCATTGCAAAGACTTTCAATCAGTAATTGCTCTGCTTTGGCATCACTTCCTGATTCAATGGGGAGCCTGACATCATTGCAAGAACTTTCAATCAGTGATTGCTCTGCTTTGGCATCACTTCCTGATTCAATGGGGAGCCCGACATCATTGCAAAGACTTTCAATCAGTAATTGCTCTGCTTTGGCATCACTTCCTGATTCAATGGGGAGCCTGACATCATTGCGAGAACTTTTCATCTATAGTTGCTCTGCTTTGGCATCACTTCCTGATTCAATGGGGAGCCTGACATCATTGCAAGACTTTCAATCAGTAATTGCTCTGCTTTGGCATCACTTCCTGATTCAATAGGGAGCCTGAAATCATTACAAGCATTGAAAATCATATGATGCTCTTCTTTGATGAAAAGATATGGACGCAAATTAGAGAGGGCAAATTGGCCAAGAATTTCTCACATCCCAAGCGTTATTATATACGATAATTAAAGATTCAGATTCTTTATCTTCCATTCAAGGCAACTCAAGGTATTTTATCTACAAACATTTTTGTTCTCTTCGTGGGTAGTTAAACGTAACTTTCTTACATAGCATTGCCATTTTCCTTGTCCTGCAGTCTATCTGTTTTTGTTTGTGACATTTCTATGTTACATCTTTAAGAGAAGATGCGCCCCCACTTCTGCTGCTTCTTGTCGGTGGCCACTTTCTAATGAAATTGCGTATGGCAAGTGGATTGTTCTTTTGCTGGAGGATCTGCTTCCAAGTTGAGGCTTGAATTGTTCTTCTTGTTCGTGCCTTTTGCTTTCCTGGTTGTTTCCTTATAGACTCTGTTTGCTGCATCTTTCAATGAAGATCTTTTGCTCGGAAAAAAAAAAAAAAACTGCTTCCCTTCCAATCAATTTTGGTATTGTTTTCTGCATCTTTCAATGAAGATCTTTTGCTTAATTGAGATTGCATAATATCATCAATTAAAAAGGGCTGGTTATATCATAGCTTTTTACGAGTTGAACTTCTCGAAGCTCCGACAAATCACTATAGATGGAAGCATGAACTGAGGAAAATTTTTTCAGTTCTGTCTGCATATACTCTGATTAAGGAGAAGACCATGGCTTCTTAAAATTCTTCATAAATACAAGGTCAGAACAACTTACTCTATACTCTTCATATATTTTTTAAAATTATATATTGACCATCCTTAACCAATACTTATATTGAATATCATAATTAATGAATTTTTTTAAAAAAACAGAGTTGGTAGAGTCAAAATACTTTTATAGAAATATAATATGCTAAATGATAAGAAATGTTTTCTTAAACACTTGTTGGCATGTTTTTTTTTTTAAAAAAAAAAAATTAGTCTAACGCACTAACAAAGTATCTTCTCAAAAAGGCTTTTATTAAATCCTCATTCGATAAATTTTGAAATTGATTATAAATTAGTCCAAACCAGTAATAAAAGTTTTCAATTAATTTTCTCAGTCACCGACACGAGAACAATTATATTTGATCCCACATTAATTGTTTATCTCGTGCTATTGATGAATGTTTCTGCTTAGGAATGAGAAAGACAAGTACATAATTTTAAGATGTGGTAAAGGCGAAGTGATATTGAAGGAAGCACTAATTGCTGCACTGTAAGTTAATTAATAGCTCAAATTCTTCAAATATTCATCAAAATGCCTTCATTCTCACAATATTCCAAATCATTTTTTCATTGATTCTTGCAGTCTTTTGCCTCTTGCGTGTGCCTTGATTTCTTTGAGGATGTTGGTCGCTGCTTTTTAGAGGCCAACTTCCACTTTCTGTGTATTTTGAAAACAAAGTCCCATTTAACATTCAGCTATTTTAGTCAATTGATTATTCTTGAGCATTAGGTCTTTAAAGTCATTGTCGAAGTTTTTTGAAGTCACAGCAGTCCTCTTTTTGTCCTTTAGGATGGGTTGAGCTGTATAATTCTCAATATGTTGAACAACCATTTCTTTATAAGGCTTGTCAAAGGGAGGTGAAACTGACACCCTTTAAACTTGATTTGTTGTTTCCATAACCTACATATATTATCATTTTTCATAGTATATACCACTTTGGTTTCAGAATAAAAGTGAATTAGCAGAAATACAAATCAGTTATTTAAATTGTATGAGAAATATTGGGAAGAAATTAGTGGGGGAGAGTTTAAGATACATCCTTTTGTTCGCTAAAAGCTACAAGCTTTTTGCTTGTAGGATTGTTCTGTGATTCTGTCCACTCTTGTACTTGAAGCAGAGAAATTACTTTTAGGCCATCGTTTAATTTCAAGAAATATTGTATTTTTCTGTATCTTGTACAAAAGTCTTCATCATCAAAACTATACAAGACATCGGTAAAAATAGAAGCATGCCAAGTTTTCGTATTTATCGGAAACAAAAAAACTTGCTCAACCCAAAATGTCATCTACGCTAAGTAGGCTTGCACTTTCGGGAGGCAGCTGTACAACCTGCAAATTCTCAGTGTTTAATGTAAGCCATAGGAGGCTGCATCACATATTTTAAACAACGTAAAGCAAAACTAAGTTATGGCCAAAGCACCGGAGTAAACAGTAACTTAACCTATATTTTACTGTCGTAAATGTCAAGTGCTTCAATCTTTAATTCGCACTAGGTTGTCAAGTGCTGCTGCTATTATATTTCATTTAACATAAGCTAAGGCACAAGACTTGGGTAAAACATATCCATGTCTCAGCAAGTCATGGAAAAATTTGATAGCAAACACTTGTTTCTGTGTTTTCTCCTCTTTCACCGACAGCTTTTGGCATGTAAGATTGTTCTATTGTTCTTGAAACAGACAAAAATTACTCTTAGCCTCTCTTTTCTTCTTCTTCTTCTAGTGGATATTACACTTTCAGTATCTAAGTTATCTCAATCAATAAAACTCTACAAGACATTAGTTCGCTAGAAGCATGTCAATTGTGTTTAATTTGGTCCATCAAATTTACGTGGACTTTTGACAGAAAGATATGGTTGACAATTGGAGCGTATAGACCCGTCGGGCATTTCTCACACTCCACGTGTTGGTATTTATTGAATAAAGAATTGAATTCCTCATCTCCTTTTTCAACCATTGACTCTTTTTCTCTTTTTATGGATATTTTTCACTTTTCACCCAGCATTTTTCTTCCTTGAATTTTTTTTCCTTCTTGAACTTTCTCTTTTTATTGTTCATGTGTGTCTTTCTATTAAAAGAAATTTTATTTAAATTTTTAATCCCTATAATTTTTTTTCATATTTTCATTACTTATAGTGTCAAAAAGATTGTGTCACTTTGATTTGTTAAGTCTCTATAATTTTAATTTTTAAGTGGTTTTAGTCCCTATAAATACTGAAAACACTAAAAAAATTATGAGGACTAAAAGCAAAATCTAATAAAATTATAGGAATCAAAAATTATGTTTTTTAAAAAACAAAACACTTATACTCTCCTTTAGTAAAAATTATGAGTCTTGCTTGTAAACAATTTTAAAATAGATTTTGGCCTCCATCCATTAGCTTCTTGATCTATCTATGTTTGAGATATGATTGGATATTAAATTTGAAGATCTTTTTAATAAAAATTCAAATTTTGATTTACTACTAGCTTCTAACTTCTATTAGAGTCAACTCTTGTTGGTTTCTTTTTAAACTTTTCATATAATATTGGGTTATATTGAAAAATATATTACTGGAAACAACTATGAGTTCCTCTTTTATTTTACCATAAAAATTCCAAGATAAAAAAAAAGCCATGTCTTCTGTTAACATTTGAATACATGTTTTTTCTTTTAATTTTTCAATTTTGTACTAACTCTTAACCTTTTAAAATATGAATCACGAATTATCAATAGGGTTGGATCCGGAGAAAATGATTTTTTCCGTTCACAATAAGAGAGACTAGAGAAGATACTTATCGTTGAAATTGAGATTATTCACAATGAATGTGTGTTTCCCAGTTCACATTGACACAAAAGGATAAGTTTTATAGTTCATTTTTGAAGTTGAAATATAACATATCCTTTCAATTCTATTTATAAATAGATTTCAACATGCTTTAAAGAAATTAAGAGAATTTTTAAAACTCACTAACTTTGTCAAAAAAAAATTTAACTTTATTTTATCATATATATATATATATATATTGTCTCACTAACATATAATGGAAGTAAAAAAAAACTTATGATAAAAAATAAATGACATGCCTTATAAATATAACAAAAAAAAATCTTCTCTCTAATTGCTTTAGAAATAAGTTCCAAAAAAGTATTATATAGTTTTATCGAGTGCTTTTAAAAATTATGTTTTACACTTATTTCAAATCACAGTTAAGAAAATAAATAAAACATTAAGAAAATATCTAGACGCGAATTGTAAACCATTGAAAAGTGACTGTGTGAGTACGGATATGGGTCTAGTTTGAAATATAATTTCAGCCACATGCACATGCACATACATGCACCTGTTTCCAGCTATCATTATTCCTCTCAACTAATTTGTCGAAATCACAATGAATTATTACCAATCGAACGTGTCATCCTGTTCACCCATGGATGTGCCAGTGGAGCTAAAGGATAAGGATGGACCCTGGCCTGCTTCATTTTGAAATTATTATTTTTTTTGCTAATTTTATTATTCTTGTTAATCTCAGCTTTATATCTTTTCTTTTTTATTTTCTCGTCAAAGACACATATTCTTTATATATGTATATAGCAATATATATTTCCCATTTTTTATTACATAAATTTCTTAATTCTTAGCTCCAAATTAAATAATTATTCAATAATAATAATTAAATTTGATTTTTAAGAATTAAATTATTATTCGACAATTATTATTAGGTTCTCAACGTTTATTAGTTATATATTTTTGAATTTGAATTACGAAGATAATGAATTACTATGAAGGAAGGAAACCTCAGGCCTCGACATCTTATACTTGTCTGTAGTGGGCTGGAATCATTAGTGCTCATCATCCCGATTTAAATTTTTTTATTTTTATTTTATATTTATTGAAATTAAAAATTATAAAGTTGTAAAAAGCTTTAATAAACCTTTTTATTACCAACGGAGAATCCAAATTGAAAATTTTAATTGACAATTTTTTTAAAAAATATGTTTTTTTTAAAATAGTGCTAGTTAGGATATTATCTTTATTTTTAATATTATATTTATTAAAATAAAAGTTTATAAATAAAAATTTTGATCCTGAGTTAATCAAAAAATTGAAAGAAAATGTTTAAAAATTACAAAAAAAAAATCAAAAAAAGGCCAACAAACAGAGTTTGGTTTGTTAGTAAGAGTTGTGGGTTTTGAGTTCAGACTTTAGAGACATGCCTTGAACTTTTGAGGCTTAACTCAATTAAATGTTGTTTTTAAATGAAAATATTGGCTGTCATGATTATTTGAAGTGTAAAACAGAAAAAGATGAGAAAACTTTTTAGTTTTTAGTAATTGTCGGGGACTAAAATATTGCATATTGATAATCGGTGCACGCTGGCAAGTCCGAGCACATGCATGAATGCACCTAGCCAGGTACCATTGTTCCTCAATCTACTTGTCAATGAAGACTGATAGTTGAATGCGACTTGCAGATGAGGGAAACACTTGAAGTTGCAGAGGCACTAACATAACTTGATACTACCCATAGGCGCAGTTTCTCACATCCCTCTCCTCTTACAAACCTCTCGTTTCACTTGCAAAGGAGCCAATGGAAGCCATTAGAGTTGGGGTTGTTGGGGTCTTTGGCTTCAAAGGAGCTGGACATTGTTTGCAACTTCCAAGAAGATTTGCAACTTCAGATAAGTTTAAGAGGATTAATTAATTCAAATTAAGTTTTAATGAACTTTAAAGTACAAATTTTTAAGAATTTACAAATTCAGTTCTTAATTTTACAATTTTATTATAATAAATTTGTAATTTATTTTTTAAATTTTAACTTAATTGGAGAATAAATAAATTTATTTTTTCTGTTAAAATTTAAAATACAAGTTACAAATTTATACAATAAAATTGTAAAATTAAGAGTTGAATTTATAAACTCTTGAAGTTTGACACTTTAAAATTAATTGGGACCTAATTTAAATCAAAATACTTCTATAGATATATAATATTGCTACATGATAAGAAATGTTTTCTTAAATACGTGTTGGCATGTTTTTTTTCTTAATTAGTCTAACGCACTAACGAATTATCTTCTTAGAAAGGCTTTTATTAAATCCTCATTCGATAAATTCTCAAATTGATTGAAATTAGGTAAAACCAGTCATGAAAGTTTTCAATTACTTTTCTTAGTCATCGACACGAGAACAATTATACTTGATCTTACATTAATTGATTATCTCGTGCTTACACTTATATGTTGCTCTTGTTTGGTAGCGTTTTCCAGATTCAATAGGGAAGTCTATCATCATTGCAACAACTTACACTAATACGTTGCACTGCTATGGCATCATTTCCATATTCAATAGGTAGTCTATCATCATTGCAACGATTTCATCTTGAAGACTTTGACATCACTTCCAAATTCAATAAGAAGTTTATCAGCATTGCAAGAACTTATACTCAAAGATTGCTCTGCTTTGATATCACTTCCAGATTCAATAGGGCATTTGTCGTCATTGCAAGAACTTACATTTGAATATCGCTCTCCCTTGGCATCACTCCCAAATTCAATAGAGTTTGTTATCATTGCAAAAATTGACAATCAGAGGATGCTCTGCCTTGATTAAAAGATATGGACACCATTTAAAGAGGGAAAATTGGCCCGGAATTGCTCACATCCCAAGGGTTTTTATACGATGATTAAATAATCATTTCTTTGTCTTCCATTTAAAGTTTTTTTGTTATATTCTTTGGTAGTTCAACATAATTTTGTTACATTGCATTTACTGTTTTCCTTGTCATGCAGTCTCTATTTGACTTTGTTTGTGACAAATACTATTTTTTTCTATATAAAAGGCCAAAACATTATATTAACTAGCCACTTTGATCAGGTGATTATCATATCACTATCATTAGCAAAAATATTAATAAGTAATTAAAAATATTATATTTATATTTATATTAAAAATATCTTACTAAAATATTAATAATTATATATAATAATTTAAATATTATTATACTTTGCAAATCTTTACACCAAATTCACAAGTAACTTTTGAGATTTACAATTTCTTTAAAAAAAAAAAAATTAGAACTTGACAGGTGTATTTGTTATTCAAAAGTAAATACAATTTTTTACAAATAAATAATTGAGTTGTTAAAAATAATCTATTTATAATTCTTGGATACTTTGAGTTGTTAATTTTTTTAAGGTTAAAATGCATAAAACCCCTTAAACTTTGAGATATTTACATATAACTCCCTTTACTTTTAAAATTTTAAAATTAATCCCCTAGCCTTTAATTTTATTTTACAAAACCCCCTATCATAAATTTTTTAACAAAGTTTGAAACTAGGCTATAAGACAATAATAGACATATTAAACATACATTACATCAATTAAATAATTAATTTATAACTACTTATTCACCAATTTACAATTATAATTTTAACTTTTTACAACTATAACTTCATATATTCAATAGTTAAATAATTATGCACTATTAACAAAGCTTAATATTAGTTGTTTACAATTACTTTATCAGAAACTTATAACTATAACTTTAACTTTTTACAACTATAACTTAACATATGTAATAGTTAAGTTGATCAATTTAATTTAATTATTACATATGTGAAGTTACAACTATAAAAAGTTAAAGTTGTAGTGTAAATTATTAATAAAGTAGCTATAAATTATTTGATTTATGAATGTAGATATGTTTAAGAGGAGCATTATTGTCCTTTTATGCAAATTTCAAATTAAACTAAGGTCCCAAGGGACCTAGTTATGGCTTTTGAATTTCGCAAGACTTATTTGTAAATAAGTCAGCTTCATGAAACCTATATGTAATTTCTCTTTAAAAAATGTCACTTGTGAATATATAGAATGTCAATTATAAATATACATGAAGAATCTTAATTGTAAATTAATGATTTAAAGACTCTCTCATGTTTCTAATATCTATTCATAAGTGATTTTTCATAAATTCACAAGTAATTTTCAAAAATTCATAAATGGTTATCCTTAAATTCATAAGTTATAATGTATAAATTTTTAAAACTATCTATTCATTTACAATTGACTTTTCATATATTCATAAGAGAGTTCCATTAAATTCACAATTAACTTTCCTTAAATTCATGAATGACTTTTTATTGATTATTTCAATAATTAGAAGTATTTTAATTAAAAATAAAGATCATGGTCCTTCTCTAGTACTTCAATATTTTGAGGTCTTCAATTATCATTAATGTCTTTACAAATTTTAGAATTGTCATTTTCCCAACTATTAAATATTAAAATATTAATATTTTAATAAGATATTATTAAAAATTATATTATTTTAAATTATTTACCGCTGTTGTTATCAATAATGGTGATTTAATAATAACAAGTTTTCTTTACAAATGATGGTATTAGATTCTTTACTTTTTCTCACAAGTTTTCTTTGGCCCCTCATTTCTCACTTTTAAATCTTCATTGCAGCACTAGGTACATGGTTTGGCATCACCAAGTCAAAAATCTAATTATAAAGTTCTCTCAAGTTTCTTATACTTTTTTATCCACGAATTGCTTCACTGTAAGTCAATTAATAGCTCAAATTCTTCAAATCTTTCATCAAAATCCCTTCATTCTTACATAGCATTCTTTGTTTCCATTGTTTCTTGCAGTCTTTACCTCTTGCTGGTGCTTTCATTTCTTGGAGGAAGTCGTTGCTGGTTGTTGGAGGCCACCTTCCACGATCTGTGTATTTTGCTGATAAACTCCCATTTAACATTCGGTTTCTTTACTCAATTTGGTTGTTCTTGAGAATAATATCTTTTAAGTTGAAATGGAAGTCACCCCTTTCTTCTTCCAAAGTCTCTTTCTCTTCTATGAATACCCATAATAAAGTTCCATAATGCTAATTATGAGCTTTAGCATTCCTTATAATTCCCATAACCTCTGCAAGGACTTAAATGCATTGCCTGTTAGCCTGAATCGTTTTCGCATGAAATTTTTCAGGAATAAGAATTTCAATATTCTCTTAAAGTAAGAGTTTTTTCTTTAGTTTCTTGCCAAAAGTCATTGTCGGAGTTTTTAAAGTCATTGCAGTCCATTTTTTTGGTCCTTCCGGAGGGGTTCATCTGCATAATTTTCAATATGTTGAATGCTCATTCGTGAGATGATTAAGCTCAACATGATATATATTACTGATCTAACCATGGGTGCATCTCTAAGTTGTCTAATTATAATTTCTTTCTAGGAGGGAGATCTTTACAAAATGACATATGCACCCATCATTTTGTGGGGTACCGTAAAGCTGTACGTATTGATCAAGGTTATAATCGCAACTTTTTTTTAGGTTTTTATGGTGGGACTCAACAATTTGAACTTGTCATGTGATAGTTGCACTTGATTTTTGATTGACAGTTAAAAAAATTATATAGTTAATATTCATGACAAAAATTCTAACATGACTACATATATACTCCTCCGCTTAAAAATGTAAGTATTTTTTAAAAAAAGTTAAATATTAAAAAAATGTAAGATATTTTTAATGTTTAAAATATTATTATTTTTTTTTCAAAATACCCCTAATAAATAATCACTTTATATATGTTGTAAAGTAAAACACCCTATTAAATAAATGTAGATAAGAAAAGATGATGTTAATTTGAAAACAAATAATTACTTTATTAGGAGGTGAGATTCAGTTAAAAATATATACATCCATGATCACAAAGTCTCTTTTTTGGTGGAACATAAACTTTCCTTTTTGTAAACCTTTTCTTCAATATGGTTTTCTTTTACTGATATTTTTAATTTTGTACTTAATCTTTTAATTTGAAATTAAAAGCATTAAATTTATCATTATAGCAGTTGGAGCCACAATCCAACGTTACGCCTTAAACTAACGTTTTTATGAGTTCAATGACTAAATTGATTTTCTTAACATTGCTTAAAAAAATCTTCATAAGCCAATTCTCCAATCACTTGCCATATCGATAAGAAAGCCACAAGTTTAATATGCTCTATTAATAGTGCATGGACCTAAAAGACGGAGTGAAAGGCTTATGATTGAGGTTAGTTGTAACGCATTGTTTGTTCAAGAAAGACACAAAAGCTAGGGGATACTGTGAAAAACTTGTGATTGAGATTACTTGTAACGCATTAACAAGGAATAAATAGAGGGATTGCTAATGAAATCAATCCCAATTGCAATGCTGACTCGAAAGTATAAAAGCATCAGACAGTGTGGGTCTGTCTTCCGCTTGTTAATTACGATATGAGTTCATCACATACTGCCCAGGAATCAATCCCAATAACTTTCTCCTCACACAAACCCCATCAACATATTGGACATGAAACATGTGGTGACATGGAGAAAGTCGCAAAGGCTTTAAAAGAGATGATTGATAGGGAACTTTTTCTGCTTGTGCTAGAGGACGTCTGGAATGAGGACCGTGAGAAATGGCTTGAATTAGAAAACCTGTTGATGGGAGGAAAAAAGGGAAGCATGATTATTGTGACCACGCGTGGTAAAAAAGTGGCACAAATAATGGGCACACTTGTACCTCTTTACTTAGATGATTTGGATTTTAAAAACTCTTGGGAGCTATTCCGTAGAGTGGCTTTTCGAGAGGGGAAAGAACCACATAATCAAGAGTTGGTAGGGACATTGTGAGAAAATGTGCAGAAGTTCCACTTGCCATAAGAACTGTTGGTAGCCTCTTGTTCACTACAAAGTTGTGAGTGAGTGAATGGTCATATTTTAGGGATAACGAGCTTGCAGAGATAGATTTAAAACTGGAGAAAAATATCCTGTCTATTCTTAAACTAGTTATGATCACCTTCCCTCCCATTTGAAAAATTGCTTTGCATTTTGTTCTCTATTTCCCAAGGATTATGAGATTGAGAGAAGAACACTTATTCAAGTATGGATAGCTGAAAGATTTATTCGACCTTTGGATAGAAATAGATGCATGGAAGATGTTGGTGACGAGTACTTCAAGGAGTTATTGTCAAGGTGCTTGTTTCAAGATGTGAGGCTAGATGGCCATGGTGACATAGAGTCGTGCAAGATGCATGACCTCATACATGATCTAGCATGGTCAATCACCAAAAATGAGTGTTGCATTTTCACAAGTGAAAGAGTAGGAGAAGAAAACTTTGGTGCAAGGATACGTCATGTGTCAAGCCATTTTGACGGGGAATGGAAATTTTTAATCAATAATGTCAAGACTAACAAAATAAGAACAGTTATGTCGGTTGTAGGGTGGATGGTAATAATCCCATGTGATTCTTTGCATGCTTCAATTTGTGAGTCTACAATATTGTTTCCGAAGTTGCGTGTATTGGCTCTAAACAATAATGGAGATGCAAAAATTCCAAAGTTTATTGGAGAATTAAAGCATGTAAGATATCTTGATTTATCAGATAACGAAAGTCTTGAGAAGCTTCCGCAGGAAATTACTGAGTTACATAACTTGCGGACACTAAAACTTAATTGGTGTTTGATTTTAAATGAATTGCAAAGAGATATTAAGAAGATGGTTAGTCTGAGACATATTGAATTGCTTGGTTGTGATAAGTTGCAATATATGCCATGTGGTTTAGGATGTTTGACTAATCTTCAAACACTAACAACATTCGTGGTGGACAAAAAGAGCGGTGGTGCCCGGATAAGTGAGGTACATGATCTCAATGGCTTGAGGGGGCAAATAACAATCGAAAACTTAGAAAGGCAGCGGAGTAATACGAAAGAGGTTGAATATGTGAAGTACTGGATGGCATGCCATGTCTTCAAGGATTATGTCTATTGTGGTGGTCCGAAAGCCGAAATGATTATACAGAAGAAGATATGCATGACAAAGATGGGATAATTTTAGAAGCTTTAGAGCCTCCTCAAACAATCAAAGCATTGCGTATAAATAGATTTTGCGGCAAATGGCTACCAGATTGGATACGGAATCTCACCTCACTGCAAATGCTAGATGTTCGTGGTTGCTCTGCTTTGGCATTACTTCAAGATTCAATAAAAAGTCTGTCATCATTGCAAGAACTTACACTCGAAGTTTGCTCTGCTTTGGTATCACTTCCAGGTTCAATTGGTAGTCTATCTTCATTGCGAGAACTTACACTCAAAGGTTGCTCTGCTTTGGCATCACTCCCTGATTCAATAGGGAGTCTATCATCATTGCAGAAACTTGCACTTATAGATTGCGATGCTTTGGTATCACTTCCAAATTCAATAGGGAGTTTGACATCATTACACGAACTGACTCTCGGTGGCTGCTATGCTTTGACAGAATGATATGGACGCCAATTAGAGAGGATGAATTGGCCGGGAATTGCTTACAACCCAATGGTTTTTATTTAAGATGATTAAAGAATTGGTTCCTCTATCTTCCATTAGAAGTTTATCAAGGTATTTTATCTACAACTTTTTTGTTCTCTTCGTGGGTAGTAGTTCAACGTAATTTTCTTGAATTGCATTTACTTTTTTCCTTGTCCTGATGTCTCTATCTGTTTTTTTGGTGTGATGTTTCTATGTTACGTCTTCAAGAGAAGATGCTGCCAGTTCTGCTTGTTCTTGTTGGAGGCGACTTTCTAATCATGTGTAATTTGTTCATAAGGACCAGATTATATTTTCACTATCAAATTGTGGAAGTAAAATGGATTGTTCTGGTGCATTAGGATCTACTTCAAAGCTGTGGTTTGAATTGGGGGTTTTTTCTTTTTTTTTTCGTTTTTTTTTTCTTTCTTTAGAAACTGTTTCACTTGTAATCAATTCTCGTATTGTTTTCTTGTATATTAGTTCAAACCAGTAAGGAAAGTTTTCAAATACTTGGGCTAGGCATCTGCAAGAGAACAATTGCATTTGATCTTACATTAATTGATTATCTCGTGCTGTTGATGAAAAATGTTTCTCCTTAGGAATGACAAAGACGAGCATAAATTCAAGACGTGTTAAAGGCAAAGCGATGTAGAAGGAAGCAGAAACAAAAAATTACAATTATGAAGATTCACTTGAATTTTCTAACTTCAAGAAGCTACATCAAATGAATTGAAATCAATGTGTTGACTATGGAAGATTGCCTAGTAGAGAATCAGTAGAGAATCTCACATCATTACAATATATGGATTTTGAAGTTTGTGTAATTGGACATCAGAGATAGGAAATGTTGGTGAAGGGACGATGATTGGAGGTCGCCATGGCCTATGGTTCACTTCTTTATAAGTTCATATTCAACTCATACAGAATTGGTGTCCTTCAGTTGAAACAAAAATGATGGTATTAGATTCATTGCTGTTTTTCTCACAAGTTTTTTTCTTTTTTTGGTCCCCTTTTCTCACGTTTTTAAATCTTCCGTGCAGCGCTAGGCACATGGTTTGGGATTATCTGTCCGAAAATAACGTTCTCTCAAAGTCTCCTACTTTTGTGACCACTAATTGCTTCACTGTAAGTTAATTAATAGCTCAAATTCTTCATATCTTTCATCAAAAGCCCTTCATTGTAACATCGCCTTCTTTATTTTCATTGTTTCTTGCAGTCTTTACCTCTCGCAAGTGCATTAATTACTTGGAGAATGTTGTTGCTGCTTGCTGGCGGCCACCTTCCACTTTCTCTGTATTTTGCTAATAAACTCCCATTTGACATTCAGTTATTTTAGTCAATTTGGTGGTTCTTGAGTATTTGATCTTTAAAGTCATTGTCAGAGTTTTTAATAGTCATTATAGTCCCTTTTTTATCCTTTAGGAGGAGTCGAGCTGTATAATTCTTAAAATGATGAATGCTCATTCATGAGATGGATTAACCTCAGCATTATATTACAGTTCTAATCAATTATGAATGTCAAAATCTTCTAATTATAATTTCATTCTAGAAGAATTATCTTTACAAAATTCTCACTTTCAAGTGGCAAGAGAGACAAGAGGGAAAAGGAAGGGGGGGAAAGACATATACACCCATCAATGTGGGGGGTAGGCTATGCACATATAAACAGCTCTGGATAATGAGCAAGGAAGTTAATAAAAGATAAACCTCCTTGCCGGAAGCAAATGATTGAAGAAGAATTATGATTCAGTACAATCTGATTGATCAAGGTCGCCAACACACCAACCAATCGCCAACTCTTAACTGTAATGCCTGGTGTCAATTTGAGCTCGAGAAAAAGAAATTAGTCAACCATTCAGATGAGCTAATGAGAATTATTCTCCAGTATATAAGCACAACTATCAGACTATGACCAGCTTTATCATCAGAAATCAACAACCAGCAGCCTTCAAGAAGTTATCATATGGGCTTGATGCTGGTAGTTGAAAGGCTTGGTACTGGTATGCTGTTGCACAAAGCATTGGAGTTGGTGTCGTGCCAGACATAGTGGCAAAGCTTGGATCCAGGAACGGATTTCCTGTCTGCAGTTCAGATGGCGTGAAAATAAGATAACCTTGTCGCCTTATTTTGATAAAATTGGATAAATAGGTGAGTGTTGAGTTATCATGTGATCATATCTATATGCAGTAGGTAATTGGAATCTCCACTTTTTTGGCCTAAAATCTTTTGGTTATCAATTAATCATATTGTGGTACTTTCCTACATATTATGTTAAAGAAATCAAGTGAAGGGCATTAGGCTGGACACTGTCATTTGTTAGAACACTATGAAATTGTATAAGTGAAACATATTTCCAACAATGAAATTGTTCTTTGTCTTAACATTCACTTCTATTTTTGTTCACATAAGGACAGAAAATACCGCATGTGATTATGTGGGAATTAAATAACCTAAAGGAAGATTGGATGGCATGCATTAACCTGTATATAGCAAAACTAAATTTGGGCCAATGCAAATAACATGAAGTAAATATGCTTTATTTTCAATTTCAAAACTAAAGAAAGCAAGAGTACCATAGGAAGACTTTGTTGCACCTCCTCCGCCCGCTTGTTGTAATCTTCAGCAGAAATCGTCAATGGATTTCCTTGCACTGGCAGAGGAAACATGAAAGTGGACATCATCTGCTGCTTTCCCATGAGAAGGGCCTCGCAATGTAGAGCCATTTCTTTATAAGGCTTGTCAAAGGGAAGTGAAACTGACACCCTTCCAACTTGATTTGTTGTTTCCATAACCTGCATATATTATCATTTTTCACAGCATACATCACTTTGGTTTTAGAACAAAAGTGAATCAGTAAACCTACAAATTATTTATTTGGATTATATAATATTAGGAGGAAATGAGTGGGAGGGAGTTCAATATACACCCTTCTATTCACTAAAAGCTATAAGCTTTTGGCTTGTAAGATTTTTCTTGTACTTGAAGTAGAGAAATTACCCTTGGGGCATCGTTTTCATTGCAGGAAATATTGTACTTGTCTGTATCTTATACAAAATTCATCTTCATCAAAACTATACAAGATATTGGTACAAATAGAAGCATGCCTAGTGTTTGTATTTATCGGAACACAAAAACTTACTGAACCCAAAATGTCATCAACGCTAAGCAGGCTGGGACTTTCAGAAGGCTGCTGCATAACAGCGCCAGCTTTGCTTTCCAATTCACGGGCTGAGGCGTCATCATCAAGTGTAAATAATGGTATATCAACCTGTGGGTTGCCATTGTTTAATGTGAAGGTTAATATTAGATGAAAATAATCTTTAAAATAAAGAGAGAAAATCCATGCACGTTACCACATCGGATGATTTTTCATCTTTCAATCCAGAATGGTAGATACTTCCTGGTGATGCCATGGATGACTGAGATCCCATTGGACATGTATTATCAGGTGAAAAACTACGAATCATCTGTTCTCTTAGATCAGATGGCTCCTGTTGCACAAAGAACTAAAAAGTTAGCACCATATACCAACATATTAGTGCGTGACATAGCAACAAGTCGTTACATCTGCTGATTTTTCCACATTCTGAACTATCATGGTTGCAACTGATTCTTTAGACTGGCTCTCTGTCAATTTTATTGCTGAAAGTGACTCTAAAGCATCTACATTATCCTCCTTCGATCCATATGGTTTACTAGGATGCCTTATTGTATCCATAACAACTTGCAATTTGCTGTCGTCAAAAATTTGCAGAAATGGATCAACCTGAAACAAGCATGAAAATACCAAGAAGGGATAAATTAATAATTTAACTCCATGGAAGACCCATAGAAATGTTTGCGAGTGTATTCAATTGTGTAAATAAGATGCACAATCACTACATCACAACCAAAAAGTTATGAGCAACGTCTGGGAAAAAAAAATTCTAATAACATAAATTATCAAAAAAAGTTGAATCAAAGATGTGATTCACATACTGTTTCATTTGAAAGTGCCATTTTAACAATAGGAATGAGAGAGAGCACATTGTAGGCCTTGGCTATGAAAACAATCATGGATGTCGCCAATGTGAAGATAGATCTGCGGTGTGACGGCGGCAGCTGAACTGAAAAAATAAGAACTTGTTGCTTGAAGTTGTAAGCTTAACAGTTTCACAATGCTATACAACATTAAGCAAATTGGTACATAGCTTTGTTACAGAATTTCCAGTTCTACTAATTGAGAATGTGATGGAGACTAAGATAGTATGAGACGTCCAAGTCCTGCATTAAGTAGTAGAGGGCACTCACTGAATTATTTAAGTTGGCTGGTTCTCTTATCTCAATATCTAGATTTTGGAGGAAGATTTTTTATTCCACTTAAGTAACCATTATCAGGTATCAAAGCTAATGGCTTCCAAGAAGGGCTACCTATGGAAGGTTCTAACGGGTGGAGATTTTAATTGGCAAGGAAATCAGCACCTTGTGAGGAATATTCCTGATCCCACTTAAGTAACCATCATCAAAGCTAATGGAGTAATGGTTGACAGTTCCAAAAAGGACTACTTATTGAGGGTTCTGATAGGTAGAGATTTTAATAGGGGCAAGGAAGTAGGTCAAGTGTCACCTTGTGTGGAAGATTTCTCATCCCAGTTAAGAATCCATCAATTGGTATCAAAACTAATGGTTGACAATTCTAAAAAAGACTACCAATAGAGGGTTCTAATAGATGGAGATTTTAATAGGCAAGGAAGTCAAATCAAGTGTCACCTTGTGAGATGATGAAGATGTAGCAGTATGGGATACCAAGTCTCACATTGAGTAGTATAGGATGCTCAATGAAGTATTTAAGTAGGTTGGTTCTCCTACCTCAATAGCTAGTTTTTAGGATAGGATTCTCCATCCTACTTAGGTACTAATTAATTGGTATCAAAGCCTGATTGTTAATGGTTTGGGAGAGGGCCACCTATGGAATGTTCTAACAAGCAGGAAGCCGAATTAAGTGCCATAGAGTGTAGCCACAGGGACATTGGCTTTTCATAGGGGCTAATTGATAAAGACTTGGTAGTATGAGATACCAAGTCCCACATTGAGTAGTATGACATGTTTAATGGGGTATTTAAATAGGTTGGTTTTTCCACCTCAACAACTAGCTTTTGGGATAAGGTTTCTCATCCTACTTTGGTACCCATCATGAACACAGCAGAATATAGCCACCAAGACATTGACTCTTCATGGTGGGCCATATAGAATGGGTCTGTCTTTAGGTTAATCCATCATGGGAAATCAAAATTGTTATTGTACCATAGCAATTTACATCAATAACAGTATTAGATTTTTCAACATTAACTGACCATTAGGTTCCAAATTATGACCAAGAAACAATTCACTGAGTTTTGACTCCTCAATGTTCATTATTTTCTGTTGAATCATTTTAAATCAAAGGAATGACATTGCATGAGTTCTGACAAAATGTTCAAGGCTTTTGAATTCCAATCCTCTTATGACCTTGAACAAAGTCCGAAAAAGAAAGAAAGTAACATTAGATAACCATCATTAAGGAGAAAAACAAGTTTTTCTTGCAATAAAGTGAACAATAGGAGATAGTTTTTGGCAGAGATTAGCTTCCATTCTTAGCCTATGTAACTTTACCTTCATAATAACTTAAAAAAGCATACATTTCGATTTTTCTGATAAAGTTCCTTTGTATTAAAGATTTAGTTTGAAATATAACATTAAAACATGTGAGAAACACACTGAGAGTTCCTGGTACTAGTTCAGCTAGGAAAATCCAGGGCATTGTCAAGCAGAACGTCACTTCAAATGCATTACTTGGTGACCCAAAAAAAAAAAAAGAAATCATGGAATTTGGCTTCATATGGCATCCAACAATATCATAAACTACTCTTACTGATCATCGTATTTGATAAACTATATAGGACTTAAAGGTTCTACCCTTTTCTGCAAGAGAAATGCTCCTCAAGGTGAAAGCCAGCTGGAAACTTTGAATCAGAGCCTCATTAGAGGAGTTCTGCACTTGAACAAATTCGCAAAAGATCAGGCTGAACAAAAGTTAACAACAACTCAATAAAATAAGAACTTACGATTGAAAAAAGATCCAACGCCTGAGAAAAATTATATCATGACCAAAGACTTAATAACCACTCGTAATAACAATCAGCTGCTAGAAATCATGGATTGCAATAGCAATTACAGTTAGACAACCTTTTGGGTCACAATATTTTGTTTGAGCAAGCAAGTGGGGGTGATCCGTCTAGGTTTTTATGGTTTCAAGTTTGAATAAGATTTTATTACACTTCAAATTAGATTTTTCTTATACCAAGCTGTTTGAGTAGCCTTCAAGTTGAGAACAAATTCTTAGAATGGTAAGTGTGACAGCTAAGTTAAACTGGGTCCTATAAGGATTAGTGGGTTCAGACTTGTACGGTTATACCATTTCCATTTATACTTAGCCTAAGTTATAGCCATAAATATACACACGAGGTTCTTGGCTAAGTTAAGTTCCCTATAGTATTATTCTTTGTTTTTCTACAAAAAAAGATATAATGAAAATATTAAAAAAATATTGAGATCCTCAATCATTTAACCAAGGAAAATGAAAATATAAATTAGAATAAATAGAAGAGAAAACATATTGTTATATTATCAAACGACCTCTATTGCTTTAGATGGTATTGTTATTTTAACACAATTTGCACAAAGATGCAATCTCTATCTTAGTGATGAACTGTCATGCTGAAAATGAATGCCACTGTAACAACACGGGAAAATGCACTAACTAGTGGCAGCAGATAAAATAAAGAGTAAAATGAACTACTACTTTCATGCTTATGAGTGAATGCCAGCACAATAATGCTGGTAGGAAAAATCAACAAACAGATTCTGTTCAATAATCATTTTAGGATCTTATATTATTAAGAATAATTATAATTCATTAATCAAACTCTAAAAACTGTAGTTCAGAAGCATTAGAAGTACAATAAGGTGAACTTATGAATTACAATATTACTATTTACAATGATGATGATTACTTTTAGAATTAATAGTATATTTTATCAACGTAATTCTGATTAAGAATTTCCTATAACAGGAAATTTTGATGAAAATTTGATCCCAGTGTATTTATATTAATGAAAAACTTATTTGAATACCTTGGTCCGAGAAACTAGCAAGACAAGGCTGTAAGTATGGGCAATTGCTTGAAAATTTTCAGGCACATTCAGAGGAGAGAGGGACTGTGCCCAGATAGAGGACAGCAAAAGGGTAATCTGGTGACTACTCAGCCTTAGGGGTAATGCCTGCCACATTGTAGTAAAAAGAACATTGTCGATATCAGGTGATATTTATTGATATTATTTATAACTATTACAGTAGGATGAAAAATTATCACCATTGGATTATCAGAAATGTTTGTTGCAGTTTCTTCACCAGAAGCAGTTAGTTGGGGCTTCTTGACACTAGCAACTCTACTGTAAGTTGACTTCAATCTGTTCATCATGGAAGGACTACTGATCTTGTCCTTATCTATAGATTCACTACTAGGCCTTCTTTTACTTTGAGTCCGACTATAAGTTGATTTCAACCTGTTCATAATGGAGTTATCATCCGTCTTTGCAGCCTCATCAACTGTGGTTCTGTTATGGCTATCTTCTGGAAAAACTGGTTTCTTCCTATCCATTTTCTGAAATAGTGCAGCAGAAGAAGAAAACACAGATACATTTCTGGATAGTGTCCTTGGAACATTAGCTGCCTTTGCTGAGAAGGGGACTAGAGAAGAAGGTTGAGGACAAACTGATGATGGCACAAGAACGACAGAAAATATGCGGTGTGCCCCAACCCTGGTTTCATGGTCTGGGTGGACCATTGCTAGGAGTAACTGATGAAATAATGCCTCAGGAAATGCCTGGAGAGGTCCGAGAGTCGAGTTTGAAAATAAATAGAAAAGAGAAATCAAGAGTTGAAGAAAAGTGAGAAAGAAGCAAGGATAAATTATTCAATTATATCCAAAAATTAGGAGAAAGCTTAAAGAGATTAAGGGATTCTTGCCTTGTTCTGGTATGACAGATTTGGTATTGAAGCTGCTATTTGAGCAGTTCTGTAAACTGCAGAAATCAATGTTCTGGCCATAACTGTAATGTTAGACATGTTTTCCAACAACACAGCCATCATATCAAGAACAGGACCTGCATCTCCAATCTGCATAACAATACATCCCATGACCACAAAAAAAAAAAAAAAAAAGATTATAGGAAATATACATCCAAAGCTCAACTACATATATAAACAGACACACGTATGCCTCTTTGGTTTCTCATGCAATTAATTAAAGTTTTGGAAAGTGTAAAACATAATGTGACCTTGAGTGATAACTGCGCCAGGCATTCATCAACTGCTTGTCGGTATTTCTGGTTCCATTGGATAACTTCAGCCCCAAGGTTTGAATCGTCAAGAGAGCAATGTATGCTCTTCCTTAGGTGTCTCATCATATCACTCAATGCACCAATTATAGCCACAGATTGCTGAACCTTTGTCTGTTTAGCAAGCTGGGTGATAACATCAACAATGTCGAGTTGCATATTAGGGTCTTTTAAGACATTCTTGTGATCAAGGTGCTTGACTAAAATTGACAATAGAAAGTGCGTATTCTGCCCTGCAAATTACATTGAATTTAACTATAAACCGTACCCCAAAAAAAAAAAATCAACAGGCAAAACTAGTCTAGAATCTATCAAGACTTAGAGCACTGAAGAAAATAAATACCTAAGTTTTCAATTATTAACTGCATTTCCCGCAACACTGGAAGAGCAAGCCCATGTTGCGGAGACCAGAGATTAGCACTATCAAAATAGCGGAACAAGGATTCCAAAACACGCCGTACAGTTGTAGCCTCTTTGGCTAACTTTGCCATATTATGTAGGCAAGCCCTTGACCAAAACCCTGGGCTCACAACATCTTCCCTGCAGATAATAAAATGAAGAAAATGTTATAAACAGCTCAAAGGGATTAATCTGTAAATCAGAAGATAAACCACCAACATGAGAATGATAATTACACAGGCACATTAACTTGTCCTTTCTCATTCACCACCATTCTCCAAGAAGTAATCCTCATTAATTGCATAGTTTTAGAATCTTTCTCAACATCTCCATAATTTTCCAACACCACTGAAACAACCTGTGTTAAAAAGAAGAATGAAGATGTAAAAGAGATTCTGTATGCGGAAGGATAAAACATTAATGGTCACTTGAAAATAGGTTTTTTACTCCAAAACCCACCACCGCAGGAACTGAACATTCATGCTGAACATTCAAGGAGTGTGATATTTGAAAAATCAAAAATATATAATTCACCTAATCAGAAATGAACAAAGAATTCTTCTTGCATTACTTATGAAAGATTTAGTTCCAATTTGAAAAAAAGTACCTTAGATGTATTTGAGGAGTACTTAAACAATGTACAAATGTCCATCTAGCAAATTCTAAACAAATAAGCATGATTAACTTAAAATAAGTGACATATAATGCTTACATTGTCAAATTCAGCTGAAATATGTGAAAATTCGCCCATGAACCAAACCTGTGCCAAGAAATAATTACTGATCAACCAGTTTACTCAGATAAGCCCTCAATGTGAGAGTTAAACTTGGCTTATAAAAAGACAGATTAACACCTTAATTTTATTCATTTACCAATTCATAATTTCATGAGTAGGCAAGTGTCTTTTATTAAAGATATAATCGTGAGGAAGCATTCTGGAACAACATGAATAAACCATGATCAAAACACTTAAAGACTTCTAAAGATAGCCTGGCTGAAATTATCTGAGTCCTTCAAATGGATTCTTTTTCATGCTTCAGTGAGAATTTCTATGAAGTCATACACTGGTTATGAACCTGCATAATTCCCTATTCATTTAATTAACTCATTTACTTTCATATTTGCTTCTTATGCTTCCCCTTTTCATTTATTATCAGGCCATCTTTAGTTTTTTTCAAGTTAAAGATGTTTTCCGTATAAAAATTAGAAGCATCATTTATGAAGCTTTTTAACAAGCTAGCCGTATTGGGCTTCCTCTAGTGTCTAAAATCTCAAAGAGATCCAACATTAATGTCTTTAAAAGAACAAGTTCCTAAAGACTTCTTTCTATATAAATAATGACATTCAACGTACTTGGTTTTATTTCAAGCTTAAGGTGTATCTAATCTGATCCTAACCACCATTGTACGTAATATGCTACCCCAAATGATTCAACGAAATTGAAAGCAACAAAACAATTTAATAAAAGTGCCAGCCAATACCATGTGCAAAGACTAATCATTTTACTTCAATATTGTTCACGCAGTTCCATGTAGCATCTTAATAACTTCATGTTGTAAAGCATGTCAAAAGATTTCTTAACATGGAAAGAGCATAACATAAAACAGTTAACATATATGACAGTGGAACCATTTGACTTACCATTGATGAGAGAGCCTGTATGCCAGAAGCACGCAGATGTTGCACTTTTTCTTCATCACCCGTTTCTTGAGCTAGAAGGCAAATTTTGGAAATTAATCCATCTAGATTGAACATGTAGGTACCATCTCTCTGCAAAATAAAAGATGCCAGAAAATCAGCACTTGCACAGAAAATAACTTACAGTATCATATCATAAACATCAAAAAATAAACAAAAATCAATATCCAAAATAAAAATCCAACAGATATAAACCCCACCTGATTGTTCACAAAGTCAAAGAGAGTTTGGCACCCTAAAGTTTGCACTTCATTATGCCGTGTTTGATCAAGAAGAATTTGTATGATGCCAAGCAAGCTACTAGCAAACAATGGCCTGCCATAATATTATGCTCCCCATAAATTCATATATAGATTTAATATGCATGAAGTTCCTTAAGAAAATGAAAAAATCAGTTTCTTTTATTTCCTTCAACAACATATTTTCAGATGGATGCATTTTCAAGGAAAGCTTCAACCTCCAAAGCAATGAAAGCCTTCCATGCCCAAGCAAATTATTTCCTAGCTTCCCAGAGTAGTAGCTATGAAAGCTTTTATATACTTATCTTTATTATCATCTGAGGCTAAAAAATGTGACTTTTTGATGGAAAATTTGGAAAGATTTAAACATTTTTAGTAATTTTTTTTTTTCCTTTATTAGGCTTTCTTTTATAATAATTTGTTTCCTTTATTGTGATTTCTTTTACTTTAAGTTATTGTGTTTTGGGCTTCCTATAAATTGATCTAAGCTATTCTCATTTGTAAGACTTGACGATATTGTGTCATATTAACTAATTCTAGTGCCATGAATATCTGAAACTATGGAATAATTGAGTCACTTTGATCCCAGCATTGGGTGTTTTCCTCTCTTAAGAGAGTAGTTGAATAGTGTAAATAATTATGCAGCTTTCTCCGTCCAAGCAACTATGACTAGCAAGCAAAACCATAATTAACATCTACAGATATGTTGTCATATGGTATAAGATCTAGTGTGATTATCTTTGTGAATTTATATGATGCCTTCTGAAGAATATAAACTCCTGCACAACATTATCATAATACCTTATATATTATATTAGTTATAGACATTCCCAACAGACAAGGCTAAGCAATACAGCTCAATCAAAGAGTCCTTCATAAACCCTGACAAATCAGAACTTCTACATTAAAGCATCACCACAAGGGAGTTGCATTAAGGCTTTAACAATAGAATTCTGATCCAGATACTACTGACATTGCCATAAACACTGGAGGAAAGAATAAAGCAATTTCATGAACATTGACCATTCAATACATTAAATGGATTCCAAATATACAGCATACTCACAACAGACATGTTTAAAATTATAATGCAGACAGACAAACAGACAGAATATTAGGCTGTGATTTAAAGATGTTACCTCATTTATGCCAATTTGGAAACTTTTCCTTTTAGTGTACAAGGTAAGTAATTTCACTGTATTAGCAGAATGAAACAGTGTGAAAGGTAACTCACATTTGCTCCTTACAAGAAACCAACAACCTCCTGTAGATACAGATGATAACTTTTACATAATGGATGTTCTCGTTTCTCAATTCCTTATAACACCTTTGTTCAAGGTAGGTAGTTATCTGCAATAAATTAAGAAATCATATTTCTATTAGTATTTGCAACAATAACTACATGCGTTATTAGTGCTGGCACATAACCAACTATTGCAACTATGAGACGATATTTGATACCATAAGAGCTAATAATATACTCCATTGCCATTAAATTCCCATAATAATTAAGTGTTACAAGAAGACATTATGACCCAGATTTTAGAATACATATTTTTCAATCAATGTTAGGGGTCAATTTCACTTGAACCACCATCTTTGATTTCTACTGGCTTAATTTCTGCCTCAGTGAAGAAAAGAATAGGAAAATGAACGCTGATGTTGCTAAAATGTGAATGACAGAAGTCCTAACAAGGAACTTTCATGCATGAATAATTCCATAAGAGGTATCAGCTGTCACATATCATAACTTAAGTCCAATTAAAAATTCATGTACCTTTGGAACACGGAGAGGATTTCTGGAGGCATATTCACATAGCTTGCCAATCATACGATCATTTGGTTCTTCTTCCTACAGATATGAATTGATGGTTCTTGAAAATAAAACTTAGCAAGATAAAAATTTAAACAATCAGGTTTCTCTAAATGCGATCAAATGACAATACAAGCCAAATACAATGATTTGCTCTAAGATAACACAGTAAAAAGTAAATTATTTTAAGAAAATAAAACAAATAAACGAGCAAAAAATCATTAGAAAGAACCCAACATTACATTTTTGACCCAGGTGGCAAGAGAGAAGAATGAAAACTTCTTTTTGCCACAGTTCCAATGGGCTTCTATAAAGAACAGTCCTATCATTAATGAACATCTAAGACGACCCTTAAAAAATTAATAATAATAAGCTCCTTTAACTTTAAAATTCAGCCATTTGCTCCCTAACCTTTTACCCGTTGTTAAAACCAGGTATTCATTTTTCGTTACCAGAAATTTCACTTTACATGATTTTCCTTGCCACAAGCCATTTCTACATTATTCTGAAAGTAGACAAGTATAATTAAAACATTCAGAAAAACTTTGGGAAGAAATAAAATGCACACAGCCGTACAACAACAACAACACGACAGTATATCCCAAAAGTCTTAATGTCCTAGGATGACAAATTAACCAGACAACTTCCATTATTTCAGAAGTTAAGAGGGTTTGAAGGTATTGGCGCCAGAACCAAAAAAAAAGGAAGAAGAAAAAGGCGTACTGGCAGTTTTTTTCCAAAATAATTAAGAATAATGACATTAATTCCTCGCGCAAAGCATTTCTAGAAAGACGTTTGGTGCAGGCATTTCTAGAAAAGTGAAAGACGGTATGACCTGAGAGCGAGGGAATATATCAGCAAGCAACTTCTTATAACGCTTAATGGGGTGTCTTGATCTCTCGCGCAAAGCAGGGCAGAAGAAGCACAAGCTTCCGCACACAGGCCAAATATTCCGAGAGATCACACTCATGTTATCTAGCTAAAAGAACATACACTCCAAATTTCCAATCCGGCGACGCATTCAATAACCCGTAAGGGTTTTCCTTCTCCCAGATTCAACCACAGAAAGTAAGAAAATGAGGGAGAAGGAGTTGAAATCTGGGGAGAAGGAAACCCCAAATGAGTTAAAAGGGAAAACAAAATTGGATTGCCTCGGATACGTGATACGCCCGGAGAGAGCAAAAAAAATGCAAAGACGAATGAAGAAAGATCCGAGAGCACCGGATCTCCGAGGTTCTCCACCGGAGAAAATATGTGAAACGAGAGAAAACCTTTGCTTTTTTTTATTGTGGGCAATTCCTGATTCCGTGTTTTCAACCTTTCTCTCTCCCCCGGTGTTTCTGCGGAGGCTATTTATACTCTTCGATGATGAGTAGGAGCCTTTCAACAGTTCAGATTTTTGGGAGGAGGACTGAACGAGGACCTGTGGGTCCCAGCGTTCACACCTGTTTCTCGCATTTATACTTTTTAAAAATATTTTGATAATATTTAAATTTAAATTTAAAATTTAAAATATCCTCATAGCAGGTTCTAATTTTAAGAAAACTCAATAGATATACAATTTGTAAATTTTGTATCAACTCAGGCACTCAGTAGTCATTAATAGTTATTTATTATCCGAATAATATGTAAACATAAGAAATTATTTTTCCTTCTCTAAGTTGATCTATCAATGTGCTTTTCAATCACTATCCGAATAATATATAAACCACCAAAAGAATTTGGCTTCTACTTTATTTATTGTCCTCTCTCAATCATTTCCCAAACTCATTATTGATTTCTATTAAGTCTCACTAAAATTAAAATCAAGTTATCAATGAAGTTGATTCTAGTAAAAAGATTAACTCCTTGTAATATATTAATATAATAAATTAATATTTGAATTTTTACAAGAAAAGATACTCATATTTGGTACTCAACTATTACTTAAACATGATTTTCTTCAATAGAAATGTACTTGTTAGAGATAAAAAAAAATAAACATCCAGTTTATTCTTATTAGCTGTTATACGTGTTAAAAAATAGTGTAATTTTTTTTTTTAACATCAACATTGTTTAAATATGAGAAGCTTGCTTAAAGATTTAGACCCTTGCAGATAAGGATTACCTTTATCCTAAAGGTAGGTTTTTTCCAATGTGATCTTTTCAAGCTCAAGTGCCTATAACAAATTTTTATCCTATACTTAAAAAATGCTATTCGTTATAGGATAAAAATTTGAGCTTAAAAAGACAAATTATTCATATATACTATATCCATTCAAAAATATAAAGCATTTTTAATTGAATTTCACCCCAAATAAAAATAGTTATCTACTTTCAAACTAACCTTATCGTTGTATATTTATCTCTATTAAATACCCTACAATAAATATAAAATCATTATCAATAGGAGCACTTTTGAAAAAAAACACAATAATTGTACCTCAAAAGGCTAAAAATGTCTTATATTTTTTAATATCCAACTCTTTAAAAAATGCTTTATATTTTTGAACGGAGAAAGTGTATATATATATATATATATATAAAGCTTTTTTTTTTTGTTTCTCAAGGTATTCCCATAGCCGAGAAATATAAAATTAATCCCTTAAAAAATTTAAGTATCATCTAAAAAGTTGTCCTCTTTTGAGCAATACCCTTTATATACACATCCAAAAATAATCAAATCGCTACTACAAAAAAAGAGGTAGTTGACACCCTATAATTGACACTTATTTGAAAAAACAACAAATAAAAAAGATGAAAAATACTTGACAGTTATTCTGAAAGAAGCATCAAATATTAAAATACATACTTGACCTTTATTTGATAATAACCGTCAAGTATATATATTTAACGGTTTTTAAAAATAACTATAAAATAAATATGAAGTTTACATGTCAGTATTGGATAAACAAATGTCAAATTAATAATTTAAAAAAATTATACACATATTTGACGCTTTTTTTAAAATAACTATCAAGTATTTTCATGTAAATTTCCTTCCAAAATCATTTTCACTCTCCATTTCTACAAATCACCTGTCTTTGAAAATAAATCTAGAGCCATCAAAACTCATTTTTCATCACTCCAACTATCAAAAAATATATTTTTTGTCTGGATTCTTAAGGGGTTTAAATTCTTGACCTCCATCATTCTCATGGGTGCTCGTGCATGTGGATTCTTGGCCTCCATCATTCTTCAGTACACTTGCCTCTCTGTTTTTCTGCACATTCAGCTTTCCCTCTTCTTGTTGAAGTTGGTTCTTGCTTTCTCAATCATTAATCTTCATTTTGAATGTATGAGTTGTTGATTTTGATTTTCATACGCAATAAATAGTTCATGTGTTAATTATTTTGATATGCTTTTTTTTTTCTTGTTAGTGGGTGTTTAAAATTTTGAGTTTTGGGTGCTTAATTATTGGATTAATAGATTATCCAATTGTTCTGCTAGTATGAGAAGATTCATTAAGCATATAAAAATAGTATACCACCTAATTACCTTATTTCCTCTACTAATACACACATCTTTTTGAGTTTTTGGGTGTTTGTTCTATAATTGAATGATTAGTTTAGATTTATATTCCTTGAATTGTCAATTTTCGCACTACTAATTTTTTAATTGATTAAAAATTAGCTTATGTAAAAATATTTTTGAGGTTTTAAATTGATATATATAGTGTTTGACATCGTTTATATGATTTTAATTAAATTTGGGCTTCTTATTAATATTGTTATTATTGTTGGTGGATCATATATAGTTTCATTATAGATAACTTAATTTTTCTAAGGGCATAAAGGCCTGCTAATACTCATTTTAAGCCGTTATATATACTATTAATTTTTTTAAATTATTCTTGACTATAACTTTATGTGATTGTTGTTGTGGATGTTGCTGTTATTGTCATTTAGATTAATAAAAAAAGGGGATAAAGCATGAGAAACACTCTTTTTTAAATTGTTATGCTGCCGAAATTATTTCAATGGCTAGCATTAAAATGTAATTGTTAGTTTTAAACAAGATTAAAGAAGGAATGTGCAAACATATGATTAGTAATTTATTGACTAATTGATCTTTGTATCTAACTCTCCCACTATCTAGAAGTAGTCAAAGTCACTAATCATATTTTTCTCTTAATCTTTCTAAGAATTATAGATAAGAAATGGATGTCTACCAATCATCTACCTAAGGAATATTGAGATGGGGTGGTAGATTTTATTAAGCTTGCAGTTAAACATGCGGAGGACCCTACTAGTATTGTTTGCCCTATTTAAAGTACGATCTTATGAAGCGAGTTAGTCTAGATACTTGTGAAGAACACTTAGTAATTAATGGGATGAATCAAAGTTACAAGTGTTGGATAATACATGGTGAATATTGGTTGTAGCGAGAAGCATAGTGAAAGCCGTGCATCATCTCTTAATGATTTTGACACATGCATACTTGAGAAAGATGGTCTCGAATAAATGTCCAAAGCAGTTGAAGAAGACCTTGAGGATTGTTCGAAAATGTTTAAGAAGTTGAAAAGTGATGTGGAGACACTGTTGTATATTGGTTATAATGTATTGAAATTGTTAGCAGTGTTAAAATTGTACAACATGAAGGCAAAATATGGATGAAGTGATGCGAGCTTCAGTGAGTTGCTTGGGTATTTCAAATTAAAGTTACTTGCTAAGGAAAACGAGCTTCCTTATCAAACATATGATGTAAAACAAGTATTACAATCAATTAGCATGATTTATGAAAAGATACACACGTGCTTTAATGACTGCCTTTTATTTTAGAATGAATATGCATCATTAACCGAGTGTCTAAAATGTAATGCCTCACGTTACAAGTAGAATGGATCAAGTCTCATGAAGGCACTATGGTATTTTCCAATCATTCCTAAATTTAGATACATGTATAGCAGTGCAAAAGTTGTAAAAAGCTTAATATGGCATGTCGATGAAAGGATAAAAGACGACATGCTTTGTCACCCTGTTGATTCTCCACAATGGAGAAAGATGGATTATGAGTACCCTAAATTCAAGGAAGAGAGTAGGAATCTATGCCTTGTTTTGTCTACCAATGAGATGAATCCTCATGGGCTTCAAAATAATAGCCACAGCATATGGCCAGTCATTTTGATGATTCATAATGTAACACCGTCAAATTTACAAACTGATTTTTTGTAAATTATTAAAATCATTATCATGGTAGAAAATTTTCTTACCATGATACATCCAAGACATAACACAAGACTTAAAATATCCAAAAAGGCAATTAAAACCATGAGAGACAGATATAACCCTCATGTCATGATATTCAAATCAGATCATAAATCAAGAGGGACAGACATAATCCTCTTAGTCATATAAATACTTTTAATAAAAAGAATTAGAGTTTACATGCTTCACAAAGAAGATATGTCCTAAGTTGGCACAAGATACATTGTATAATTTAAAATAAGAGGCAACGTAAAAGATGGTGTTTCATACACCATAGTTACACCTCTGGTGCTTTCTCGGCCGAACTCGCTCCTGTAAAAATATTAACCACGGGGAATGAGACTTAAAAGTCCCAGTAATCAAAAATTAATATGTAATGATGCATGCGATTGTAACTAATCATGCGATTGCTAAGTGGGCACACAAAACATTTAACCGAACAATATTTTCAAACAAACTGAACAAGTATTTAATTTGCATGACTGCACCTTATATCCTCCTTTCGCCATGCTCGGACGCCAAATCACCCGGTCAAAGGTGAGTTGGACCAAGCGACACGCCACTCATTGGGTCCAATGAGGGTTTACCACGTGGTAATAATTAACTGAATAGAAATTGCCGTTAACACCATATATTAAAATACCCTGACAAGTCATGCATCATTCAAATATCCAAACAGAAATATATCCGAACAATAATATCTCATCATGATAAACAAAAATAAATTTTTGACCCACTTGGCAATAATTTCAAACAAGTATATATATACAGTATTTATTTTCATTAATTTATAATTTTTTCAAATAATAAAACAACACATAACCATTCACAAACACACCTATCACAACACATTAATAATGGTTACCTTGTGTCTTGAATAACAAGTTCCCCTTCACAACTCCTTTTTCACCACTATCTTTGTCAATATAATCTACATAATTATTTCACAATACTATATATTAATTTTACATTAAAATAAATAACTCTAATTTAAAGAGTTAGAAAGTCTTAGATCTATAATCCATATTAACACTAATTTAAGATTTATACCTCATTTAACTTCCCAAATTCTTTTTTAAAATTCTCGTACCCTAATAAACTATTTTTTTATCCTCAAATCACTTCTCGTATCATAATTTTATCTTTCTATATTCTAAAAATTCATCCAAAAATAAATTAAAAATTTTAGAATTATCCTGAAGCCTCAAATCACCTTTATATAACCTCAAAAATACCTATTCATACTTAAATAAATATTTAATAATTATATATTTATCCCTACATCTCAGATTCCACATAAATTCAACCATAAAGATCTAGATTTTAACTCAAAAATTCTTAAATATGAGTTTCAACTTCAAGAAAATATTCTATAATATTTATTATATCCCGAAGAGTTTTAATCTATATTTTTAATCCATCATATCATCAGATTAACTATCCTATAGAAAAATCCTAATCAGAATATTTACTCTATCCTACAAAATAATCATATCACTAGAAAGCTAATATTATTTAAAAAATAACTATAAAATTAATTTTGTAATTAAATAAATTTTTAAATGCTAATCTAAACAGGAAAGTTAGAACATACCTGAAAAAAAGAAAATAATCCCTCCTTGCGAGAAAACGCCGAGCAATGTGAGAGGAAGAGAGAAAAATAATATAAAAATAAGATTGTGGTCCCAACATTATATTAAAAAAAACTATAAGTTTGAATTTAATTATTCAAACCTTTGAGCCATTACTTGCAATTTTCACAAATTGCATCTTGGGCCCTTAGTTGTAATTTTCACAAACTACAATAAAAATTTCCTCATGCTTCCTCCACAATGCACCTCCTCTTTTTATACATGAGGAGGTGCCTTTCATTCCCACATCTAACCGATGTGGGACTAAACCCCCTCCCCCCCTTTTTTTACTTTCATTTCTTTTTTTTTAACTCACACACACACATTAATAATAATTTTTTTTAAATCTTAAAATTATATCTTAACAAAATATTTCTTATATAATTTTAAACTTAAGTTTTTAATTCATAATTAAATGCCTAACCATATTATTATTTTCAAATAACCTCAAATAATATAAATTTCTATTATTATCATCATTTTAAAAAAAACTTAAATTTCATAAAAAAAATTTTTATCTAAAAATTAGGATGTTACATATAACCTTCCTCTATGGCTTTGCATGAAGTGCAAGTATATAATGTTATCCATGCTAATTACAAGACCCAAGCAACCTGAAAATAACATAGACATATATTTGACTCCTCTAATTGATGACTTGAAGATCATGTGAGAGTCAAGTATAGAGGTATATGATAGGCATAGAGAAGAAAGATTTAATTTAAGAGCTATGTACTTCGGCACAATCAATGACTTTCCTGCCTATGATAATCTATCAAGGTATAGTATTAAAAGAAAACTTGGATACCCTATTTGCGAAGAGGGAACACATTCTATGAGGCTTCAACATGGGATAAAGAATGTTTACCTCAAGCACCGTAGTTTTTTACACCAAGAACATTATTATCGACGATTGAAAAAAGTGTTCAATGAAAATTTAAAATGTGAGACACCTTTACCTTTAACTGGTGATGAGCTATCTAAGAAGATCAAGGATTTGCACATTGAATTTTGTAGATCGTTTGCATGGCAACTTGAGACAAGCAGATGAAAGAAGAGATCTATTTTCTTTAAACTCCTTATTTAGACCACCTTGAATGTTCGACATTTTTTTGATGTCATGCATATTAAGAAAAATACTTGTGAGAGTTTTATTGGGACTTTACTCTAAGTGTTTTTTTTATATATTTACTTGTTTGGTAACACGTGCTATTTCTTGTTAGAGGACACTAGATGCTTATTACGGTTAATCTCGTTGTTCTAAAAATATGGTATCTCAATCCCCTTAATGGAGGATTAAACAATAGGGAAGATATGATGGTACTTTTTAATAAGTAAGTTGAATTTTTTCACTTGTTATTTCTTGTTATTTTTAGTTTCCATGCACATATATATATATATATATATATATTTCACATTTATTCCATACTTCCTTCTTAAAGCTATGGTGTTGTATCGCACTGTGACCAACAAGATTGTGTCCCTTAAGATGAGGGCATTCGAATCATTAGAGAAATGGGTTACTATTAAGGTATTCATTTAATTGGTCAAGTTTTTAATTAAAAAATTATCTCGCGTTTTACAATTTTATTGATATGTGTTTTTCTATAGTGTTCACTCTAGCCAGATCAAAGTATCGACTGTGGTCATTGCCTGATGAAGTTTATGAAGGACATTATCATTTATGCCCTTACCATATTATTGGACGAGGTGTATATATTAAATTTAATTACACTTCAATTATAAATTTTAACCAATTTTAATTAACTACATATTAACTTAAAATTGTTATGACTATTTGCTTATAGTACTTTAAGGATGTCTACTACGTTCATTATACGGCTGCACATGTAAAAAAAGTCTTTGAAGAAGTGGCCCAATGTGTTTTCAATATGTAGGTAGTAATAGTGATTAGGCTGGTATAATAGTTAGTTACGTGTGCGCGCGCGCGCATTTTTTGGGCCAATTTTTATGGGATATAGGCCATTTAGTTTTGGAACTTTAGTTTGCAAATAAGTTAAGTGTAGATTTTTTAGGTTTTAAGGCTAAATGTATAAGAATTTTAATGTTACTTAGATAGTAAATATTATTAGAAACATTCATTATATTGTATTATTTTTGATTGTTGGCTGGCTATTTTCTATGTGTATTTATATCTTTATGCAGGAGGCTGCTTTAAAAGCAGCTCACTATTAAAAAAATTATTATAAATACTTGACGGTTATTATGAAATAATTATCAAGTATTTATATACTTGATGCTTGTTTTCAAATAAGTGTCAAGTATTTGTTTAGGAAAATGTACGTCTAATTTATATACTTGATAGTTTTTTATCAAATAATCGTCAAGTATTACCTAAATACTTCATGATTTTTAACCGTCAAGTAAGGTTTCTTTTATATATGTCGCATCCCTACTTAATGGTTAAAAACCATCAAGTATTGTAAAAAATAAGTTTCAAGTATGTGTATTTTTTTTGGTAGTGAATCGAATATATAAAGCTATTTAATCTTCACATAAAGAATGCAACTCATAATGAAACTCGATGTCAGATATTTATATAAAAATAGAAACCTATATTACTTAATTAAGTTTCATACAAAGGTACGAAACTCACTTTAAAATAACATGCATCAAGGATTGGATTTATCAATACATAACTTTTGAACGATTTATATAATACATAGATAAAATTAATTTTAAGGAAAAAAATCTGATTGAAAGCCGTGCTAATAACATATATTTTTCTGATGTTTTGCTTCAAGTTTATTTGCCCACCTCCCTTTAGCTTGCAAATGACAACCTTATGGGCCATGGCGCTTATTCTCCTCAGAGTACTCCTTCATTGTCTCCTGAAACTGAGCAATCAATCACCACCACTCGCTCATTCAGAAGCATTTTGCAAAAAAATTGGTGTCCATTAAAATTAAACAAATGGCCAAAAACAATACATTCGAGTCTCTGCTTATTGATGAGAAACTAAGAACACATAAGAAATTAAGAAAGGAAACACAGCCACAAGAAAGAAACAAAAACCTAAGATGTCTAATAGTTCCTCTCATGGTATCTTCTTCGTCTCAACAATATCGTCAAACCCATGTGCTGAAAGGCTTGGTTCTCTCATGTTCTCGCTTGCCAAGAACTTCATTATATTCTTGGCCATGGTGATTGTTTGCAATGGCTTCCATTATCTGCTCAAGCCTTATTCAATGCCTCGTATTATTTCCGACATTCTAGTAATTAGCTTCCCTCATTCTCTGCAAATTATTTCTGACATTATCGACTTATCGGATCGCATATTAATTTATATAGATATATATATACACACACGCAGGTTGGTATAATTGTGGGAAACATTGGTTTCCTACGTGACATATACGAAGAATTCAACAAGACCTTCGGATTCATAATCGATTTTGTGATGATGTTTTATATGTTTGCTCTTGGAATAGAAATGGATCCTTATGCCATCTTCAAGCAACCATCTCGCGACGCTCAAATCGCCTACGCCGGAATCCTCTCGACTTTCATTCTCGGCTGCTTCACCACACCACTCTTCGACTTCTTCTCCGGCAAACACAAACTATACTTCACTCTCTGTCTCTCCACTCTGCTCGCCGGCACAGCGTCCCCGGTGTTGACGCGTCTGATCACCAGCCTCAAGATCAGCAAGTCCGACATCGGGAAACTCGTCATCGCCGCCGGCATGCACTCCGACTTCCTCTGCTCTCTGCTCCTCTCCATCGGCTACATCGCCATGCCGTTGCCGGTGTTCTGCGAGAACGAGGTTTACCGGAAGAATGACAGTGGGAGAGCACGAATTAAACTGTCCATTGTTATGGGATGTGCAGTGCTAGGGCAAGTGTTGTTCACGGCGACGGTTTCTCCGGTGATGATGAGATGGGTCAATAATGAAAACCCAGAAGGTAAACCAATGAAAGGTGCTCATTTGGTGCTTTCGGTGGCGTTTATGGTGTTGATCTGTGCGTCTTCCACACTGTATGATTACAGTCCGATTCTGAGTGCGTTCATGGCTGGGATTTGCTTGCCACGTGAAGGGAGGTTATCGAAGTGGGTTATAACGAAGATAAATTATGTGTTGACTTCGATTTTCTTTCCTATATTTTTCTTGTGGATGGGTTATGGGGCTGATTTTAGGAAGTTTGAGGCTGGGAAGTTAGCGACATGGATAAGGTTGTTGATGCTGGTGGTCATAGGAATGGCTAGTAAAGTTGCTGGAACTGTTATTTCTGGTGCCATGTTGGGTTTTAATTGGCCTGATTCTGTTGCCATTGGCTTGCTTCTCACCGCCAAGGGTCATTTTCACATATACTTGGCCATCAAAGTGGTAAGTTTTGAATTTCTTACATTCTTTATTCTTGATCTGTCTCTTTTTTATTTCCTTTCTTCTTCTAGCTTTTGTTTTTACACGTTGTCTCGAGATTTCTAGCATTTTCTAGAACAACATGAGCTCGATGAGAGTATATTAACTTAAGTCCCACATCTAAAAGAGATTTAAAAAAAAAATAGAGTTATAGATGCTTTTGTTAACCAACAAATAGTTTAGGCTATCATGATGAATTCCCTTCAAATACAATCACACATACACACTCCCTCATATTCCTTTTTGTAAGATCTCTTTTAGAAGTCTTCCAGTTTTTGGGAATACAAAAGGAAAAAAAAAACATACAAATTAATAAGCATGGCTAGCTCATATATATAGCTCATTATGATAAACCACTTGAAAGTGAGCTCATACACTCAACACAAGCGGTACATATCAAGGATAACAAATTAATAGCTTCATATCATTCAGAGATTTTTGACAAACCAACCAATCAACACACATCGATTCATTTCTCTCTTAACATGTGATTAAAAGTAATAGTATAACCAATTAAAGATACGAAGATTTTTCATATTTTACCATATATATATATAAGATCTTTTTTAAAAAAACGGTGAGGCATTTTATTAAATTATTCCAAAAATACCCTTCGTTATTAAGGTTTAATATTAATTGTAGAGAAAGAAAGTTAACTATTGTAAAAACAACTAAACATATATAGTGTTGAAATGTCATACCATACTAAAATTTAAAAATTCAAAACATTCAATAATGTGTGATGGATTAAATATATCTCGTAAAGAGGAAGGGGGTAGAGTAATACTCAACATAGAGTTAAAGCAACTTATTAAAGGTTTATTATATCTTATGTGTGTACAAGATTAAGCAACTACGGTTAACTATCTCATATGTGTAATACAGCTTGTGCTTCTCTGACCACAGATGAAATGTGGGGGCAATACTACAACAGGAATTGAGATGATAATTGCAATCTTTTTCACAGTTCTTCATTCCCCATCAGTGGTAGCTCACATCATCAAGCGAGCCAGAAAACGAGCTCCTACACATCGCATGGCCCTCCAGCTTCTAGATCCTTCAACTGAACTCAGAATCCTTCTCTGCGTTCACGGACCAGAAAACGTTCCTGCATGCATCAACTTCATGGAGATTTCACGTGGAACGACGGAACCAGGAATGGTCGTTTATGTCACTGACTTGGTCGAACTCACCGACGAGCTAGCGGCCGCCAGCGAAGGAGGAGATAATAATAGTAATAATAATACGGTGGCTCTAAACGACAAGAACATTGCGGCTAAGAGAGAGATAGTGACGAACTCGTTTCAGGTATACATTGACGAGGAAGGCGATGGGATTACTCTGAAGAGATCGATGGCGGTGTCCACGTTCATCAACATGGCACGTGACATCTGCTCTTTAGCTGAGGAGCTCAACATTACCCTCATGGTATTGCCGTTTCATAGGAGACAACGTGAGGACGGAACGCTTGATGGAGGCAATCCTGGGTTCAGGCACGTTAATCGAAAGGTAATAGTGATAATGATAATTAAGCTCCTTGCCTCTAATCTTCCACTCTCTAACCCGATGTAACGTTGGGAACCTTTCAATTTTTTTTTCCCTTTTAATTACAAGATTCTATATAAAATAAGATGAAAAATATTGTTTTTTTTTTGGGTGAAAAAAAATGAATAGAAATATTTTGATATCTCACGAGAGAATAGAAAGGTGAGGTTTTGTATTTTTTAATGATTTTTTGAAAGCAAATACTATAAAATCATGCAGTTTTGATTTATTTTTTAAAAAATTGTAAATAAATGAAAATTGCCCCATTTTATGATCATGAAATTTCAAAATAGATAAATTTTAATAATTTAAAAAATAATTGAAAGTTTTTACAAACTGTTTTCTGTTCTAAAATAAAAAAAATCATTTTGAGTAGATTTTTTAAAACTTAAATGTTTTTAAAAAATAAAAATATCTTAGAGCTGTTTTTATTCCTTTTTTTCATTTCTAAAACATATTACATTTGATTGTTATAAATTTTAGCTAAAATTAAGTATTATCATAAGCCATTATCATTAATTATCGGCTACCACTGCTATCTGCCAATTTTTAAAATTTTAAATTAATATGATTAAACATTTTTTTATTTAAAAAAAATTTAAAAAGTGATTTATAAAATAGTAATTTTTAAAAACAAAATCAAATAGCTTCTTGAGTCTTGATTTCCTGACTTTGGAACCAGAGAATTAATGCTCAAAATATTTGAGCAGGTTCTGAAAAGTGCGCCATGTTCGGTGGGGATTCTAGTGGACAGAGGTCTAGGATCCATCGAAAAGATAAAAAGAGCCACCGTTTCAATCAACGTCGCTGTCATCTTTGTCGGCGGCAAAGACGACAGAGAAGCGATTGCCTACGCCGGCCGAGTAGCGCGGCATTCCGGCGTCAAACTCACTGTCATAAGGCTTCTAGCAGACACCACAGGCGATGCGACCAAATTCTCCGGCCCACTGAGCGTGAACTTGTCGGAGCAAGAGCAAGAAATGGCATTAGACGACGAGTGTTTCGCTCAGTTCTACGAGCAACACATCGTCGGAGGTCGAATCGCGTACATGGAGAAGCATCTGGCGAACTCAGCGGAGACGTTCTCGGTGTTGAAATCGTTTGAAGGAAGGTACTCGCTGGTGATCGTGGGGAGAGAAGGAGGAGTGAATTCGATATTGACGAAAGGGATGAATGACTGGCAACAATGTCCAGAATTGGGACCCATCGGAGATGTTCTTTCAGGTCCAGATTTTTCGATGACGCTTTCAGTTTTGATCATACAGCAACACAAGCTTAAAGGAGAACTTGATGGATTAGACGATGATTTCACTGTCATGATGTAAATGCGTTGGATTAGTATTTAGTAGAATGTATGTATAGTGTCAGTACGTGAAAATTATATTGTAGATAATTTTCTTAAATCTTTTCGCAGTATTATGTTATATGCATCAATCCATGCCATGAACCAGAAAATTTATGAAAAGTTTATTGTCTTGGTAATGGGTTTGATTCAAAGGCACGTGAGACTTCGTGGAGAGAGTATAATGAAGGGCTGAAGGCCATTGTTTTGAAAAGGTAGCTAGACTATAAGTTAAACTTATATATATATATATATATATATATATAAAAGAAATAAATAAACAATTAGTTTAGTTGTTTAAACGTTAACACGACATGATTACAAATGTTATCAAAATCAATTTTCGAGAGGGTCAATTTATTTTGTTTGTTTAATTATTTTTGTTAGCCTTCTTTTCGTCAAGCTGAAAAATCCTTCTGTTTTTTCAAAAGGGATATGGATTCAGTGAGTATTCTTAATACCTCATTCAATAAATATCCCATATGACACCATATTATATATATATATATATATATATATTGAAATTGCGGAATGGAAGATATTAATATGAAATACAGAACACCAAATCACAACTCTATTTTTTAGACCTTTTTATTTTAATAAAATAATTTATATTTTTGCAGAGAAATTATTAAAATATATCCTAATAAAACCATTCTTCAGGCATCAGTGAAATTTTATGACTAAAATGTCACACTTGAGTCCAAGTCCTTCCTAAAATCGGTATCAAATTTCAACTTAAGTGAGACTCGATCAACTCTGGTCCAACCCGCAATGAAACTTTTATTCAACCCAAGTCATTGGCAAATGTCATTAACAGTCTAGTGACTCTTTGGGTCTGTTCTTTTTTTTTTTTTTGAAAAAAAAAAAGCGATGGTGGAGGACATTTTTTTTAGGAAAATATTAATGAAGGATCTTAAAAAATTTAATTACTATGTCAAATAAGAACCTGGGCGAATTAAATAATTGTTAAAATAATAACTTTACTTGCCAATGGATATTGTTTACTTGTTGAATATTAAATTCTTTGGAAAAATAACATTTAGAATTTATCCCAATAAGACCTCAATACTTTTGTATCAAATAGTATCTTATGAAAACACTCATATGTTGTTACTAAAAGTTGAATCTTAACTAGGTAAATTTTTAATGTAGATTAATGTATATGTCTTGATATATATATATATATATATATGAATAGTTGTCTTTCAAGGCCTATATATGACAGGTAATCTAATTTTTCAGGTTTTCAGTTTGATGGTATCAACATCAACAATATAAAACTAAAATTAGTAGCAAATCAAAGTTAACAATACATCTTACGCCAGAAGATGTACACAAATATCACATATTGAGAAAAACAATAAAATATGCAACATGCAAGGGGGAAAAAACTGCAATCCAATCCGTAAATTTCATCTACAATATAATTGACTAAATTGACAAATGAATCTAATCAACTTTAATTCACCCAAAAAAGAAAAGAAAAGAATATCTAACTTTTAATCAGTCATCACTTTGTAGGCACTTGAAAACGACACAAAGGACAAATATTTTTCTGGTGCAGCCAATCAACAATACAAAGTTCGTGAAACAAATGTGAGCAAGGCATACGAATAGATTCTCATGATTCAACTTTAAAATCTTCCAAACAAATTGTGCAAATACTTGACTCTTCATCTGGTTCAATCTTCACAGTCTTCAATCCCTCAATAAATGATTTATTTGCAGGCACTGGTACAAGACTTTGATTCTCCACAACTTGTACTAATGGATGAGAATATTGACAGTACCAAGTTTTAGAGACTTCAATAGCCACAGCCATGAACAAGATCTTCTGGTTTTTATGAGTATTGTTAGCCATGTTTCTTGCAGAATCTAAGATCTTTGTTGCCATGGAGATGCTAAGGAATTCAGGAACACCAAAATGAGAAGGAATAAGGCTTGCCAGTTGATCTATTGAATGCTTTGAGATGTTGAAGAAGTCATGTCTTGTGGAATTTATATTAATCAAGCTTGAGCTTTCAACTTGTGCAGGATCCAACAATTTCCAGTTCCATACTGATTTAGAGGCCGCGATGTTGAAGTATTGATCATCATCATCATTAGGAGGATTAATGGGAAAATCATTGGGATCAATGGGAACAATTGTGTTTATTGGATAAACTTCACAATTATATCTAACCCTAACATGAGAAGGACCCATTATTGCCTTTCTCTGAACTTTAAAAAAAGAAAAGGGATAGGAAATATAACTATAATAAGTATCAGATTATGGAAACTTGAAAAGAAATAGTATTAATAATGGAAAGTGGAGGAAGAAAATTTTGGAGAGTGTTTGAATTATAAAGAGTGATAAGAGGATCGTAGGCCAAGTAGGACTAGGAGACCAATAAGATTTTGAAATTTTTAAAAGATTGACAGGAAATATGTGGATATATTTGATTTATAAAGGGATAGATAATCAGCAGAAAAGAACTAAAACAGTAATGATATAAAATTAATTAGATCAATCAAATTTGATATATATTGTTTTTAAAAGATAACTTGTTAGATTCAAGAAAAAGTATGAGGGGGATTTTGATTAATATGTTTGATGATTTCTTTTCATCTTAGGCATTTTTTTCACTTGCATTATACTTTATATTTATATGTTATGAGAAACAAAAATATGTACAAATATTTATTAATGCGGAAACGGGGATTAAGGGATAAAACTGAGTCATAATTTAACTAATTTTTAATTTCTTGATAGAAAAATTTGTTTGAATATTTGATATTACTTCAAGAAAATAATATTTATTACTTATAATAATGTATAGCAAATAAATATTATAATCATTTATTACACGGTATATCAATTGAAATTCAAATTATTTTAATTAGGTATAGTTTATTAATTATTGATTAATATCAATTTTTTATTTTTTAAAACGGTAAAGATAAAACTATCTTCAAAATTATCAATGGTGATGATACGAATTAGAGACAGATTCAATGAATTTTAGAAGGTATACTTCATCAGTTTGTTTCTGTAATTTGAGATTAATATAAGAATATAATGCAATTTTGTTCTCACGTCTCAATAAATATATATATATATATATATATGTGTGTGTGTGTGTGTGTGTGTGTGTGTGAAAATGAATCCGACCTATCAGTTTAATTCAAATTATCACAATATATTTGAAAATTAGGAAATTTGGATTTATAACGTAGTTTTATGTGAATTTTTTTTATCTTTTTTATTCGATAGGCAATTAACAATGTTAAATCAAAATTTAATTTATAACAAATCATAGTTTATGAATCATGGACGCTGTATATTATTAGTATTCAAATTTTTATAGGGAGAAGGATGATTGAAGACCCTCTAAGGACATTAATTCCAGTTAGAGATCCTGAAAAATAGAAATCCCAATTAAAGACCATGGTCTTTAAGTGAGATAAAAAATAAACTTAAGTTTACAAAACTGCCCCCTCACTAAACATTGAAAGGTAACAGGAAAGAAGCTCATCTCGTGTGCTCTGTTTTCTTGTTTTTCAGCGGGAAAAATACTGATGGAGTGTGCTCTCGTACGTTGAAAATGTTAGGGAAAAATTAGTGGAGCATAATCGTCTTCTAATAGGTAATTGTATGCATTGCTTCTTTTACATTTTGTCCTCTGCCATGCGTGAAAGAGAAGTCTGCATCTTCTTCTTCCATTTCTTTTACATTGCTCTGTTTTTTTGTTTACACATGTCCTCTGTCAAGCACGCTCAGAAAGAATGTTTTAATCTTTGCAAATGCTATCTTGCACCATTTCTCTTTGTTTTATACCTAGAAAAAAAGTAGTCTTCTTAATGATTACTAGACTTTATATATAGACATGCGGAAGAAATGATTTCCGAGAACAACATAGTTGAAAAAGTTGAGGAGTGAAAAACAAGGAAAATGTAACATGGATGCTGAATTTTTGTGATCTGTGTTGAAAAGTGCGTGAATGTTGAAAAATGTAACATGGATGTTGAATTTATGTAGTCAAGGTTGGGATTATGGAATGGACAGTTGTGAAATACTAAATTTGTATGTTGCTTGTAGTTGTTCCAGGTTTATTTCCTATATGGCAAGTACTTCAGCAGAAGAAGTATTTTGTTATCTTCATGTTGATGGACATTTTGTAAAAGATTTACAAGGGAAGATGACCTATAAAGGTGGGAGATTAATTTCTAAATTGATTAGAGAAGGCATAAATCTTGAAGAGCTGTTGAGGATGGTGTCATCAGTGACGGGAGTTAAAAGTGGTACATCTGACTTAAAATTTATAGTAAAGTTTAGTGAAGATACATACATAGATTTGTTAGACGATAAGGGAGTACAACATTTGATAAAGTATAATGATGAGTCAGCACATGTGTATGTTGAGACAAATGATAATGAAATAAATGGAGCAATGGATAACTCGATGGAGTAAGTTGTTATTCTTAGTTATTTGTGTGTTTAATTAGTTTAATGACCATTTATATTGACCTGTAAGTAATTGTAAATGTAAGATGGAGAATTTGTTAACATGGTCACTGCCAGGATCTCCCTGTAGGCAAGAGCTTGAAAGTATATCACCCTCTTTGCCATGTTCAACACAAAATGCTCTTGCACCACTGCCTGAGGTTAATTTGGTAAAATGGAAGGATTTATTTATGGGTGTTGGCCAGACATTTGATGATGCAATTGTATTCAGAAAAGCATTATATAAATACAGTCTTGCTCATAGGTTTGGTTACATATTTGTGAGAAACAGCCCTAAGAAGATGATTGTCAAATGTAATATTGATGGTTGTAAATAGAAGATATCAGCATATGCTCTTAGGAAGACAACCTCTATATTGTGTGTGAAAAAATTCCACAATGAACACATGCACTCTGCTCAAGACAACCTCCTATTAAAGCAAAAGGCTAACTCAAGATTGACATCGTCAATCATCATTGATGCTGTAAGGGGGAATGTGGAGAAAACGTTAAATGAGATTAGACAAGACCTCTACAAAGAGTATGGGTTAAATCTCACATATCGACAAGCTTTGAGGGGAAAAGATAGAGCATTGGAGGAAATACATGGGCTTCCACAGCAGTCATACATGTTGATTCCATGGCTTTGTGAGAAATTGAAGGAGACGGACCCAGACACAGTTGCAAAGTGGGTTGCCTCGAAAAATTATAGATTTGATAGACTTTTTATTGCATATGGATGCTGCATCAAAGGGTTTCTCCAAGGTACTTGTCCAATTTTGTTTATCGATGGAAGTCATTTAAGCGGTCCATATAAGAGGACTTTACTAGCAGCTTCTGCAATTGATGCAAATAATGCCTTATTTCCTTTGGCTTATGCAATAGTGGGTGGAGAAACATATGATAATTGGGCTTGGTTTCTTGAAAATGTGAGAGAGATCACACACCAAGTTCAATTAACCATAATGTCAGACAGGCATAATGCTATTGTTGGTGCAGTGCGTGCAATATTTGATGGCAATCGACATGCTTTTTGTTATCGTCATGTCAAAGAAAATTACAGCTCAAAATTTACAAAAATTAATAGAGGCATGCGAAGGATTGATGGGATGACTAAAGAAGATGCACTTAAGTTGTTAGATAATATTGCATATGCAAGGTTGGAAACAGAATTTCATGTTGTTATGGGTCATTTGATGGTTTTCTCCCCACAGTTGGCAAGATGGTTAGAAATAAATGGGGACATAAATCGTTGGGCGTTAGCAAGATTTCCATACAAAAGATGGGACAATATAACATCAAACCATGCTGAATCTTTCAATGCTTGGTTAGTAAAAGAGAGAAAACATCATATATGTGCATTGATAAATGAGCACCGAGCAAAATTAGCGAGAAAGCTATACAATAGCAAAATAGAAATGGCAAATTGGTCAAACGGAGTTGGACCACGTGTTGAGGCAAAATTGAGGGAGAATGTATTGAGAGCTGAAGTTATGGTGGCTGAACATTATAGTGTGAATATGATACTAGTGAAGGTAGGAAACAATGACTTGAGAGTGAATCTAACATTGTAAGAATGCTCTTGTCAAGAATGGCAAATGGTAGGAATTCCTTGTGCACATGCATGTGCAGCAATAAAATTAGTTCAGGGTAATGTGTATTCATATGTTGAAGAATGCTACATTATTCGTGCACAAGAAAAAATTTACAGCTCCACAATGATTCCGGTAGAAACCATTGACATGCCTCAGTTGACCGAGCTACATTATGAAGATTATGAAAAGAATACCTTTTTGGAACCACCACTGACTACACGTCCCCAAGGGCGACCACCTATCAAGTGAAGAGAGTCACAATTTCAGAATAAAAAAGTGTATCATTGCTCAAGATGTAATCAAGCTAGACATACCAAGAATAGATGTAGGAATCCCAATTCAATGTAGGGATTGAAAGGGGGTGAAAACCATATGCATATTAGTTAGTTTAAAATTGAAATGCATATGGTTTTTATTTATTTTGTGCATTTTACTGTTGAATGACCTTTTGTACAGGCAATCACCTCATATGTTTTTTGTACTTGTGGAGGTAATAGGTTATGTAAATGGGATTGCAGTCTATGTTTTTTTTTTGATAAGGACTGCATAGGTACCATTTAGGTAGTTGGGATATTTTTTGGGTGAAAAGGGATGCAAAATATGGTGTACATGTATTACAATCAGTGTAATATAAAGCTGATGAAAATTTCAGGTCTAAATTTATTCGAGTAAAAATGCTGTCATGGCATAAGACTGTTGAATTCACTAATGTAGTAAGGGATATTGCTAATGTAACTTCTGATAACATAGAACCTTATTTGGGATTAAAATTTTCTACAGTATTTCAAACAATTAAGAGACTTGTCAGATAATAGGAATCAATAACGTTGGTTGGCAATTTCATATCCAAAGCAAGAAAAATTCCTACCATAAGTTGTGAAATGAATAACCCCACTTAGGCGTCATTGTTTATCAGAAGATACCTGTCAGAAATCGGGATCTGGTAACCTTACCTGAGAATTCCCTAACCTGAGTTAGAAAAGTAGCTAACGTATAATGTGAAATGTCCTAACATGACTTGGGAACTCTTTTTTTTGTAAGTCTTGCCACAGATTGGGTTTCAAAAACCACAGTTGGAAATTCCCTAACCTACCTTAGAAATATAACTAACGTATGTTGTGAACGTGCCTAAAGTGACTTAGGAATTCATTGTTAAAGGATAAGTATTGCCACAAGTTGGGTTCCAACAAAGTCAATTGGGAATGGCCTAACCTAAATTGGGAAAAAGTTGAACGCATGTTTTGAAAGAGCCTAATATGACTTGGGAATTGACTGCGTAAGGATAAGCCATTTGGCACAAGTTTTGTTTCAGCAACCTCACATGAGAATTTGGTAACTTAAGTTGGAAAAGTAACTAACATATGTTGTCAAAAGTTCCTAATGTGACTTGGAAATTTATTATTTGATGAAAACCGATGTGGCACAAGTTGGGTTCCAGCAAAGTCTCTTGCGAATATCCTAACCTAACTTGGAAAAAAGCTGCATGTATGTTTTGAAAGAGCCTAACGTGAATTGGGACTTCATTATGTAAGGATAAGCTGTTAGGCACAATTTGTGTTCTACTAACCTCACTTGAAAATTCCGTAACATATATTGTGAAAAACCGAATGTCAGTTTTAAAAGTAACGTGAGTCAATGAAAATCAATAATAGTTTGTCAAATTTGTTGAACATGTAGTCAAAATTTTTTTTAAATTAATTGCTGTATCATATACAAGAAGCCACAGAAAAAAACTTAATTACATAAAGGTTTAATTTACATATCACAAATGTCTACACTATGATTTCGATTTTTTGGATCGTGCATGCCCAGCATTCGAAATGGATGTCATGACTTGAGAGCCCACTTTGTTGTGTGGATGAGTCACCAATCAATACAATACCTCACTCCTTATTTCACTCAATTGTTCTTACACAATCACATAAAGTCAACTCATAAGATAGAAAACTGTCACACATAACAAATTATATCTTAGCTTTAACATTTGTTCCTACCATTGTTAGAGGAGGCATAGTAAGGCCGCCCCATTCCTCTCGTGCAGTATTATTCCACTGTCTAAGGCAAAAGATGACATACATTCCACAATCAGATCTACAAAAAATATGAAATCTGTCAGCACGTAGTTGGGAAATATATACTTAATTACATGTACACAATTTCAGCTTTTTTACTCACATCGTCGGTTGCTATTCCATAGGCACCACTTTCAACTCAAGGTCATAATTGTCATCAACAAGTTCAGGTTTCAGTTTCATTAATATTTCTACAAACCTGTTTTTCTGAGAATAAGAACAAAGTGAATGAGAAGCTTCCACCAACAAAATTTTATATATCATTATATAGGAAAAGGCATACCATAAAATATGCCATTTTTTCCTTCTCTTTCGGCAACATCGCTTCCTTCGCTTTCTTTATATTCTTCTTTTTCTTCTTTGATTCTTTACCAGATGGTAGCATTGAGTCCAGCACATACATTGTGGTTGTTTTCGGCTCCACAACATAGCAAAACCAATGCAATGCAAACACTATAGGGAAAAAAATAAAATCACAATCTCCTATGTTATATCCAATGGTAGTTGGCATGAAGTCCTTCAAATGGCTATCCAAGTCCCATCTTTTTTGTTGGTGGATTATGGTTCCCTGAAATGAAAAAACGTAACACTTGTAACTTGTAAGCATCTAATAAAACAAAGAAATTAAACTGTAAGACAAACCGTAAAATCTGGATCAAAAATGTGTCGCCGCACAAGTTGATCCTTTTCCTTTTGCTCATTGACCAAAAGTCTTCCAATTAATGTAACAACCTATATAACAAAATTATAGTTACATTAAAATTTTACTATAACTTGATCTATTTTAACTAGCACACTTGCTCACCGAACTACTGATCCATTGTCTAGGACCTAGGCACTTGCATTCATATCTTGTCACATAATACTGCTCAATCTCCACAATTTTCCTGTTACAGAAAACAAAATTATATCAACCAATTGATTATGAATGCATGAACTAGTAAGGTTGAATATCATACTCATGTCCCTCATTGGGTGGAATAGACTTTGTACAGTATTGGTAAACTTCTTTCTCTGTATATTGTCCTATTTCTTCATGTCCTCTTTTTGCCTTCCCTCTATCATCCAAAAAGGGTGAACGAATAGTGCTGACTATTTGTCATTGTGACCGTCTTAGTGTCCTTTCACCCTTAGAGTCTTTTTTTCTAATTAGCTTTTCTACTTCTTCTTGTGCACCCAATTCTCCCTCCTTTTCATTTTTATCTCCTTCTAATTGTCCTTCCTCTTCTTCTTTTTCATCTTCTCTGGATCCCCCTTCCTCTTTATTTTCATCTCCTTCTACTTGTCCTTCCTCTTCCTCCTTCTCATCTTCTTCGAATTCTCCCTCCTTTTCATTTTCATCTCCTGTCTCTTCTCCTTCCTCTTCTTTGTCATCATGTTCCAACTCTTCCTCCTCTTCCTCTTCACCATCATGCTGTTCAACAACTTCCTCTCCTCTTCTTTTATCTTGGAGCTTGAGGAGTCTTTGTGCAATTCCACGTGTAAAGGTCACAATATCTTTGTATACCTCTTTTATGTCCTGCACCATATAAAATGTCATATGTTTAAAATTATATAAAAAAATAACTTTGCTAATTAACAACCATCATTTTGCCCTTACCGGATCATAAAAGGAAGTCATTTCTGGAAGCTATACTGAGAAGCTGTCATGTCCTCGAGAAGGGTGATACAAAATGCCATGATCACTTGCCTTCTCAAGTTGAACTCATGCTGTCACTCTCTCCTCTGTCTAATATTCCAAAGCATCTTCTTGCGATGACACCTCAATTGACTCCAATGGAAACATTTAAAAGTAGAAAATCTGTATATTTACATCTATATCATATAACCCACAGAATTTTGTAAAATAATTAACTTATAACAAATTATACCTTAATTTACCCACATACCGCAAGAAGAAATAAGCATCCTCCAACAGTTTTTTGTGCCCATCCTTCTTCTCCCATGCTTTATATTCGGCTACCTCCTTTCCAAGCTCAGATAGTATAAAAGATGACCAATCATAATATACAGTTCCTAAATTTAACCCGGACATGACTTTCAATAGTTTATCACTTATTTTGGAACTCGAACTTGGACAAAGAAAATTCCCTAAGCAATAGAGAATGAAGAGAAACTCAAATTTATCATTTTCTTTCCCCGAGAGTATCATGTCCTTAATTACATTATAGGATACTTTTTTAAACTCCTTATTTAACAACTTTAATTTATTCTTATCCCCATTCATATCAACTATCTCCCCATCATTAGGCAAGCCAAGTAAGGCATGAACTGCTTTGCCATTGATGACTTTCCTTTGACCTCTAATGAAAAGGGATGATGTAGGAGGATCAAATGCCTTCATCACTTCATCGCATAAATCTCTAGGCAACTTGTGACATTTAATATTTAAAAGCTTACCAAATCCTATTCTATTAACCCTATCCCTCAAAAATTTTCGCTTTTTTATATAATCAAAAACTTCCTTCATCTTTGTCGGAGAACACCTTGTCTCAAATAGAATCTGTCCGAGTAAAACAAGTCAGCACCATTACTTGAATTCATCACATTTTTCATGCTTGAGGTCAAAAACAACATACATCGTAAGCTTTTATACCAGCGTTTTCCTCCTTAGCCAGACACTTATAGTGATCTTGTTCTTCTGATGTCAACTTTTTCCATGCTGCAACTGCTTCTGCGTTGAGTTTTTTCAAATCATTTCCCTGGGTTGTATACTTGCCACGATACGCCTCTTTGAACTTGCTTAAACCAGAACAACTTTTATGCCTTAAAGGATTTCCTTTTGTTTTAGCCATTATCCTGCACATTAACAATTAGGGTAAAAAACAAACTACTATCGAATGTATCTAACGTCACCAATGAATACACAAAATAATACTATTAGATTTACCAAACATGAAATCTGAATTTTCTCCATAGAACATGCGAGGGTCAGGGAAAGTCATAGTCACAGCCTCCCTAACTTTGCTAATTTTTTGGTCAAGATTGCATTCGTCTTTTACACAAGCAAATTTTCAAGTCGGAAGAACCTTGGCAAACTTTTATTTTATGAAGACATTATAAGAGCTTTAATGTCAAATTAAGACTTTTCAACATTGATGTTTCTAAATTTCAGTACTCCTTCAAGCATGTTTCAATACTAAAATTCCTTATTTGGCATTAATGTTATTACAAGCCCTTTATTTGTCATTCTCCCTTATTTTTAACTATTTTATTAGTCTATAATATCTTATCGACCTTTCTGCTACAATCTATATTTATGTTTTCCTTCTATTATGAAAAGGAAAGCTTTTCCAAATCCAGAGACCAAACACCAAACATGCCAATGTAGAACCTAAGTTTCGGTGCAACACATGGAAGGAATTAAGGAAGAGTCCAAAGTCCTTGTTAAGCAATGCCTTTCTCCCTTTTGTAACGGCCCTATATTTTAAAACAGCCAGCTCTGGGCCGATTTTCATTGCTTCTTGAAAGACACATAACCAAATGTTACAAAATTTCTAGTTCATTGCCAGTATATGTGCTCGGCTAGCAAAAGAACAGAACAAAATAAATTCATCCTACAACATAAAAATACCAAACGAACAAAATGCTTCTCACTCTTTCTTCCCAAATTCATGGCAAAATCATAGAATAAAGCAAAATATCAGGTCTGAATATCGCATAAATATAAACAAATATGGAACCATTTTCGGATCACAAATCAATATTACTGCAGTTTCTTCTCTTTTGCAAATACCTTACTGGAATGACACTAGGAAAAAATGCACAATCAACAACAAACACAAAATCATTTCGCTCCCACCGAAGAACAGACCGAGGGATGGAAGGAGAGAGAGAGAGAGAGGCACCGAACCTGGAAGAAGAGAAGAGGGTACACCGGACACAGAGCACGCACACCGGATTGAAAATGGGAGCAACAATAGAGGTCCCACCAACGATTGCGCACCCCTGGACTTGATACAGAGAACCCGATCACCGACTAAGCAGCCGGCCGAGCTGAAATATAGGAAGACGACAAGAAGGGGTAACCGAGGAAGACACCAAAACAGAGCAGGAATGGGGCTCTCTCATGCGCGGTACTTTTGTTTTGAGCTCAGGGGCATTTTTGACAATTCAACATTTTTTTATCCCCATTAAAGACCACGGTCCTTATTTGAGATTTCTATTTTTCAAGACCCTAATTGAAATTAATATCCTTCGAGGGTCCTTAACTGTCATTCTCCCGTTTTTATATCGCTCATTGGTATTCTCTTATTAAAGAAAATCATGTTCAAAGCATGAATAAATGAATATTAAATGTAAGTACATCTTTCATATTTAAACCTTAGTTCCTCACACTATGAGGGACTATCTCAACCCTTCCACTAATAGTAATAAGAAATCAACTCAATTTGTACTTTTTCAGGAAAAAAATCCAATATGACAATTAGTATCAACATGTATAACAATTGACTGAATTTGACAAATGAATCCAAATTACTATTTCTTATGATTGGAATCCAAATAGCTTCAATCATCCTTTGAAAAGGGGGAAAAATTACATGAACAACTTGAATTAGTTGTTTTTAGACTAAAATTTGCAAAACTAAAGTTCCTATAAATTGAAGTTATGGTAAAATTGACTTAATACTATATTGTGATTTAATTTGTAATGTTCTTTTTAAAAAAGTCAATCTAATAAACCAGAATTTGTTTGAATGATATAATTTAGAAGTTTATCTATATATATATATATATATGATGATGGTGGAAAATGACATAAATTTTACATTTCTATATATACTCTCTTGCATATTATAAAGCAAAAGTGCCTTTTAGAAATATTTCTTGATCCTTAATATAAGATATTTGATGGGTATTTGTTACTCTTTTTGTCTTATTTATAGGTTAGAGAGAAAAAAATTTAATCTTATTTGTAGGGCGCACTTGTCAGTTTTCAACATTCCTCTTTAAATTTTTGCCTTTATTAAATATATACTTTGAATAGAAATATTAGTAATAAAATTTAAGAATATTTATTAAGGGTAAAAGTAAAATCTTATTAAATTTTATGACAAAATTAAAAAAATTTAAATTTTTTTTTATTTTAATGAAATATATTAAAAATTATTTATAAATAGGATTAGAAGGAGTACATTTTTCCAACATGGGAGGGGTAGGAGTTGGCTTCCCTCCTTCCACAAAAGCTTCCTATGCACCTTTGTTGAAGAGGTACATGATTTAAATTGTTCAGATTTAATTTGAACAGTCTATAATTACTATACCATTTATTTTATATTTTTTATAAAAAATTGAGAAAAATTAGCTTAATGGCCTCAAAAAATATACCTCCCATAAATTATAGATGAGATTTTTTTTTAAATATTTTATAATATGACTCATTTATAACTATTGTAATTAATCTTTAACTAACTGAATTGTTCTTTTTTTTTCTCTAAATCATTCCTTTTTTTTCTGAATATAAAATTATCGGTGCCTTTCTTCATCATAGAGTTTTTTTTCTCGCTCCCTCTTTATTTTTTCCAAGAACACTATGAAGAAGATATTAAACATTGAAGAGAAATTTTCATTTCTAGAAGCATAAGACTATGCTAGAATCTATTATCTGTCATCAGATTTTCACTATCTTCACATCTCTCGAAACATTAAATTTTTTATAGATTGTGTTTGATTCATTTTGGACAAATGATTATGTATCTTTTGTGTTGCTAATTTGCAATATTACATCATTGATATATATATATATGTCAATGATAAATAAGTTTATGTCTGATTGTCTAATTATGTTAATTTGCGATAATATATCAGTGATATACAATAATCTATCAATGACATAGTATCGCAAATCAGTAACATAAAAAACACATAATCATTTGCTCAAATGGATCAAACATAGTTTACAAGAAATTTTGGACTCTTAATTTATTACAAAGAGTCAAATACCTAAACTAATAAAAAAAAATCTTAACTCCATTTTCCCACAGACTTGCTTTGTTCCGTCAAGTATCGTCGATGTATTTAACCTCACATTTGTCTCCCGTGATTGTGATTGTGGCTCGCTCACACTACTCTGCTGTCTTGCGTTCATCTCTCTTGTGTCTGGTTTTGTCTTCTCTCTCACATTCATCTTTAAAAAAGGCTATTTTAGACTATATATCTCACATTTATTGCATTTAGTTCTAGAAATTTTTTACATTTTGAATCTTCTGATATTTGCAAAAATTAGATATTAAAAGGGCAATTTTGTAAATTAATTATAAGCTAAATATTAAAAAGTTCATTTTTAAAATTTAAGAAATAATAGACTATTTTTTTATTTGGTCTTATGATATGGGCTATGTGTACAAAAGACCCTAAAATTTATATAAATTATAAAAAATTTTAACAAATTTGATTATCAGTTTGAACAATCTATATTTAATATTAAAAATGTATAAAAATTGTAAAAAAGTTAATATTAAACATGTATTGTTAAGAATATATCTGAATAGTTAATTTATAAAAATTTTAATATTAAATATGGATCATTCATATTAAATTTAAATTTTTTAAATTAATAAACAAATTTATTAAAAAAAATTTACAATTTATACAAATTTCTAATTTTAAAAAAATATATTAAATCCGAACTAAATTAAATTTTCACAATCCAGAGGAAGCGTCCCCTGAGAGAAGGGACAACAGGTTCAAATTTCGCTAACCGCAAAATAGCTTCAGCAACTCCATTTTCTTCATTTCAGCTTCAGGTGTTGCTATACTTTGTGCTGGGTATATCCAGCTCAATTGCCAGAGGTTATTTCCGAAGCTTTGAAACTGAAAGCTAGGGTTTTGGGCAAGAAAGAAGGGCATGGAGGTCGCGGTCGTTGACGCTGGTTCAAAGCTCCTCAAAGCTGCATTTGCTATACCCGATCAGGCTCCAGCTATGGTAATTAATCAATGAGCCAGCTGAATTCTTCCTTTCCTTTAACTTGTTGATGAGAAAATTAGCACATTAGATAAGAAAAGGGCAAAATTTTTATGAACCTCACGCATTCTGCTTGTTTGGATAAATAGAATGATACCCTGATGCCCTTTTGTTATCTTTGAAGACTTTTTTTCGTGGCTTGACTTTGAAGACTGAAACAGAGAGAAAGAGATTGAGATTAAAAAAAAAAACTTTATTTTGCTTCTCCGAGTTAGAGGAAAACCACCTCACTGTTTGGTTACATAGAGGAATTGTACTTTTATTTTAATTAATGCTAAATGTATTAGTCTTTGTAGAAAGTTAGGATGAAAATAAATATTCCCGCGGAAGGTGAATGCGTCGCTGACCAGTTGACATGATCCTCCTGGTTTTATAGTTGATGGCTTGTGTAGACAGCAATTTTATTCTACTAAAACTATCAAAATTGTGGTTAGTAAGGTGTGCATCTTTTAAACTTTGTACATGCACACCTAGGGATCCAAGATAATCCTTAGAGCTAGTCAGCCAGTGATTATGATGGCTTAAATAGTTCCCCCATCAAGTGCTCTTGCATATTCATTCTACCTGGTCTACTTTTCATGCCATATTTTTGATATTTTATCTGTCAGCTACTTTGTATGCGGAGAATCAGATGCTTAGACCTATCTATTAACTAATTTAACTTAGAATCCTAGTGTTTATTCATCGGTTGTACTCCTCATTCTATCTTTCTTCTCTGTTATAATATTCTTATTGAAAAAGATATCACAGGTAAATTCTTCTAGAATCAAAGCATTTTATCTGCATTCTTTTCACTGCATCTTATTCATCAAACTAATAAATATAAATAAGATAGAACTGCTATTACGTGGTAAGAGAATAAGTACTCATTCAAATATAGATTAAAATTTGAGATGGCCGTTTTGAATTCTATTATGGTATTTGCCATTGAAGGACATACAGTTGTTGATTGGGTATCACTCTTCATATGTCCACATGGTCTTACTCCTACTACTTGTTATGTGCAACTTGCTTGATCTCTTTGGCTTTATTATCAGATATTGCACCAGTAATTGGGGGTCTGTTCATCACATCGCCTAAAAAAGATTTGAGTTTGGAGGCATTGATTTAACAAATTTCTTGGCTCAAGAACTCGGCAAGTCAAATCTGCTAGTAAGCATCAGCTTGTCTGAGGTTGAGAAAATAAAAGAGCAATACTCATGTTGTGCTGAAGATGAATTAGCTTATCAAAAGACCTAAGATTCTTGTGTTGCGGAGGAACATACCCTTCCTGATGGACAGGTCTGCCTTTTAGGTTCCTGATTTGAGATATGATGCTTCCTCTTTTAAGATTTAATTGATCGATATTGATTTTTAGGGTAGTGGATTTTGGTATATTCTTTAGTTAATGCACTGGTATCACTTTCAACCTGGCAACATAGCCTTGGTGGGAATTAATAATGGTTACAAAAGTGGGGAGGAAGTGAAAGATATAAATGGGATGGAAAATCAATGATACAATTAGGGAATGGTTACTCAAGATCATCATGCCTAATTTAAACAAGCTTATGAGCAGAAATGAGGACAATAAATATTACGCTACAGAACACTTGATTTTCATTTCTCAGTCAATCTAAGCTCTTAAATTTTGCTCTGAACTTCTGATCATGCTGAATATGCCGTGTACTTAGCTAGATTGTAATTAAAGGAGGATCTAAAATATAGGTTCTGACTTACAGCAATTTATATAAGCACTCAGAATATTCTATAATAGGATCTAATTGTTGAAATATTTTTCAGGTGATAACTATAAGGAGGGAAAGATATACTGTTGGTGAAGCTTTATTCCAGCCATGTCTATTGGGTTTAGAGACATAGAATTGTTGAACAGCTTTTACGAACTATTTCAACTGTGTCATCAGATAATCAAGGAGGAAGGTGATTGAGGCATATGCAAGGAGGAAGGTGAAGCTCATTATCAACTCATGCAGTGTTATATTCTATTAATGCTCTCATCGGAATATGTTTATATTTCGAATTCTGTGGCTCCTATTGCAACACTGTCAATAATTTGTTATCAACTAAATCTCTCCCCCAATTAAACTCTCACGGATGTTTCTCCTTGAAGAAATAGGGAGGGAAATAAAGAGAGAAAATAAATGGGAACAGTGAAAGGAAAAGAGCTGTTAGACCCAATTCTGTTAATTGAAAAGTTGTTACTTTACGTCTAACAGGTTTATGCTGTTTGTTATTATAGGCTTTGAAGAAAGGTTTGAGAAGGAAGCTAACCTGACTTCATCTGCTGTTCAACCCACTCTTGTTAAGGTAATTTGGTTATCCATTAACTTTTTAAAGCCTTTCATTGACATCAGCTTCATAAATTGGAGGTGACTAATTCCTGAACTTTAATGAGTATGTTTGTGGTAGTTATGTGGTCCACATATCTACCATTTTTTCTCAAACCAGTTTACGCATGGCTTTGCTCCTTCTGCTGTGTTAATTTTATGGACTGTTTATTAACATCAACCTCCAATCATCTTCCTTAAACTTATTAAATATAAAGTATGATGGAGACTTGATAGTGTAGGATACCAAATCCCACATTAAATAGTATGGGATGATTAATGAGGTATTTAAGTGGGTTGGTTCTTCCACCTCAACAGCTAGTTTTTGGGGTAGGGTTTTCCATCCCACTTATGTATTCATCAATTGGTATTAGAGCCAGGTTGTTGGCAATTCTTGAGAGAGTTACTCATTAAGGGTTTTGACCGGTAGGAGTTTGAATTAAGTGTCATAGAGTGTAGCATGTGGTACATTGGCTTTCCATGAGGGGCCAATTGATGGAGACTCAATAGTATGGCATACAAGGCCCCACATTGAGTAGCATGAGATACTCAATGGAGTATTTAAGTGGGTTGATTCTCCCTTCTCAACAGCTAGCTTTTGAAATAAGGTCCTCCATCCCACTTAGGTACTCATCAAAGTACAAATGAGAGAACATACATTCAGACACGTAAGCCTAGTGCATGTGGCTAGGGTAGGGTGGTTTTTGGGATGCAGTCCAAGATTCAAATGTTCTTGACGCGCGCATGCGTCTGTGCATGCATACTGATGAAATAATTTTGAATTTTGGCACAGTATGTTCAGATTATAACAATCTTTAGGTTACAAATCAGTAGGTGTAGTTTCACCTTTGTAAATTTTAACATTAGATCTATATGAAGAGATAGACTTCTGCCTCTTGTGCATGCATAACTAAAGTGGAAAAGAAGCTGTCTCACTTGAGGAATATTCTTCTCAAATAGATGGTGTGATCAGTAGAAGTTTCGTTCCATTTTGATGATAAAAGTCATCGCTCTTCGTAGGGTCGCTATTACCAAATAATAATCAAGAAACAAAATAGAAATTGGTTGGTATGCTGATAAATTCTTTCAAAACAAATACTTGTGAGCAGTTTAAAATTCATCAAGCCAGAATGCCTGAAGTGGACTGAGCTCCTAATTTAGTTTAAACTCTGTAGCATGAAAATACTTTTGACAACACCAACATGCTAGGCAGTACCAAAACCACATTGTGGTGCTAGTAAAACGTTTTGAAAGATGATCTAATAATCGCATCTTCCTCTGCTCCCTGAGCAGATTATGACAATTTTGCAGGTTATCTTTTAAAATCTTTATCTTATAGTGCTCTTATCATATCAGTACTTGGTTTTCATATTCTGATTTTCCTCTCTGTTCGTGTCTTATTGCAGCCTCTAGAATACATGCCAGAAAATTTAACCACATATTCTGCATGGCTGGGAGGTGCCATACTTGCCAAAATAGTTTTCCCACAAAATCAGCGTGTAACTGAGGCTGATTACGATGAAACTGGACCTTCCATCGTTCACCAGAAATGTTTCTGATGGCATTCATCGGCGGTACAAATACAATATCTGCAAATGTCTAGTCTCTTCACACTAACTTGCAATGTGACAGGTAGTAGCAGTCCTTGGATTGACTGTGAGTTCTATATTTGTGTGTTAGAAGGGTTGTAGTCAATTTGTTCATGTTATCCTAAAAAGAAGAGAGTATATATCAGTCAAGGCAAGCATGCTTCTTTCAATTGCGTCCCTAGGCATGGATAGATGATTTTAACAAGGCTTGTTGAACAAAAGCATATGTTTGGTATCTGTTGAACGTTGATCAAGGTTATTCAGTGTAAATTTTTTCAGAGATAAGGTCCTAAATTTAAATTTTCCGTTGGGCAATAATGGTGGTTTTGGACAGGAATGTTTGTTTGAAAAAAGAGTCACAGTCAATCATTTAATTTTTATAGTTGTGACTAAATTAAAATCCTGTCTTTGAATTTCGATTTAAGGCATCGTAACTGTTATAATTTTGACTTACTAAAACTTAATTCATGAATTTTGACTTGAATCAATTCAATTATTGTAATTTTATTAGTTTAAAATAGTGGTTCTTAACATTTAAGAAATAATTGGAAAAATGATAATAAAATCTCTTTGAATTATATAAATAATAATCTGGTCTCTTGAAATATTATGATTTCACTGAAATTTTTAAGGGCTTTTTTGTCATGAATAAATTTTTATAAATGACTAAATTATTCTTGTAGCAATATAAAAAAAATTATGATTATATAAATAAAATTTGTGATTATTACTTATTATTTTCAATATTTGTAACAATTCTTTAACATGTGAAATTGTAATTTGTTGTTGCGTTGTTGTAAACATAAGAAGGAAAATTGTGATTATATGAACAAAACTTATGATTGTGAATTGTTATTTCCAACACTTATAACAGCATCAAGAATTTGACATGTGAAGTTGTGATTTGTTGTTGCATTATTGTAAATATAAGAAGAAAAATTATAATTGTTTAAACAAAATTTATGATCATTTTATTTTCAACAAGGATAATTTGATTATTTATGTAAATTCATTAATAACAAGAAAAGTTTTTAGGAAAATTAGTGAAATTATGACATTTTAAGAAATTAAATTATCATTTATATAATTTAAAGAAATTTTTTTTCACTTTCCCAAATAATAATTTTAGTCTTTATAATTTTATTTTTTAAGATGTAAGGATGAGGATTTTAAATAATTAAAATTATGATGCTTGAATTGTACCAAATCAAAATTTAATTGAGTTTTAATCATGTCAAGTTAAAATTTTAGAAATCAAATGATTAGTTTTTTATAAAATATGTAAATTGTATGGTGATGATTTTTTTTTAATACAAATGAATGCAACATTCAGAAAAAACCAAAAAAAAAATCCTAAAGAAAAAAGGAAATTGTATATTTTTTAAAAAGTCATACATAATAAAACTTTTTTTTCAAATTTTATTACATATAAAGTGACGTGTCTTTTTTTTCAATACCAATAAAGGGTGTGGGTATATGCACACACGCACTATTTGGCTACATGCATGATGCGACTTTATATTATATTTGTTATTTATTTGTAAGTATAATAACTTTTGGGACCATTTTAGCTCTGATACCAACCCTAATCTATTCCTCCCTATGAAGGGTTGATATAGGCCTAAAGGATAGTCCGCACTATTAAGAGCCTTAGATATAGGGCTTTCACATTTCTATTACTTGATCTAATTCTAATTTATTATAACTTGGAATAAAAATGTTGATTAAACAATCAATCAACATTTGTATTTTAAATGTTTGGCTTACGCATTACACAAATGTCTTCAAGATATTGGTTTTTTAAAATTTTACATATGTTTGCACATTGCAATTATTAGTGAAATAAATATTTTCAAAAAATTAAAAAGCACTTAATTAACTCAATACAAGGCATATCTATTAAATATTATAGCTATTTAAAAGCTAATATAAAAATTATACAACGACATTTAATCTTTTTATATACATAGACATTGATTTTGACATATTGACTTTGCTAATTGTTTTTTTTTAAAACTTTATTAATGTGTTCAAATTTAATTAGGGTATTTTTTAAAAAAAAAACAACGTTCTAGTCCCTTGACAAGGCTCGGATCACTATATTTAAAGCTTTTTTTTTTTGTTGGGTAAAATACTACTATGTTTTAATATATAACACACTTAAACAGTTGTACAAGCAATTAATAACTTTTTACCTAAATACTCTGAGAAATATATTAAAATCACTTACCTTCTACTTAATAAATAACTAATGATTGATAGCGTTAAAGAAGTCGGAAAAAAATTGAAATCTTTGTGTTAAAACAATTGAAAGCTTAATTACCCTATTATTTTTCTTACTTAAGTTTTATTTTAAACAGAATATTTAACTATTATTTTTTTGAAGTATAAGAACAAATTTTCAATCACTTATTTAAATAACAAGAATCTCTACTAGTTACATTAATTTTATTTGGTTAGGAGTGTTTGATTCTTTTTTAATGTGAATATAGAAGTTTGGGTGATTTCTTTTTTTTTTTGCCTGAGAAGGAAAATAAGCTACAACGTTAATATATATATATGTAGTCAAGTAGCGTCTAGTTTAACAGAAGCTATTCTATTGGTGTTCCTACGACCTTGGCATTTTTATGATGGCGATAGAGTAGCATTATGAAGCTACACATGGTTTCATAAGCAAATACTAATATTATATATATATATATATATATACACACACACACACACATACATGCACACACATTCCCACACAAGATGGGTACGACTTCAGGAACTAGGGTTCCATTATGTGTCACTAAAGCTTCTCTACCAAATAATAATTGATAGCCCTTTACAGAAATTTATAGTTCATCCACTCAAAAGGTCAAATGATTGCTTCTCATTTATCCCTTTTCTAAATCAAATGTTTAATGCAAATATAGTTAAACAAATAATGACCATAAAAAAACTTTAGGAGAGAGATAGACTATATTTTTTGCAATAATTTATTCTATGTTTATTTCATTCTTTATGCAATCCTCATGGTATATCAAAACAATAACAAAGGAATGAAAAATATTTGTTCGTTAGTTTTTTTTTAAATGGTATGACATTCTTTTTTAAATTTTGTAAACACACATGACTTTTTTAAAGTGAAAATTTTATTTATTTTAGTTTAATTTTATTTCTATAGAAACGTTTTTTAAGCAATGGGGAGATTCTGTAGTAAAAAATAAAACTAAAATCAAATATGCATTTAAAAAAAAACATGATGCTGCTCAAATTACTATATGGCATGCTCCCTTCGTGTGTATAAAAACATATATTATTCTGCACCAAAAAATATATATTATTAATTATCTTCTTTTTTAAATACAATTATTAATTATCTTCTTCCAGTTCTACCAGTTTCCAATTTTCTATGGTAAAAGGCTACAAGCATAAGAGTGTTTTTATGGATGTTGTATTTAATAAGAATAAATTAAAAAAATTAAGACAATATCAATAATTTAACTTTATTTTTTTGTGCATATAAGGGTTTTTAGACCCCACTCTTATAAGTTCTTTAAGAACATATTTGGACTCGAGCTATTCTTTTTAAGCTATGTATTTTTTCTAGTCAACATGTGAATGAAATTTTTAAAAAATATTTAGTTAAAATTGTTAATATTGCAAAAAAAAAATGGTTGAAATTGTTTCATTTATTTTTATTTTTGAATTAATATATGAAAAATAACACAACTTCTTAAATTATATATTGCCATAATTAAAAAATTATAAAAACTTATTTGAACTATCGAGTCCTGGACTTGAAAAATATTGTTAATTTAAAACATTTAAGTTTATGGGTTTAAACTATTAAAGACTAAACTTATAAGTATGGAACCAACTTTTATTAACAACCTTATCTGTACATACAAACGAAAGAAATTCATTGGGTTTTGATGATAGAATGAGAGTGATTCAGAATAACAACAATAGAATCACTAACTCCTACCATATCCAGCTTTGGTGGCCCCAACCAAACATGGCCTCTCTCTCTCTCTCTCTCACGTGCGCGCGAGCGCGCACACACGCGGTTTAACAATTTCATTTTACCGTTTGAAATGACATAGTTGCTTCGTTGGATTTGATCATAGTTGCTTCGTTGGATTTGACCAACCCTTGAATCTAACTGGATAATAAATAATGCCAAATTGATTTTTTTCAAAAAAGATAAAAAAGAAAATTGAAATTATTAAAGTTGTGGATGTAGAGGAAGCTAATTTATTTTTTAAGGAAAAAAAAGGAGTAGAAAAAAAATAAGGCATGAAAAGTAAAGTGAAATAGAGTGTAGGTTTGGGTAACCACCCAGAGAAAAGAGCCAAGACTAGAAAGAAGCAGACATTGCGGAGTTGGGATAGGGAGTGTCCTACTCTCAAAAAATAGGTTCAATAATTCTCAATTTCTCCCCCTTCCCTTATTTGGAAAGGCATCCCTATCTTCTTTTCTCACCTTTCCTCCTTTCTTTTTTTTTTTTTTAAAACTAAATTCCACTAAATTTATACTTCATGCAACACATTACTAAAGGGTATTTTGATCAATTTTTAAATTCAATTGGGGTTTATTTTTTGTTAGAATCACATTTAAAAACCTTTTAAGAGAATTATTCACTGATAATTGTCAATACAAAATTGTTTATTATTAAAATAATAATAGAAACTTGTTTTTTTTTTTATTGTTGGTCATTATCTCCAAATAATTTTTTGAAAGGTCATTGAATACGATTTTGCTTTATTTTTTTTTTTGTTAAGTTCAAGGAGTAGACAATAGAAATCTTAGTTATTTTGATTTTTTTTTTACATTTTTACATTTTATTTTTAAAAAAAGTTTATAGTAAACTCTAAAACAACGTTAATTATGTTTTACTTTTAAATAAAAATCAAAATATAAAAAAAAAAGATTAAACTATTGAAATACAAATGTACCCACTTTTGATTTTAAATTCATCTGATAGACATACATGAGATACTTGAGTTTGGCCTAACTAAGGCAACACTTATTTTCTTAGAAGAATGTTAAATTGGAAAAAAGGTGTCTACCACAACATTTATACCCAACACACATGTTACTTTTTCGTTTTATTTGGCTAACACAAATTCTCTCCTTTCCTTCGTTCTTTCACATGTGTCAATAATATATAGTCTAATTGACAAGTATTTGTCCCATAGCTTATAAAATCGTGTGTCAAATCCTCCTGTTGTTTATAAAGGACTTTGTTAATAGGTACTCTCCCCGTTCCAAATTCTACAACTACTTTGGAAGAATTTTATTACCCTAACATATGAGACCATTTAAGAAAAATAAAATTTCACTAATGATAATTTTTTGATATTACCTTTTAAATAGAGAGATAATTGAAATGATATTATAGTGTAATGATTAAGTGTGTAGAAGCATTTTTAAAAGTTAATAGTTTTGTTTTAAAAAGATAATTTTGTAAAGTATCATTATTAAGCTTTATTAATATGTGTAATCTTATTTTAAATTATCTTATAATTTAAAATAAAAGAAATACTTTATAAGTAGCTTTATAAACGCTCTTTAAATTTAAAACTGAAAGCATCACCGGTTTAGGTGAGCTTCTAGCTCCAACCCACTTGAACATTTTGTTAATTGAAAAAAAAAAAAGAAAAGTTATATATAGGTCACGTGGAATAAATTTATTTATAAATAAATTTTATAAAATTTAAAAACCACAACTAAATTTCTTGAGACCTAAGTGTAATTTAAAATTGAGATAAAAAGATAATGATGCCCCTATTAAACATATATACATTACATCAGTCAAATAATTTACAACTATTTTATCAGCATTTTACAAATATAACTTTAATTTTTTACAACTGTAACTTCATAATTCATGTATTCAATAATTAAATTGATCAGTTTAACTATTAAATATGTGAAGTTAAAATTATAAAAAGTTGAAGTTATAGTTGTAAATTACTAATAAAGTAGTTGCAAACAATTAATATTAAATTTTTTTAATAACACATGATTGTTTAACTATTGAATATGTGAAGTTACAATTATAAAAAGTTAAAATTATGGTTCTAAATTATTGATAAAGTAGCTGTAAATTAATTATTTAATTAATAAAATATATATTTAATAGGAGTATTATTATTATCTTTATAGCTTAATTGTCAATTACACTCAGGTCTTAAGAGATCTTCCTGTGGTTTCCAAATTTCGCAACTAATAAGTTTGCTTTATAAAATTTATACGTAATTTTTAAAAAAAAAATCCTTTTATGTAAAACATTAGTTTTTGCGATATTTATTATACTTTCTAGTTTCTATAAAGTCATGTTTAAAAGATACTTTAAACTAAAAAATCAATTATACTTCAAAGCAATGGATGAGCAAAAAAGCAATGGAGGCAAAAAGTACAGGCTCTCATTTTTTCGCGCATGCATGAGAATCCAATAAATAATTCTCCTAACAAGACCGACGAGTACTTCCCACTAAAACGAATTTATTATAAATTATATTTTTCATAAGATGACACAAAAGGACTTTGATAGAGAGGAAATGACATCAAAGTACCATGAATTGATGGAATTACTCAGAAAGACCGTTATGTCATTTAGCCATTAGCTGAAAAGATACCTTTGTGCCGTGAGCAATATTGTTCGATTGTAAAAAAGATTTACTTGCAAAAACTTGCGAAAAGTTAGGCGCAAAAAGTTGAATAATTAATTGAAAAGAGTTTAAAAAATTAATATTAAAATACCCAAGAAAGGGTGAAATAACAACTTACTGTTCCATTATTTTGCGATTGATATTATAATTTTTATAATCGAGTATTCTATTTTTGGCAATTAATATTCTGGTTTTTACAATCAAATTTTGATTTTAAATGTTTTCCAATTTAGTACTCCCTCTGTTAAAAAATATAAGGCATTTTTAACCGAAACTCATCTCTTAATAAAGTGATTATCTACTTTCAAACTAATCCTATTTTTTTATATTTATTCCTATTAAATATCTTATAATAAATACAAAGTCACTATCAATAAGGATATTTTTGAAAAAAGATAATGATTATACCTCGAAAGATTTAAAAATGTATTACATTTTTAAACATCTAACTTCTCAAAAATGCCTTATATTTTTAAATGGAAGGAGTATATTTCAAATTTTTACAACCGAACTTCATTTTTTATTAATAATTGAGCCTTTGGATTTTTATTCTTTCCCAATCTTTCAATTTTTTAAATTGAATATTCTACTTGTGCAACTAATTAATCTCCTGATTTTTATAACTTACTAAGCACTTTGCTTTTTTTTTTTAATTGTTTTCAATTGTCTCTTCAACTTTTTGCAAATAGATTTGCTTTTTTTTTTTAATTGTTTTCAATTGTCTCTTCAACTTTTTGCAAATAGATTCCAATTTTTACAACAATTTTTTTTTTATTCTTACAATTGAACAATATTGTTGTTGAATGTTGACCTATAAAGACATCTTCATTGATTTGTTCTAGTACTTTCAGAGTAATTTTTTCTCCACCAAGTTCCTTCCGTATACGTTCTCAAATTTCTTATCATTTAATTAATTATGATGGTTTGAATTGATAAAATTAATTCAATTAACTTTTTTCATTCAAAAAGCAAATCGAATCCTTGACCCTTGCACTTTCCCTACACTGAAATCATAATGAAGAAGCACCACTATCTTTTTCTCCTATTTCCCCACCTCATTATCATTTATAGGGTTTACTTTCTTTTCTTCTTAAATAAAAAAAAATCATAGGTTTTAATTTAATGTCACGATCAATGGAGCCTTTGCTGCGAAATAGGGGGAGAAACAAATTTGAAATGCTTATAATAATGTAATTAAGTTGCCCAAGCATTGTATAAAATTTAAAGTGTTAAAAAAATAGCTGTATAATTTGTTTAGTGAAACTTAAAATATTAAAAGTATACATTTCCAATACTTTTAAATAATTTAATTTGGAATTCTTTTTAAAACAACTCTAGTTTATCCAAAATTTTAATGTTCCATGAGAGAATTATATTGAAAGAGTTGGGGAAATATGATTCCTAAAAGTTGAATGTTGGTGGTGTAGCACTGTAGCTATGTGCCAACATTTATCTTTTCATCTTACTTTTAATTTGTTTTTTAATTAAAAATGAAAAATAAATAGGCATGGGAAGTGGAAAAATAACTTCAACATTTTAAAAGGACTTTAGAGCAAGGGCAAATAAAAATTTAAAGGATTTAGACTCGATGATTAGCCTAAATACACTTATTTAATATGTGTCTCAATTATAACTATTAAATTTCATCAATATTTGTAAATTATCATGATATATTTTCTTTCAAAAATTCAAAATAATCATCATGATCAAAACACTTCTTACTTATACGTTGCCTTCAAAAATTTAAAATTTGATACTTTTGTAATATTATATGACAACCCTTGGATTAAATCAAACCCTCATAATTAATTTGATTTTATCAGTAGCAAAAAAAAAATTTTTGTTGAGAGATATTATCAATAGCAATTTCTTTCAGCTGTTAAGTTGATTGATGTAGATGGAACCACAACTTTCATGTCTCAACTTAACTCTGAAAGGTAATCCAAAAAGAGGTTAGCTCTAGAGACTAACACGCACCCACTAGAAAAAAGATAGAGGAGATAGGGATCTCATTCACACACACACACACAATCTCCCTTCGATTTATTTACAAAATATTCGAGACATTTCTTATGAGCTTTAATAAAAATTATTGGGAGAGTATCAATAGAAGACTCTAGTAAAAATTTAATTTTTTAAAAAGATTTCTAATAACAAGTAGACATTAATAAATTAATAAGTAAAGTTTTTGTTTTTTGAAGTTCACAAAATGCTACTCAAATTACCATATGGGATATTCCCTTCATTCTTATACTCATCTTCGGAAAGAAATCGATAGTCCCTCTTATTAGTTATTTTGTATAAAAAAGATAGATTATTAATTACCTTCTTTCAATTCTATCATTTTACAATTTCTATGAGTAGGGTCAAAGGTTACATGCAAAGAGAATAATTGTAAGAATGATATATTTAATAAGGATAAACTGAGAAAAAAAAATTTAAGACAATATCAATGATAGAAATAATCTACCATAGAGCTATCACTAAGAGTAAGGTTTTTTAAACTACCTCTTTAGATCCTATAGTATACTTATATATATATTAACATCAAGAAAGAGACAGATAAGTAATGATTATAATGATAAGGTTTTACAGTACAGAAAATAATTAATTAAGTTGTTTGAATAATCACATACTGATCTTTAAACCATATATATATATATATATATATAGAAATGAATGTAAAATAGTAGAAAGTGGGGTGATATATTTTGTTTGGGAGCTAAAAGAGAGGAGACCAGTTTGCAAGGAGAAGCATGAATGGAAGATTTAAAACATCATTGTGGGTCTCCACTTTTCTGTAGCTTCACCCTCCAATTATTGCTCTGCTTCCCCTACTTTTATTTTTGTCTCCTTCTCCTTCCTCCGTTATTCTCATATTCCTGTATGTTCACATTAAAACTATATCATTAATTCAACCAAATGACACACATTCATTCTCTGCTGTTACTGCCTGGTCATGCATGCATGATTCAGAAATTAATAATATAATCCCTTGGACATCATCAAAGTTTGCAAAAATATACAAAAATATAAAAATTAGGCCATGTCAGATTTTAAGAGGATTCTCCTGTCTAAAGATAAATGATTGAAAATAAAAAAAAAATTTAAGTGTGTATTTAGTTTTTAATTTACATTTGACAAAAGTCAATTTAGAAAATTTAACTATTTGTTGGATTTGAGAAAAAAACATTCCAATGTGATTTAAATATACTTTTAAGTGTTATTTAAAGAAGCGTATGAGCATATTAACATATTTGTTAACTTCTTTGAATACAAAGTTGAAAGTGAACATTCAGTTTTTCATGATGAATTTCCTAGATTTCTTAATATTTAATTACTAATAGTGGGCGATGGCTTAGAGAAGTTATGCTGGAGAATTGCATGTTTTGTCTTTCATTATCTTCACAACATTAATTGTGCATCTTTTTTGGTTAGAGAAACTTAGTGATGCCTTTGAATTAATTAAAGAGCACTTATACATAAAAGTACTTACATACCATCTGTTAATAAAATTCTCACATTTTTAATTAATAATAGGTTAGCACACACTAGCTCATATTTCTTTGTTTAATTTTTGTCTTAGTGGAGTTTAAACTGATATTATTATCTTAATTAAGAGAGGAAAAAGAAGTTAAGGCCGGGTTGTTAGTTTATATAATGATAACTAAAATATTTTAATAATTAATTAATATATGTTCAATAATCATATAAAGGAGCCATCAAGGTTGCTTTATACTTTTTAATAAATTGATAGCCTAATCTTTTTTTTATACGCTATAAGGATGTTCTGAATCTTTCTCAATGGCTATGGACATAAATAACCACAATTATTTCTTTAAAGTCACGCTTATGCTTACTAAAATAAGTAAATAACAATTTAATTTTCTAAAAATCAGAAAAATATTTGAATCTCGTTAGTACTTTTAGATAGAAAAACCCTAATAATATTTTTGACAAAATAAAGTTAACGCGCGCGCATATATAGCATATAAAATTCTTAACAAAGTAATATTATCCATGGATCATAAAATGCGTGCAACTGATCGTTACGATTTCTTAGATTCCATGTAATGTAAGAAATTCGTGGTAGTTTTAAGAAAAATAAAATAAATCTTATGAATTATTACTATACCTCCATTTTCTGAATGAGATCTGCTGGTGTATCTGCTATGACCACAAGATTCCTTGAAGAGCTCTCTATAAAACCTTCATCCACTCCTTTATCAAATAAACTCATCAAGCTGTTGAAATACCCATCCACGTTCAACAATCCAACCTGCATATACATATGATTTAAATGTGTTTCAGGGCATATACATAATTCATTAAATTAAAACAAGTGATCAAAAAGGCCACACACACAAATATTAATCTTACTGGTTTATCATGTATTCCTAATTCAGACCAGGCTATCACCTCCAGCAGCTCTTCCATGGTTCCATAGCCTCCTAAATAATACAATATATTCATGAAGTGTAGTTACTAATTCCTAATTATATAAAAGACTGTTTAGAATTGTACAGATTAAAAGACTGTCCATTTGGATGTTATAGTTGAAGTGCATGTGGAAAACGTGAAATTAATACCAGGAAGTGCTATGAATGCATCAGCATGTTTAGCCATTTCTGATTTTCTCTCATGCATATCTGCAACAATTTTCTCTTCTCCAAAGGTTTCTCCAGATACCTAACAGCATACATATACATACATATATATTAATGAGACTTGATCAGTGCGTACAATTAATCCTTTCATGATGAGGATTAATATATACATATAATTCAGATTAAGATAATTAAGAGAATCATATTCATCATGATGATGAGATAGTATTACCTCACGAGGTAACACTGCTCCAGGAATCACTCTAACATGGAAAAGATGATAACTTTATAAGTTTACCCAGAAATCAATTATAAGCCCAGCGTAATGTAATTAATTATATCTAATTAACAAGATCATATTTTAAGAAGTGTATGTGTACCCAAGAACATGACAGCCTCCATTGAAGACAGTCTTGGAGATCAAACCCATTAGTCCTAAGCTTCCTCCACCATAGACCAAATCCATCCTTCTTTCAACCTGTCAAACTCCAAGCGAATCATAATCAAACATGCACATGCAGGAGTTTTATTTATATATATATATATATAGAAGAAGCCATTGATGTGTACGTGTGTGTGTGTGTGTTTGGAGAAGATATATATATAGCCTCACAAGCAACTTAGCAAGCACAAGAGCTGCATCACTAAATGCAGGCTTGTGCCCGGATCTGCTGCCGCAGAAGACGCATATACGTTTGAAGCTTCGTTTGTTGTGCGAATCTTTTGATGCAGAAGATTCAATAATAATTTCTTGACCTGGTTCTTCCATTGATGTTTGGCAATAGATAAACGTAGTGAAGAAAAGTGCAAGTGGAAGGTAAATAGAGACGAAAAAGTGAGAGAGAAAGAAGGAGAAAAGACGGGTTTGTCTGAGCGATCTCTTAAGAAACTCCACAACTTTATCCCAGACAGTCCCTTTTGTCTGCTCTTCGAAATTATTGAAATTATTATTCTTATTATTATTATTATTATTCAATTTCTCTGGAAAACATGTTATGATTAATTATGCATATGTAGCCAGTTATACCACGGACAAAATTCAAAATTATGTACCTCACAAAAGATTGCGATGGTAATCATGGGACATTCTTGGTACGTTTCGGAGCGTGACATCACTTAACAATTTTAATTAAAAATTTAAGCAATAAAAATGATATTACAAATTAATTACATGATATCAAGCTATACAGTTGGGCCTCACATTATTGTGTATCACTTCATCATCAAGAATATAACTTTTTTTATATGTCAAATTGCCAATCAGCATTGTTATGTACTTATGTTCAATTGAAAATAGCTTTTTCTTTTATTCTGTAACTTAGTATCCTGAAAAATTGGTATAGGATCGTTACTATTAACGGTGACTTTAAGGATATTTTATTGATACTTTTGATCTATATTTATTTAATGCAAGTGCATTTTTTTTTTCAAAAGCATTTTTTGCTTCTATATAAATTCAAACTCAAGACCTTATTTAAGTAGTCCTAACCTATTCTACTAGCATCAACTCTTTTTGGTCATTGTCATGGATATAATTATGCATGAGGCTTACTTATTATATAGCACTGTCATCACTCATCATAGAATATAGGGTCATTTCGATTTTGATTTAATTGGTCTCATTTATATCTTTTTGTGATTTTTTTAAAATTTTGTTAGATATTGATTTTTCAAATAATTTATATAGTGTTTTATACTATGTAAAAAAGTCTTTTTAAAAAAAATTAGTAACGTGTCATTATTGGTTTGTGATGTATTTTTCAATCATCAGTCAGCACCCAAAATACACACGCCCATATATCTCGCTGTTAGCTGGGTTTGATTTATTTTAATCGAACGAAACTAAAATAAATTTTTAATCGAATTGATTAAATCAATTTTTAGCATATGTAAAAAATTGAATTTGACTAACTTTTTTTTTTGAATGTAACTAAATTATGAATCCACTTGATGTTTTATAATTGCATGAGCTTAGCTAGTATTCGAATGAATTGGAAGATTTTTGGGCCTAGTTTATTTCATCAGTCTTACTCCCTCGTTAAAAAATATAAGGCATTTTTAATCAAATTTTATCCCTTAATAAAGTAATTATTTATTTTTAAACTAACCTTATATTTTCATATTTACCTCTATAAACACCCTAAAATAAATATAAAGTAATTTATTCAATAGGGGTACTTTTTTTTAAAAAAAAAAGACAGTGATAAATGATAATACCTTAAAAAACTAAAAATAACTTATATTTTGAACATCCAACCCCTAAAAAAAAATTTTATATTTTTGAACAGCAGGAGTAGATCCTTTTGTTTTTTTATTATATTTTCATATAAATTTGTGTTTCAGCTAATGAATATTCAAAATCCAAATAAATTTATTTTGAGTAATTACCCTACTCAATTTTTGTAATCAAATTTATAGAAAAAATGATATATAAATCATGAAAAATATAATTTAATTAATTTTTGGTTAATATTGTTGAGTGATTTAGAAAACGTTTTAATTTTTTTTTTTAAATGGATCAAACTTTATTATCAGACAGATGGCCTAAATTGATGTCACGGATAAGATGTTTTAGTGGCATGACAGTGCCCCGGTCCGTCGCAAAAGAGGTTTCGAACTTAAACCTAACGGTGATATGTTGATATATGTGTTTTAACTTTTTTATAATCGAAAATTAACCCAAAATTGGATCTTGCAAATGAAAAAAAATATTCTTTCGGAAAATTTAAATTTTAAAAATGGAACTTGGGTTTTTAAAACTGGTGCCAATTTGAACAGTTTAGTTTGGGTATGTCTGCCTATGTTTTCCAATATCCCAGGGCTCAGTTTGATGGCTTTTTCCTATTCTTATTGTTATTTTAATTATGTTTTTTTTATGAATAGACTCATGTTATTGTGTGTGCGTGCGCGCGTTTTTTTTCCCTTTCACTCTAGTATCCCAGGTTTTTTTATCTAGACTAATACAGTTGGCAGCTTGCAAGTATTTTTTTTTTTTGGAGAGTATACCTCCCGCCGATAATTAAAAAACAAAAAACTTTGGGCATGTGGAATTTATTTTGTGTGTGTGTTTTTTTTTTGTTTTTTTGGGTAGAAGTGGAACTTATTGTGTTGTTGCCAGAAGAAAATTTCAATAACACAATTACAAAATATGTACGGTCATGGGCTTGTTGGGCTGCGTTATGGGCTTGATTGTTGTTAGTTTTAAGAGGCCTAGTATTTTTTTCATTGAATAAAAGAAGAGTCAATCACTCAGTCAGTCAAGAGGCCTAGTATTGATTCCACCTGTAATACATTGTTAATATATTAATTAATTAATTAGAAAGTTAATGCCAATTAAACCCCGTAAGTTTTATTAATCACCGTCGGAGAGTTAGACTACCATCACCGTCACCGATGCCGCTGGATTATTATTAAATCATCGCCAATATTTAAATAATAGTTTCATAAAATATAATATTTTGTGTTTTCATCAACAATTCACACATAAAACTTTTAAAATTTACAGCATATTTTGGGGGGTTTTTTACACGTTCTTGAAATTTACTTTCGATAGGCGGCTTCAGGTGCCCTGGCTTGCCGCTTTGGCCCCCTTAATCAAAGTCAGGAGTGAGAGGGGAAGAAAAAGAGGGGCAACTTTGTCGTATCGCATGTATTGGAAATGGAGTCAATAATTCTAACTTGAGTTCAAATAAAATAAAAAAATTTGGACCAAACCCAAATCAAAATAAACTTAATTCGAATGCTTGAATTTTTGTTTTTATTATTTTTAACAAAATGAATTTAACATTCACTTTTCACTTACAATTCATAAACCTTCTCTTAGACTCCTAGTTCACATTCTTTATACTCCTAAATAAAATTTTAATGTAATGAAAAAAAATTTCAATAACTACTTATTTTGAATTTTTGAGAATGTTAAAGAAACTAAAGAGATGGTTTAAGTTTGATCAAAGTAAGGATAGGGTCCCACTCTATCGAAGTTATGATCACTAATTCCAAAGTAACAATGAGGGCAAGAATGTCTTAAGTTTAATTTTTTAAGGTTTAAAATATATCAATTATGAGTATATGATTTAAATTGCTGTTGAATCTATAGTTTAAAATTTAAATTACATATTAACCGTTTTATTTTTACTCTTTCAATGTTAGTCTCACATTAGTAAGGGTATAAAAAAAAGTGCATTGTAGTGTTACATTGTTTAAAAAAAAAATCTCAATCTTTCAAAATAAAATTGAAATTGACTAAACAACCTAAGTAAATTCTAACAACTTGAATATTCAAAATGGCTTGAAAGTTTGAGATGTTGGGGCCGGCTTAGCTATGTGAACATTTTTTATATGTCTAGATATTGAAAGCATGATAGAAAATTGAATCCAACCCATTCAAATTATTGTCTCTAGTTAGAAATTGTAACATCCCAATTTAAATTTTAATAGTTAATTTGGATTAATAGAAATTTAAAAAAAATAATATTTAGAGGTAAGAAAATTAGTAAGAGATGATTATTAAATCTAACTTAGGATATAATTCTAAAAAAAAATTTAAAAAAAATTAAAAAAATAATTAAAAAATAAATAAAAAAATATTATTAAATTATTATTATAAAAAAAAAAGGGAAAACATATTAAAAAAAAAGGAAAAAGAAGAAGAAGAACAAATTACTTTCGGCGCCGCGTCATGATTACATAAAATAATAAAAAAAAAAGGGGAGAGAGAGGAAAGAAGAAAAAATATAAAAAAAAAGATGTGGGACCCACTGAATTTTTATAAAACTCACCCGTTTCCTTTCATTTCTTCAATTCTTTTCCTGCGCCCGAGCTGAGGCGGAGAGAAGTGAGTTGCCGGTGCGAAATATCTAAATTTTTAAGGTAAGAGTTTTTAATAGGATATTTAGGGTGTGATTTTAAGCTTTTCAAGACTAAGTAAGTGTTCTAAAAAATTTTCTTAGTCATCCTTCTTCTTTGGTTTCTGAGTTTGTAGTGGTAGAAAATTTAAGATCTGGAAGAGGGATGAATTTATGTTGAATAAATATGATTTTTGAGGTTGTCAGTAGTATAATAAATGTTCTAGAGTATAAATTTATTGATGATCTTTGAATCTGTGGCTTATGGATCAAATTCTAAACTAGATCTGAAAATATATGTTGATTTATTGAGGTTTAGATGATTATTTGGGATGAGAAATGAATTATTATGGTTATAGGATTATGATTCTAAGCTAGAGACTCAATTTTTAATTTTTGGGTATTTTAGGTACGAATTTATGAAATAAAAAGAAAATTTTGACAATAGAAATTAGTTTAGAAGTTGATTTTTAGATTATTAATGTTTATTGATAATTAAAAGAGGAGTTAAAAATTTTACTTAATAGTATTAACTATAGATTTATATTAAGATTGAGATTAGGAATTATGTTATATTTTTAATTCTATTATTAGAATTATTTTATTAGTTTCAAAAATTGAAACTAATATTTATAAATAATATGTTATTTGTAGATTGTATTACTGGTGAAGATTGTGGTGAGAGAGAAATTTTAAGGAATAATTTATTAAAAAAGCCACAAGGTAACCATGTTTTTTAATTTGTGATTAGTGTTACTTCATGTTAATTGGGTGATTATTGAGAAAATTATGAATTTTGTAATATTATATAATTGTGCAATATTATTATGAATTTGTTTAATTATTGTGGGAGGTGTTGGGAGACTTGCTATTATTGTTGTATTTATGTGCCACGTGGTACGCCCCTATTGGAGCTCAATAGGTGGCTTGTAAGGGCTCGGGCTAATCTACCTTTGGCCGGGTAATTTAGCACCGAGTGAGAGCTACGGCTCGAGGTTAATTGAGGGATATAAGGATGGTTGTTTGTGTGTATTGTAATATTTCTTATATTTGTTGGAATTATATTATTTTTAATTCTCACTTAGTAAGCACACACTTAACTGTTTGTATACACTATCATAAATTGGCTTTGGTTACTGGGACTTTTGAGTCTCATTATGTGGTTAACAATTTTCAGGAGAAGAGCCACGAGTGACACGTGGAGGAGTCCCAGAGGCTTAGCGGTATAGATCCACTGTCTCTTTTGGGTATTTAATTTATGATTTATAATGTGTTATATTGCCAATATTAGGGCTTTTTTTTGTTTATTGTCAATTATATGAATATATAAATGTAATCATGCCTTTCAAACTATTTTTATTTTTGGTACAATTTGGATGACTGTAATTTTAATATTTGGTTTACTTTAGATTGATTAAATTGGCATGATTATAAGGCCAAATAACTGGCTTGTGTTGAAAATTGACTAAATTACTTATTTTACTTATTGGGAGTATAAGGATGGACAAATGTGATTTAGTTTACTTGTTGGGAGTATAAGGATGGACAAATGTGATTTAGCCTAATGGCATGTGGGAGGTAAAAATTTATTTGAAATGCTATAGTGTGTGAGTTGAAACCAATTATAAAATATTTTATATTGAAATTATTGATATAAAAATGTGTTGGGTGGCTGTAACCCAACTATGGTTGAGTTTAATTATTTAAAAAAAATTTTGGTGTGTTACAGAAATGACAGTAAAGTCTGAAGAAACCTCCAAGTAATTAATTGAATTCATAGGATTTAATTAGCATTAATTTTCTTACTCAAACCTAATTGTGTTTTTTACTACATGCGCGCACACACATATAGTGTCAAGATTTTTCATTTTTAAGCCATGACTAGGGTGTCTTTATATTTTTATTTTTCAGATTTGATTTAATATACAGGAAAATACAGGGATGTTTTGGTAAAGGCTCTTGATTTTAAGAAAATAATATTTAAATAACAAGGAAGAAGGTGAGAGTGTGTTGGTTTGGAGGGCTTAGGAACGGTTGAAGATGATGTGAGAAAGTTTGAAAGTAATGGGAGCGGCAGTTAAGGTAGTTTCATTAGAAAATCACACTCTCATGTCATGTCATAACAAAACTAACACCTGACCTTATTTTGACTTTCTTCACTGTGTAAAAGCCTTCTTCGCTTGTTTCCTTCACGCCATCTTATTCACTCATCAAAATTCTTCAGAACAAACTAAATCATTTTGAATCCATCCGCAATTTATTTCTTTTCAATCCAACAGATTCAACTTCAAAATGTCTTACTAAAACAAAAATTGGAAGAATCCCAATTTTCCCTTCTCTTTCCCTATGTTAGAGGAAGAATCTTTATTAGTGTGGTTGACTAATTTATAGAGCGGCTAAATGGACAAGCCTGACTTACATGAAATTGCCTGCAAATCAGTTCAAACAAAGAAAACTTTATTATATTAAAACTGGCCATTTTTCAAAGCTCGATTTTTATTAGTTGGACTTACAAGTCAGCCCATAGGACAGTTTGTTATATTTAAAATTTTATTTTTTTAAAAAAATTCATTTTTACATTATAACATTACATATGTATTTTTCTAAATTTAAATTATAAAGTTTAAAAATTAAAATAGGTAATATAAATTCTAATTTTAAACTATAAACGCATATTCTAAAATATAAATTTCATTTAAAAAATTAAAAATATCTCATTTTTTAGGGAGGAAACTAAATATGGGACTAGACGGGTAGCTTGAGTTCTAAAAAAGGTCATAAATGATATGTATTCCTGACTCCATCAATTGACAACAAAATGATGACAATTAAGCAGTTATTAACAATTCAGTGGAAAGGATATGGAATGTCAGAGTAATTTTGTGAATTTTTGTGGCCTGAAAATGTGATTTTATGACTTTTATTTTTCCCCTTTCTTTCATACTAATATATATTATAACCATGTTTTATAAGAAGGAATAAATATAAAGAAATGTTAATTAATTAGTGAGATTAATTAAACTGAACTTTTTGACAACATCGTCATCATCTGTGTGCGTCGTCATTGTCATCATTTGTTCCCGAAATTGTTTTCCCTTAATCCAATGCTAAACTGACGTTGGAACTTAGTTGAAAGTAGGAACAAGACAATAAAGAAGAGCAGCAAAGTTGATTCCTTTCATAATCAAACTTGCTACTATATATATATATATATATATATATCTATGTAGAATCATCATTGGCTTCTGGAACAAGCACCAATAGTATCAAACACTACTACTACACCTTTGATGGAACATCCAAGTCTAGCTTTTACTTTTCTTCTATCTCTATCTCTCTTCGCTTTCTTAGAACTGATAATTGATATTCACATGCACAAAACAAAACCCAATGATGATAAACTAACAACCATAAGTGAATATATTGATGATGAAAGCTAAGGACGTCGCAGAATCTTCTTGTTGTTTAAGCTAAGAACACTGAGGGACGAGGTTTCCTCGGTTGACAAATCTAACGTTGTCACAAGTGGCTACAGCTTCACCATGTCCTTGAGTTTTCAAGAACACGTCTTCAACGTTTATGTCTCTGCAAGGCTTCGTTTCGCTGCAGTCAAATTTTATGGCCACTTCTGATGCACTTGTTCCTCTTATGTTCTGATACAGCACATCACTCAGTTGCACTGCTGATCCCTGCCATTTATTGTTTTATTTTTTTAAAAACAAACAAATTAGAATAAATATTAAAAAACTGACAATAAAAGAAAAAAATTAATTAATTGATCCCTATAATTTTAACTCAATTAAAACCTGAGTCCTAAACTTTATTTTTTTACAACCCAATTCCTATAATTATTTTTTTCCATAATAATAATAAGAAGAATGACAAGTTAGTATTTTTACCTCTTGATGGCATGGTTTTTGTTGATCACAGTAATTTTGATCAATGATGATGGGGTTGCTCACATTTCTCATTTCTATATTCATAAACTTGATGTCTCTTGCATATCCAGAACCCCCCTGTTTTCATATGCAATCAAAAAAAAAAAATTAAAAAACATATTAGTGATCAAAATATAGGTCATCATTTTCATCCAGTCCATCCAGACTTTAGATATAGTCCCCTTTTGCTAAAAATTAAAATAGCTTCTTAGGGTTGTTATTTTTTTTAACACAAGGGACCAAAATAAAAAAAATTTGTGCTTGTTTCATATTTTGTACTTGTATCAACACCTAAGAATAGTTTGGTCTTGTCAAAGAAAAAAAATTAATTGAACCAAAAATACTTTAGGTGTGAAACAGGGACACAAATGCTATTTACATGAACTTATATTAATTACAACAAACATAATGAAGGAACAACATTAGCTAGTTCTAAGCAGGTAAAGGGATGGGTTGGGGGAAGTTGAACTAAGACATATATATATATATATATATATGTATGTATTTTGTGTCATATATGTTTGATAAAATGTTGGTGTGGACTTGTGAATTAGAAGGTTGGGGATGGGTGCATTCTGTTGTGTGTACGCTTGGAAAAGTTGGTTAGTTAAAGTTTTGTATGTCACCACTGGCCATTTGGATCAGTTGCAAGTAATATAACTAATAACTAATTCATTTCATCAAACCCTTCTCATAGATGTAGTATGATCCAGATGCTTGGAGAATCATTAGTCAACTTCTCAACCAATTTCTTTTTTTTTAAAAAATGATATATTTAATGCAAGAGTATTTGATAAATATATTTGTTAGTATTTTTAAAAAAATTGCAACACCAAAACAGATGAAGATCATGTTCTCATTTGATTAAAATTCGGTCTATTACATGTCAATAAAAATGGTTGAATAATCAAGCCTTTTTTCTTCAATTGTAATAAATCAAGCCGACTAAATTCCGAACAAAGCATATAGTTTTTGACAAAAAAAAATAAAACATTGATTGAAAAACCCACAAGTCCTTTGGAAATATGGAAGGAGCATTTGACATTAAGCAATAACGCCAAAAAAATTAATTGAAGTGGGTTAAGTTCACGTCCTCTTAAATTTCTAATTGCAGTTTGACTTGTTTTTTTTTTTCCTTGCTAAAAAACTTAATTTTTGAGAAATTGTCAAATGTTGTAGAGTGCCTAAAAGCCTTCAAAGTCAACTTCTGAAGAGCAACTATTACCTGCCAAGTCTTAATTCTCACACCATTCATCGTTCCTATCAATGTTGCTTTGTTCACTATCACATTTGACACTTCTGCTTCTGCATCACCAGCTCCTAAACTCCCAATACTGCAACATAACATTATTACAAACAATTCGACCCATTAACACACACACACATTCAGAGATGGTTTAAGTTTGATCAAAAACCTGATTCCATGTCCTGGTCCACAGGTTATGTCTGTAGCTTTAACATTGCTAGACCCGCTTACTATTGAAATGCAGTCATCACCTTCAATAAATAAAAATACCAGTTTTATATATATATATATATATATATTCTTGGGGCTATTTTATTTTGAAAAATATGTTTTGGGATTTTACCTGTTCCTATGATGCTGTTGCTTATGAAAATATTCTGTGTTGCTGTCACATGAATCCCATCAGTGTTGGGGCTGTTTCCTGGGGCTTTCACTATCAGGCTTGAAACTTGAACATTCAAGCTTTGATCAAAATTCATATGCATTTGCTGGGGATTTTGGAACTTGAGGTTTTGCACGATCAAGTTGTTGCATTGGCTGAATGTTACAGCCTGGGAAATCAAATTTGCCGGGAAAATTGTGTCAGAAAAACAGAGTACTCTGCTTCTTCTAGTAAAACATACTCTGTGAAACTGTATTGTTTGAAGAAGATTTACTTACAGTTGGTGCCTCCTTGCATGGCTGAGAGATAAAAAATAAGAAAAGGAAAGAAACGGATGTCAGATGTTAGAATTCGATGAAGTTGGATCCAAAAGAGAAAATTTTCAAAATGACATACGAGGTTTGAGTTGATTTTGCAGGAATGCTGCCACCAAATCTTGCCATTGCCATCAATAGTGCCTTTGCCTGCACCATCAACTTTGAAGTTTTTTATTCCTACAAACTGAATCCAAAACCTTCGATCTTCTTCATACGCAGACATGTCAGACCACGCCATGATAGTTCCATACACCTAACAAAAAGAAGCAGGAAAAACCAGAACAGCCACAAACAATGAGATTCACTGAAACATGAACGATTCAAAACTCTGATACTTTATGGTAAGTACTCACCATTAAAGCAGTGTTTGGCTGGCATGGACCTGAAAACTTTACAGGCTTGAGATGGTAGATCTTGTCCTCAGGGACAACAAGAACAGACCCGGAAGAACAAGCCTCATTCCAAGCCTTCTTGAAGGCCTACAGAAGAATGACAACCAAGAAATTGAGAACAGACCAAGTGTTATATAATAATGCTTCTTAGTACTATAGTTATGTGTACCTCAGAGTCATCGTTTCCGCTGGCTTTGGCTCCGTAGTCATCAACACTGAGTGTTGCTTGAGAGGACCTTGAGGGAGACTTGCTGGTTCTGTAAGATCTTCTCATGAGGCCAAAGTGTTCATGTTTTGGAGCATTGAGAGAGTTGTGATGAATATGAGAGGCAAAACAAAAGCCAAATGAGAGTGTGAGGAGGAAGAAGGAGAGAACAGGGATTTGTGGAGACATGTTGATGTTTTGTGAGAAAAAGAATGGAAACAAAATGAATGAAAGTACCAAGAAGCGTTGAGAATATGGCTTCAAGGGATTTGTGGGTAAGTGTCCTAATGGATGGCTATGTATTTATAGGGAAGTTATGGCTTCTTTTCTAGAGAGATAGAGAGAGGGGCGGGGTTGGATTGGATTTTGAGCTTAGCTCACATGGGTGCTAGGAGAATATTTGGAGTAAGATTGTGACCGATTTTGATTTTCATTTGGATATGTTGAAAATCCTGTGAAGTGATTCCAAAGAGTGAGAAAAAAAGGTGTATACAAAGAGAAATTTGTCGTGTTTTAGTTTGTGCAACGTTTGAGTTTCCGCGGGAGACCTATAATAAGAGGACACTGTGTAGAATAATAATAATAATAATAATAATAATAAAAAGAGTAGGAAGTCATCATACAGTCTCTCCTTCGTAAATTTAATACTTTGTTAAAAAAAAAAAAACTCCCTCCTTCCTAACTTATAAGAACACTTTTAAAATAATTTATTAGTCTCAAAATATAAGAAACTTTTACATGAATAAAGTTTCATTAATTAGATTTGTCCATATTATCCTTCCCTTTACTTTCTCTCTCCCTCTCTCTAATGTTTCACAAATAAGGTTATGTTAAGTGAACGGTATTTTTTAAAAATTTATATTTTTATATTTTAAAAAATAAAATTTTAAAGTGTATTCGATAAATTTTATTAGTATGCATAATTTTACTATTAAGTGCCTTATAAATTGAGATGGAAAAAATGATATTTTAAAATTTTGAATTTGGGTAATCCCCATGTGATGCACTCATGGCGCATTAGCAAGAAATTTCAAGGTCTTTTGAGATAAATGGAGTCAAGTCCTATATTTTTAAAATACAATAAAAAGAAATTTTTTTTATATAAAAAAGGTCGAACTCAATTTTATTTTAGTCAAAGTTTGGGAAATAAAGTGAAGGGAAATAAAAAAGAGGACATAGTTGTTTGTGAGGTGCACAGTGAAAGTTTACCAACGATACAGTAAGTGGGGAAATTAACTTTTTTGGTTCATGGATGGAAGGCTTGAGTAAAAGACCAGATTTTGTATTGTACTATGAATATGAACAATGAATCACGACCAAACTGATTGTTCTGTCCTATGAAATCCAAGTTTGAATCTACATTTGGAAACTTTTAAGGTCTGACTCTAAGTAGGAGATTTATAGATTATTAGATACACCAGAAAAAGGAAGTGTGTAATGCATTGGTGTTCGTCATCATCTCCACGCATTACACATGTACACATTTAACAATCCGTTGTCGTCTCAGGTTGCCGTGAGGGGAAGAAATTCTTGTCATTTAAACAAGTAACTGGGAATTTCAATATCAATTTTTTATCTGTTGCAACTTAATTGAAAAGGGTTTACTATTTGCCCTACGTAATCTTAAAAAGATAATCTTTAATATTGGTGGAAATTACTTTTTATACTCTTAAAAAAAATATTAACCATCACTAGAATAAATAATAATATTTGTGTTGAAAATAAAAAAAATCAATCAACCACAAATGAAGGTGTTGCAAATTTTTGTGCTACTAATTTATAAAATTTTGGCACATATTTTATAATGAAAATTTTGCATCGCGAATTCTAACATCATTTTTTTTATTGGTTTGTGTTTTATTGTTAACAAGGAAAAGATCGGGTAAATTGAACTTGTTACTTGTTAGAAGATGAGACATGAATATAAATCTTTTGTGGCAGCAAATTATTTTGCAAATAAGTTAAAGAAAAATTAATCTTTTAATCATTCAATATTTAACTTACTTATAACTCAATTCCTCAATTATGATAAGTTGCGACTCAATCCTTCAATTTTTGACTCACTTATAACTTAGTTTTTTTTTAAATTATCCTTAACAAATATTAGGGATAAAAAATGATCATATCTTGCTCTAAAGTACCATCTCCTTGCTCTTTGACGTGGGATCTAAGTTAATATAAAAAAGGAGAACAAACAAAAGTTAAAAGACTGATTTATAAGTGAGTCAAAAGTTGACAAATTGAGTCATAAATGAATTAAAAGTTGACGAACGTAGTCGCAACGAGTTATAGTTGAGGAACTAAGTTATAAATTAGTGAAAAATTAAAGAACTAAAAGATTAATTTTTTTTCATAAATTAATTAAAATAACATGGAGGGATAAGAAATAAAAGGAAAAAAGAAAGAAAATGGCGCACTCACATACTTTCTTAAAATACACAATTACATGAATATAAAGAATTCAATTTGAATGTGAATTGAAGAAAGTAAGGCAAAACTTATTGACTATAATGATCAAATTGGATAGAAATTGTGGAGTGTTTGAAGGAGAAATTGGCAGTTATCAAGTGGCAGTTACCAAAAAACAAAACTAACCTCTTCTTTTCAAGTCTCTCTTTTCGTCACTTGACTTATTGAGCATCACCATTAATTAAGTTGATTTGTAATTAAACATCAATGTTATTCTTAATTAATAACGTTCCCAAACCTTTTTTTTTTACCAGTGCCCAAAGCCCCAAACCATTACTTCCTTTTCTCAACTAAAATACGATCCCATTTGTTTTTTTCAAAAATAAATTGCGATAACCTCCTTTTTTATTTAAAAATCCACATTCCTGTCCTCTTAAAATTTACAAAAATATTTTAATAATAGTTTTCTTGATTATATTTATAAAAAATTTAATCGTAATTTTCTTCTTCAAACATCATAAAATTTTATAATCTAATTAGAATATGATCTGTGCATTATTTCCCACAAATACAAAACCTACACATTGATGCCTAAATTACAACTATTAATAAAATAAACATTTTCTAGAACTAATAAAAACAAGAAAAATTCTTTCTTGAACTAGATGTACCACCTTGTCCATACTCTCCAATAAAATTATACTGGCTTAATCATATAAAATTTCATGAGTCATTATTTTTGATGATTTTATTTTTAAAATAGAGTGCCTCATTAATTTATTACCTTTTCTTTCTCTACATAATTACATGAATATAAAGAATTCAATTTGAATGTAAATTGAAGAAAATAAACCAAAACCTATTGACTATAATGATCAAATTGCGTAGAAATTGTGGGGTGTTTGAAGTAGAAATTGGCAGTTATCGAGTGTCAGTTAAAAAAAACAACCAAACCAACCTCTATTTTCAAGTCTCTCCTTTCATCACTCGACTTCTTGACCATCACGATTGATTAAGTTGATTCGTAATTGAAAAAAAAAAAGTAATTAAACATCAATATTATTCTTAATAACGTTCCCAAACCATATAATTTTTTTTTTCCCGACCAGTGTACTAAGCCCCAAACCATATCCATTAATCACTTCCTTTTCTTGACTATAATACGATCTCTCTCTCTCTCTCTCTCTCTCTAAAAAATAAATTACGATAATATCCTTTTTAATTTTAAAAATCCACATTCCTCTCCTCTTAAAATTTAAAAAATTATTTTAATAATGGTTTTTTGTATTGTATTTATAAAAATTTAATCATAATTTTCTTCCTCAAAAATAATAAAATTTTATAATCTAATTAGAATGTTGATCCGTACATTATTTCCCATAAATACAGTACCTACATTGATGCGTAAATTATAATTATTAATAAAATAAACATTTTAAAGAACTAATAAACAAGAGAAATTTTTGCATGGACTAGAAACATCACCTCATCCATACCCTATTCAATTAAACTATACTGGTTCAATCAAATAAGATTTATTGTATCATTATTTTTAATTATTTTAAATTTAGAATACAATGCCTCTTTAATTTATTTCCTTTTTTCTTTACTATTATTAACAATAGAATGAATTTATATTTATAGTCATCTGACATGGTGTAAGTTCACAAAAGAATTTTTCTATTAACAAATAATTATATATTATATCAAATCCTCTTGCTGCTTCACAAGGCATTGGTCTTTTATAATATATATATATATATATATATAAAATAAATTTTCTGGGTATTCTTAGACGGGCGTAATATTGGGTGTTGGCTTGTCAAAGGATAAGACTTTGCTATTTGCATAAAGAGAGAAAAGCCGGAAGACACATGGGTGTAGACTGTAGAAAGTTACGAAATTAGAAAAAAGTAAAAAACAGTGCGCAGTAATCATCGCCTTGACACGTGCTAATTAATTTAACTAACAAACACATGTGTATCTATATGCACACGTTGCTACATACATAGTACATGTACGCATGTATTTTCCTGTATTGCTAGAATTTTCCATTATACATTATCACAAGGGTCTTGTTTGTGTGTTTACTTGTGACGATATTTTGGTTACAATTAGAAGAAAGTCGTGTGATGTTTCGTGGCGTGAGGTCATGCTTATGTTATATATAGGAAGGTTCAAATCCAATGAGTCTGAAAAGGGATAAGCTTGATTTGTGTTTGGCAAACAGTTAGGGGTTTTACCAATCTTTTTATTTACGTCTTCAACATGAACAATAACATCCTTATACAAATATCACCAACCACATCAAGATCAACAAATTAAAGATTCTGATCCAATATGCATGCGATTATCTTATCCTATATATTTTATTTTGCATGTGCTCAACCTCTATCCTTTTGAGTTTTCACCCTCATCTTTTTTATGTTACACACACACTATGTTTATTTGCATAATTATTTGATATTTGATGTTTAATTTTAAGTCATATTCAGAGAATGTCGATGGGTTTAAGGATACCTAGGGTTGTTTGTTTTCTATTTTTAAAAATTGTCTTTTGTTTTTGAAATTAAATAAATTTAAAAATCCATTTTGATAAATGTTTTGAATTTAATTATTTCCAAAATTATCCTATTTTTTGTTTTTAAAAACAAAAATAGAAACATTTTAAAATTATTTTTGTTTTACTTTTCTTGTTTTTCAAGATACACTAAATTTAATTATTGAAAATTACAGTCAGCTTAACTAATTACTATTATAAGCGACCACCATTAACCTCTAACAATCATCATTATCAATTATTTTTTTAATTCTAAGGCTATTTTGAAATTAACATAACTAAATAAATTTTTATTTTTTTTGTTTTAAAAATAATTTTTAAAAATTTGTTTACAAAATATTTTTAGAAATAAAAAGTGAGAACAAAACCAAACAAAGCCTTAATCTCTTAGTGTCATTTATTTTTCCATCTATAACATTTGAACTTCGACTTAGTTTAAGGAAAATTGAGCCCATTCCATCTAATCCAACCACCTATAGTACACAATATACATACATACATACATATATATATATATATATTCTCAATTATGCGTTGAACTAATGGATCGTGGTTTTTTTTTTTCAATAGTTATACTATTTTTTTTTCACATATTTAAGATTTGCTATACTGTATAAAAGCAAACTGAAAGAATGGAAAAAGTTGTGTGTGTGTGTGTGTCATGAACAATACAACTCTATAAAATTTTATTTTTAAATTCATGTTTATGTCTACATATAATATATATATATATATATAGTTATGTATATATATATTGATACAATATAAAAAAAGTTAATGAGCATGCTAATTGACTTGTTAGTCTAATTAAGATCTTGATGCTGATATCTTGCATTTCATTTGAGCAGTCTAAGAGGCATGTATAGGAGATTAGAAAATTCCAATAAACAAAATGAATAATTTCTCCATGCCTTTATATGCACGGCCTCTTCATAATGGCCTTTTTATTAAAAAGAAAACAAATCAACATACATGTATACTTACAACAAAGCAAAATAAAGATAATATCAATAATAAAGTCGTACCAGAAAAATATATGCAGATTAATTAATACTTTCTTCAGGATGATATTAGCCTAGTCCATAACTTTGCTGTATTAGGTTTTAGGTATTCGAGAATTGACTTCTAAAAATTATTATAATTATCACACAAAGATATCCGCACAACCACTTTTCATATATATCCAGATGAGTGGTCCAAAGTCCAAAATATTTTTTTTTAGTTTTTCATATTTTATCTAATAACCAGACACTCATTAATGATATAAATTTTATTATTTACAAAAATTGAGCAACAACTTTAAATTTTAAATGAGTGATCACTTTTTAAAAATTAAATTTTATGATTTACACCAGGAAAATATGATTTTAAATGTTTATATTTTTCTTAAAATTTAAATAGAGTATATATAATCAAAACAACCTCTTAATGTAGACATTTTGTATTTCAAATCTATATAACTAATAAATCTATAAGAATCTATACAATTCGTAAACCATAAACCTTAAATAGTATAACTTATTTTGTGCGTGTGTGTGTGTGTATTTATATAAAAAACCATTAACAGTTGATTGTTTTCTTAAATTATTATAACTTAATCTATTAAATTATTTTTCCTCAAATTTTTCACACCTGCTCTTAAGTTAGGTTGGTTCGGTGTCAAATTTGGTGGTAATTAAGAACCAAACCCAATTCTAACCAACGTGTTTGTTCATACATATCACTTTCAAAATAACTAACATTTTTGTTAAATATTCTTCTAATTTAATTTGATATTCACAGTACAACTGTACAAGTGAAACTAAAACAATAGGCACTAGGATCTACAATTTAACTGAAATATATTACAGATATTATATATGGTGGATTTTGTTTTTAACAATTTGAATTATTTAAAGGTAGGAACCACCTCCTTATCTCTTTTTCAATTATATGAATATAAATTGGATAATGCTATTATTAACGACTAACATATTTCTGGACAAAAAAATATTGAAATTCATTCACAAAAATAAATCGGTCCAGTAAAAAGATATGAGAAATATAAATCAGCCTATATACTAGTTTTATTAGTCTGAAAAATTTATTCTTTAGATATATCAGTTATTAATAGATTCCTTCGGTAATTTATTAAAGTGTATTTTTGGTCTCGCTTTTCAAAATTTATTCGGAATATTTTAAAAATACAATTTTTTATTATAGTATCAGGAATCTTGCTACATTTAGTTAGAAAATATGCAGAGAAATTTGACAAAAAGTTTGACTTAACAATCTCCATTGTAAGCGCATTGGTTGGTTGACCCCACAAGTCATAAATCCAAAAAGTTATCACTTGTTTTGTTGACGTGAATAGTGTTTTAATAAAAAGAACAATTAATTTGACAATTGTTGAATAACTACAAACTAAGTGTTTAATTTTAAAATTTGGAAAAAATGTTTACTTTTAAATTAAAAACCAATAATATTCAACTAATTCATTTGATGAATACTTCATGCTTTTTTAAGATTTTTATAAGAGATATTAAGAGAGATAAGTCATTTTAAACATCGACCATTAGCAATAAAGGAATCATGCTGAAGATCTAATGATTGGTACTCTTTTTCATTTTAGGTAAACTTATAATTTGAACCCTTAGTTTTATTTAAATTTATAATGAATAATTTGATTCTTATGCTTTAAAAATTTGTAATGTTTACCTCAATTAGAAATTTGTAACTGAGTCTTCGTGATTTAAGAATTTTTTTATGTACTCGTTATTATTGGATAATTTGCAAAGAAAAAAATTGAATGTAGAAATACTTTATGATCTTAATACTTTAATTTTGTATTTTTTATCATAATAAAATGATAACATTATTAAAATAAAATTAACACGTGTATCAAAATATTGACAAAAAACTAGATATTTTTTCATGTGAGTGACGAAGTCCAAAAAATAAAGTAAATATTTCACAAAATCTAAGAGATATCATACTATAGACTATAGAGAAGGAAATATGGGCTAACCTGTATTATAAGGGTTGGCCGATATTGGTTAGATAAAATATAAGTTGGGTTAAGTTTAATTTATTTTGGTATAGGTTGAAAAAATTTAAACCCAAACCAATCCTCATGAATAAGTGAGTTAGTTTATTTAATTCCTTCATTCATTTTTTTTTATTTTTTTAATTACACATAACTGAAAAATTCTATTATGATATTTCGTTCAATTTAAAAAATTCACAATATAAATATATGAGATTAATAGATTCTATCACGGTTGATTTCAAAATATGTTTTCCTTGTGGGGTTTTGGGGCCAAAACTCCTTCCATTTTCTATTTTTTAATTTTTATACATAATATGGATTAAATGGCCAACCATAACTCATGAGGGTTAATCCTTTAGTTGATAGATTATCTAGTCCAGGTTAAAAAAAATTTATTTTTACTTGGGTCAATATTTTTTCAACCTAACCCAACTCTTATAATAAGTTATATTCAAGGCAACTTATATAACTTGATCCATATTTTTAGTTTTATAATACTATTTATAACTTATAAATAATATAACTTTTATATTTCATACTGATAATATATTAATAATGATGATTGAATTTAAAATTCCTTGATTTTATCAATTCATCACTTATCCTACATTCCCCTGTGAAAATATGAAAAGCCTTTGAAATGTGTCTCAAAGCAAGAATATTTGCTCTTTATTATTGCTGCAAGGTAAAAGTAAAATATTTAGAATTTTTTTTCCAGAAAACCTAAAGAATTAAGCTAAACAAGTAATAGAATTATAAGAATCTAGACTAATAGTTGCCTTGAACATATCATTTCTCTTCTACATTTATTGTGTAAGTTAATTAGTCATAATAAAACGTCAATAATCCTAAGGCTTTTAATTATTAGACCTCTACATAGTATATTTAATTTTTTGTCACAAACTCATAGATACTCAATTCTATAAAAATCAATCAATATTAACATAAAATATCAAAAATAACAACCTCACAAATTATTCACAAGCTGTGAACATTGTGGCTTATTTTGAGTTCCATACAAGTAAATACACATGACCAACTTTAACCTAATAAATACAAAAAGAAGCTAACAAAAACAAAATCCATACACTCTTTCACATGATGAGAGAACAAACAATTGAAGTAAACTAAGTGAATTCACAAAAAGAGGTAGAAAACCAGAATAAATATCCCCTGGTCCTCTATCAGTTCACTTCCTTTCTTCAACCTTTGAACTCATAGCTCTCATAAACGCTGAATCTTTATGCTCCATTTTTTCCGAGAAGTGAAAGAGTTTTTCACCCAATTAATGAAGTATCAACGAGATGAACAGCGAGGGGACAGGTTTCCTCGGTTGACATAGATAACGTTGTCACAAGAAGCTGTGGTGTGTCCATCTCCTTCAGCTTCTAAGGTCACATCCTTGACGAACACGTCTCTGCATGGCACTGTCTTGCTGCAGTCAAATCTAATGGCCACTTCTGAAGCACTTGTTCCTCTTATGTTCTGGTATATCAGATTACTCACTTCCACTGCTGATTCCTGCTCATTTTCAAAACAGAATTAGAAGAAATATTTAAAAACACGAAGAAGAAGAAGAAGAAGATGAAGAAGGGTTAGTGTGCACCTGCTCACGGCATGGTTCTTCCTGATCACAGTAGTTCTGATCTATGATGATGGGGTTGCTTACATTTTTCACTTCTATGTTCATAAATTCGATGTTCCTTGCATACCCTGACCCTCCCTGTTTTCATGTTCAATCAATGTAATCATTATTGTATCAGATGGGACATGGGCTTGCTAAAACGGAGGGTGGTTCAAAAAATAAAAAATAAAAAAAGACATGGCCCTGAGGGGCAGGTGTCATTCAGAGAGAGGAAGAACCTTAGATAGTGGGACCCACCCAAGTGGATCCCACTAGCTCTAAACCATCCTCTGTTTGAGGGGCACATGTCCCTGCCCCTATGGACATGTTAAGCTATCTATCATGATATCAAGCTTGATGATATTCGTATTTCGATAATTTATCTTACAGTATGCCAAGATAAACGATCAACTTCGTGGCGTCCTATTTATAAAGAGGGAGAGAAATACTTTTTTATTTTATTTATAAGTGATGTTATTAACTTTTATCACAAGTTTTTTTTATTTCCATTAAATGTTAGTAAGAAAGAATACATTATTAAAGTGTATATATTTAATAAATTAAGATTTGAAACTCATTAAATTTTTAGACATAACTAACGAGTTTTAAGATTCACTTTAATTTCAGTTAAAAATAATTTATAAATAGAATTAGAAGAGTAATAATTTTTTTGATACTATTGAGAAACATATATATGCATATATGTATACATATACTTAGATTTTTTTAGCACAACTAAATATTAAAATGCGTTGAGCCAAAAAAAGAGAGAGACTGGCCTAAGGAATATAAGAGGCATAGATAGATGAAGGGAAGTTGAACTAATGAAGTAAACATTTGTGTGTCCTTTTTCTTGAATAAAATGCCGATGGTATGTGTGTTAAAGAAGGTTAGGTGTTAGTGGATTGTTGTGATTAAACTTAAAAAGATTATTAGTTAAAATATTGGAAATTTGTAGTTCACTAGTTGCCGCCTTATTTCAATTCTTGTCTCATTAGGCAACTTCTCACCAAATTTTTGAATATTTCAACAAGAAAATAATTAACAAGATTTTTTTTTTTTTTTTACCATCACCCGTATATAAGACACCAAAAATATGTGTTAGCTCTATAGACAAGAGGTTTGATAACTTCCCATAGAAATGTTGAAGAAGCCTGAGATATTAGGCAGAGCCAAGAATTAATTGAAGTGGGTTAAGTACAATTTCTCCTCAACTTCAAGTTTTTCTTTTGACTTTCTATTTATTTATTTTTTTTAACTTTTGTAAATGAGTCAAATGTTGCATAGTACCTAAAAAAAAATACCTTAAAAAGGTCAACGTCGGAAGAACAAGTCTTACCTGCCAAGTTTTTATTCTCACTCCATTGGTCGTTCCTCTCAATTTTGCTCTGTTCACTACCACATTCGACACCTCTGCTTTTGAGTTATTATCTCCTAAGCTTCCAATACTGCATAATAACATTGTTCACAAACAATTTAGCCACTTAAATATGTTCTTTTTTATGTATGTCTCTCTGTGTGTGCAAATATATATATCAGAAACCTGATTCCATGTCCTGGTCCGCAGGTTATGTCTGTGATTCTAACATTTTTGGATCCGCTTTCTATTGAAATGCAGTCATCACCTTCAACAAATAAAGAGAATTGATGTTATGAATTTCAATAGTTGATTTTATCTTCTAGGATATTTTCTTTTTGGTGAAAAAGAGATTCTGGAATTTTACCTGTACCAATGGTACTGTCAGTGATGAGAATATTCTGTGTCTCTGTCACATGAATCCCATCAGTGTTAGGGCTGTCTTCTGGTGCTCTCACATTGAGATTTGAAAGTGTAACGTTCAAACATTTCTGGATATTCATATGCATTTTCTGAGAATTCCTGAACCTCAGGTTTTTCACTGTCAGATTGTTGCATTCATAGAAAGTTACAGCCTGGGAAGTTAAATTTTCCAGGGAAATCATGTCAGGCTTGGAGAGAAAAACAGAGTACTCCGCATCTTATAGGGAAAATATATTGAAGACGATAGATCATAGATATACTTACAGTTGGTGCGTCTGTGCATGGCTGTGAAATGAATCATTGAGAGGAGAGGAAAGGGGGAAAAAAGGATCAGAATTCAAATTTTATATTATATATATATATATATATATATTTTGGAGTTTATCCAATAGAGAATAGTCTGAAACGACTTACAAGTGTTTTGTTGACTTTGCAAGATTTCTTCCACCATTTCTTTCCATTGCCATTGAATGTTCCAATGTCACCACCATCAACACTTAAACCTGTGATGCCATCAAACTGAATCCAATGTGTTGGATCTTCTTCATATGCAGACAAGTGAGGCCAAGCTTTGATTGTCCCATGCAACTAAATGAAACAGTAAAAATCAGAACTTTCACAATCTGGGTATTATCAGAAACATCACCTAAGTCTAGGTTATTAAGAACTCACCATGAATGTAGTATTTGGCTGGCATGAACCTGAAAAAGTTATTGGCTTGAGATGATAAACTTTGTTCTCGGGAACAAGAAGAACAGCCCCTTTAGAACAAGTCTCATTCCAAGCTTTGTTGAAGGCCTAAAGAATTATGAAAAGTAAGAAACTGAGAAAAGACAGAGTGTTTTCATATCTGTGAAAATGACTCTTTAAGTAGGTACCTCAGTATCATCTTTTCCATCATTGGCTATGGCTCCATAGTCATCAACATTAACTGTTGCTTGAGAGCTTGAAGCCTTACTGGTTTTGTTTTTAAATACCTTCTTGCCATGAGGCTGAGATGCTCAACATGTTTCGGAGAATCCATGGAAGAGCCAAAACAAAACCCTAATGAGAGTATGATGAGGATAAGGGAGAGAATAGGTCTTGGAGGAGACATGTTGGATGTTTCAGTACTTTTTTTGAAAAACTACAGAGTTTCTGAGGATGGTGAAGATTAATATGGTGTACAAGTGTCAAAATGATGAAGAGTAATATATTTATATATGGCTGACAATGGAATGTGACCCGAAGCAAAGGAAGGCGGGCTGAATGATATTCAAATGAGAACTGAAACAAGATTCATCCGTAGCCGAAAATCAGGCACTTAGTGAATGTTTACCAACATATTTAGTCTTGATTTTGTTTCAGAAAAAAAAAAAAACAAGAAGAAGAAGAAATGGATTTTTGGTTTGAAATAAAGACCATGCCACCCGAGGGGTCAATCTAAATCAAACTTATGGTATCACAATAAAATATGATATCTAGTTCAAATTAGATTTAACTGATATGGATAATTTTTTTAAAAAAATGATAAATGTGAAATTAAAATTATTTTTGATTGTGAATGTAAAAATCAAAATAATCATAATTGAAATTAAAATATGAGAAAATATATATGCAAGTCCTTACAATTTCATTCAATTTTGAATTAAGTCTCTGCATTTTATTTCGTTTTAATCAAACCCTTATATAGATTAATCCCTAAAGGTTAAAATTAATAATAAATTATTAAATTTTACAAAAAAAAATATCGTTGGAGTTTACAAAAAAATTAATTTAATACTTTTATCCAAAATTTAAAAAAATAAAATCTGATTTAATACACTATTTACATTTTTTAAATTTTTTAATAAAAATTCTATATGTATAAAAATTATGTAATTAATGTCAGGTAATCATTTAATAAAATTATAAAATTTATTAATTTTGTTTTTTAAAGGAAAAATTTAAAGATTTTAACTTTTATGGATTAAAAAATGTAAGTGTTTAAACTATAAGATCTCAATTAAAATTAAATAAACTACATGAACCTAATTCAAAATTAAGTAAAATTATAAGGATTTGTAGGTATATTTTCTCTTAAAATATAAGCAATCTTAGATATGATCATATTATACTAAATATAAGTTCGTATATCAAAAACAAAACTTGAATAATTTTTTACTATATAAATTTGATTTTTTATTTATTCTGTAAATATTTAAATTTATATAAAAACTTTTTATGTTTCACAATTTTAAAAAAATAATTAAATTTAAAATCTTCTTCATCTTTCATGTTACAAAAATACATATAATTCAATGTTAAGTAAATTTCTCGGACCAACAATTAACATTTATTCTTGAGATAATTAGTTTTAATTTTTGGATCTTAAATGTTTCAAGAAAAATATGATAAAATCAGAAAAGATATATTTTGAGTCTATATTCTGTTTTTTTTTTTTTGGGTAATCTTTTGAGTCTTTGTTCTAACCTCAATTATTTTGTTATAAAATATAAAATTAAAAATAAGAATAATTATTAAAATTAAAAATACATGGGAAAAAATGATTAAAATTGAAATAGAAACTAGAATTTCATATTTAATTATTTTAGCATATGTATATCACATATAAATATCTAAGTAAATCATCTTCTAGAATATCATAACTAATGTCTAACGAGGGTTAGTAAATTTGCTATGAATTATACATTTCAAAAATCATAATAATCAAATTGTGTTAAGTTAAGTTTATATGGAATTCAAATATAAAAGACAGAAGTGGGGAAAAAAAATATCATAGCACCAATTGTTACTCATGTAGAGGATCACTTGTGATACATTTAAAAGGTGACCGGTAATATTTAAATAGAAGATGGCTCTTATTTATAGATTTATAGCTTATTAATTTAGAACTATATCTTAGAAATAAAAATAAATAATTTTATATTAAATATATTCATGCATTATATAATTGCTTAGTTTTTTTAGTTATTTTTTTAAAACTTAGTTTTATATAAATTTATTCAATTTTATTTTAAATAAAAGAAGATAAACATTACTATTAATTTGGCTTTAGTTGTAATCGACGTTTTCTGGTGAATTATTAAAACGAAGCTTCAACTAGTGCATATAAATACCAGTATCAAAATATTACATTTTGGTTATTTTTTTTTTAATGGATTTCTGGTTTAATAGAAAGACCTGCAACCCTGTAGGTCAATCTTAACCAAACTTATGGTATCACAAAAAAATATAATATCTAGTTCAAATTAGATTTAGCTGGTATAGATAATTAATTTTTTAAAAAATGATAAATGTGAAATTAAAATTATTTTTTGTGAATATAAATATACCTTTTTTCAGATAATGATTATACTAAATACAAGTATGCATATCAAAAATAAAGCTCGGACGAATCTTTACCGTTTACATTTAATTTTTATGTTTATTCAATAAATATTTATTTTAGGATAAATAAATTCATAAATTTTTATGATTAATTAATTAATAACCTCAATAATAATGATAATATTAAAATAATTTTGGATTATTTTTAAAATATAATTATTCAATAAATATACATGTGAAAATTAAATCCAGGGTGAATCAAGATTTTCAAAAGTTTGAATTTTTCAAAGTAAATATATGTATTTTAATAACTTAAATTTGAATGATCATATTTCTAAAAAAAATTACGATTCACAATATTTTGAAAAATTAATTCAATACATATAATTTAATATTTTTTAAATTTTTGATACAATTAATAAAAATTTATTCAAGAGATAATTAATTTTAATTTTTTACACCTTAAATTTTTCAAAAAAATATGATAAAATAAAAAAAATATATTTTAAATCTATATTCTGACCTCAATTATTTCATTTATAAAATATCAAATTAGTTTACAATAATTTAGTTTTAGATTAATTACATTAAACTTTAAAAATATTCAATAATATTTAACTTGTTCGAATATTGTAAAGGGGATATTTTTCGAATATATAAAGAAGTTGATATTTTCTTTAGAATAAATTTTTATTATTATGAATTGGATGGGAAGTAAAATACCAGATTTTGTATCACATATAGTGCATGTACCCTATAAATCAAATCTCAACTAAACTTATGGCATCTAGATTTTGATTATGTCTTTTTAATGTAAAATTAAGATATTTGTTTTATATAAACCAAAAAAAATTCTTTAATTATGAACTTAATAGTAATGATTTTAATTAAAAATTAAAATGCAAATTTAAAATCTAGTCATATTGAATATAAAGAAGTAAGATATGATAAAGATAGTCTTATTTATTTCACCCAAAAAAAAAAGATAGTCTTATTTATTGGCCAATTTCAGTCCCAATCACCCCTTGGTTACTTAGATGCTCTGTGTATTAGACTTATTTCAGTTAGTTGAAAATTTATGAGAATCAGTTGTAATTTTTGGCTATCAATATACAAATAAATTACTTAAAAAATAAAAATATATATTTAAAATTATTTATAACATTAGTTGAAAATTTATGAAAGTTGATTGTAAATTGCAAGTTAATCATTTATAATTTTTTCTGACAATATATATATATATATATAAATTGCTTAAAAAATCTACAAAGTATAACTGAAATTATTTGTAACGTCAATTAAAAATTTATAAGAATTAATTGTAAATCACAAGTCAATCACTTATATATTTTTTTTCTATCACTTGAAAAATTAATAAAAGATATTTAGAAATATTTGTAACATTAGCTGAGAATAAATTTATAAAAATCTATTGTGAATATAAAATCAATCAATAAAAGATAATTTATTACAAGTAAGGATAATGGTTTGCTCTTGAGATTTCAACAATTCAACATATGTAATAGTTATTATGGAATCCCTAATTGTCATTTTTCCAAAATGAACGGTCTTGTAAATTCTATGTGTTTGCAGCTGTTTTTGTGTGCGTATGGGAGTTTCAATTTGGTTGGTAAAAATAAATAGTGTACATTTATGAAAATAAATCAAAATTAATGAAAATGATTTTATTTTATGTCTAATTATTCATACGGTGGCATATTGTTTTGATTGTTGGCTTTGGATTTAATTGGGAAAAAACAGGTCAGAGTCAGAGAGTGTACAGTACGTATGTAATGCAAAAGTCAATTTAATCGCAATATTTCAAACAAATTAAGGTTGCGTTAGGCAAGTTGGTATACATATAGTTATAATGCTCTATTCAATTCAATGTTTGTAATTGCCAAATATGGAATTGGTAGTTATCCACTGACAGTTATTTTTAAAATACTAAATAAATAATCAACCATCTCTTCGTCAAATCGGATCCATAATATAATATTTGATTTGTTTTATATTGTTTAAATTTAAAAATATTGACAATAAAATTTAAAATTATCTTGAAGGTTTACATCATTAAGATCAAATTTACCTAAAAAATTCAAAAATAAAAAATGCCTGTCAATGCTCAAAAACAAGCCCAATTAGAATGCCATATAAAAAATATTCACAGTCCCGAAAAAATCAAATGAAAAATCCCTTAAAAATTCATCAATTAAATCCAAAAGCACTCTGTTTCTGGTCTTTGATGTTCTATTCAATTCACCGACTAGAAGAACAATTATACATACATACATACATACATACATACATATACATACATACATACATACATACATACATACATACATATCGGTCAAAAGATATGACTGGAGACGTACGTGGGTTTAATAATCCACAATAATCATTGCTACACGTGCTAATAAAATAATAATGAACTAATTATATACACGCACATACATACATAATTATTAGGGGATATTACTTACGTGCGTGCGTGCATGATTATGTTAATTTTCCCTGGTACTTTGACAAAAAAAAAAAACTGATATCCCTTCGATTTGATTGTATATGTCACTTGCCAAAAAAATATAGTCCTTTTTAATAAGCTCTTCGCATGAAAAATTACTTTCAATTATTTTCTTTTAATTTTATCATTTCACATTTTTTATAAGCAGAGAAAGAGGTTGTTTTTGTACATAGAGATAAGATGTTTTAAAGATAATACATTTACTAAGAACAAATTAAAATTTTTTAGATAATATTAATGATTTAAATTTTTTTTTGTGAGGTAGCTAAAAGTTAATTACATACAGTACAGGAAATGGAGTATATTAATTGGTATT